AAACTTCTTCAGCAATAATCACAACCAGGAACAAATGTAAAAGCTTCATAGTTAATGTTGAACTGAATAGTCAAAACTGTACTGACTTTTCACTTATCCTTTCAGTTTATTTATATGAAAATTTTAATTAGAAATATAATATTTAAAGCTTTTCACGAAATTTTCATTTCAAGTTTATTGAAATCGTGGAAAAATTGTTCAAGGATCATTAAAAGATAATTAGGTAAATGATGAACGTTGTTGCATTTTAAAGTTCTCATGAGAAACTTTCATTGTTTGTTCGTTTGTTATCAGGGCTCTTAAATTTAATGTGATGTCCCACTAATCTCAAATCTTACTTCTATCTTCGCTTACTATCACGATTTTATTTCAGTAACTTCAGCACTGCACTGCTAACATTTTTAACACAACGAAATTTTTGACCGTGTTGACTGTAAAATCGAATTTTTCAATCTTTCGCAATCAGTCGACTAAGTAGGACGTGAAAAATTAAACCAAAAACTCATAAAAAGTGAGTTTATTTAATGAAAGATATATCTCATATACATTTAAGAACCCTAAAGAAAAGTGCATTTGTTATTGAAAAGTAATTACACGGCCAGGATATTCAAGTGAATCTTAAAACATTTCGTTTAATTCTCCGATGAAAATGTCGACACGCGATTTCACTGTTTGCTTGATATCAGTTGGAGATGTCATTCGTTTATCGTGTTCTTCGTTTTTTAGACATGAAATAAACAATTTGTTGCATTTTACCTACAAAAAGTTTTTAAAATGCTTCAACTACTCAATTTAATATTTGAGGTTATGTTTTATTTCAGTAATCATAAAAAAACACAAAAATTTCAGATCGAAACTTAAAACGAGAGGAAGGAAGAGAGATGCAAGCATCACATCAACAGCCTCAACAGGAGAAAAGAAAAATATCACAGTCCGGTGGTCAACAGGAAAGGCCATCGAAAAAGAAAGTTGCACTGCACGTCTCTCCAATGAAAACATCGAAAATGATCGAAACAAGTCAAGATGGTCGTGTGTATGAAGGAAAGAGAGGAACACCATGCAAAATTGAAGTCAATTATTTGGAGATTCTCATTCATAATTTAAAGCCTCATGCTTTTCATTATGACGTTACTTTTACTCCTGACGTTCCCAAGAAAATGTTGCCAAACGCTCTCGAAACTTTCATGAAAATTCATTTTCCAAAAATTTCTTACGCTTTTGACGGACGAAAAAGTTTCTACACAATCAATGAAATGTCAAGTGACAAAGAAGAAGTCTTTGAACAAGAAGTAAAAGCTATTTTGGGAGATCGTCAAAAGGATTTTAAAGTCAAAGTAAGGTTCGCAGCTAAGATTGAAATGAGTGTCTTAAAGAATTATCGAAAGCCTGAAAATCAGTACAACGATAAGCCAATGCATGCTGTCCAATGTCTTGATGTTATATTTCGAACAGCTTTCAATTCTTTAATTAATTCAAATGGAGCTACGCAAGCTGGAAGAACTTTTTATTTTGCCCAAAGCCGTCCATTGTTATTAGGCAATGGTTTGGAGTTGTGGCTTGGACTCTTCCAATCGGCTGTCCTTGGACGTGACGCTTTGTATTTGAATGTTGACGTTGCTCACAAAGCTTTTCCTTCTTCAATGTTATTGATTGACTTGATTAGAAGCTTTGACAGAAACAATCAACTGCCAAGATATTTTGATGATCGTTTAATTAGACAACTTACGGAATTTCTGAAAATGTTGAGTGTCGGTTATCGTCCTAATCGAAATCAACCAGGAAAAACTTATGGTTTCAATGCATTGAAGGGACCTGCCAACAGAGAAACATTTGTTGATGAAAGTGGAATAAAAATGACAGTCGAGCAATATTTCCGAATGAAAAAAGGAATCAAATTACAATTTCCTGATTTTCCTGTTTTATGGGTTGGTTCTCGTGTTCGTAACATTTGCCTTCCTATGGAATTTTGTGAAATTCCCGCTGGACAAGGAACAAACAAAAAGTGCACACCAAATGCTGTTGCTAAAATGATAAAATATTCAGCAACATCAACAGACGAACGAAAGAAGAAAATTTTGGATCTTTTAAGTAAAATTAATTATCAGAAACCGCAAGGAGAGATTCAAGGATTTGGCTTGGATATTGCTTCGAATTTCAATAAAATTGATGGACGAATTATTGAACCACCCAAACTTAAGTACAAGGATCAAACAGTTGGACCTGAGAGAGGTGCATGGCGTGGTGAAAAGTTCCTTGAATGTGGAAAACCTGTTAAATGGGCAATAATCAATTGTGATGATCGAACGTCAATTCAAGAAGTTATGAATTTAAAAAGAAACATTTTGAATGAGTCTCGACGAATGGGAATGATTTTGGCCCATTCAAATGGCGATAACGACTACTTTAAACCCAGAAAATCATCGCGTCGTTTTGATGATGAACTTAATTGTTTGGTAGATTCACTTGAAGATTGCAAAAGAAATGGCTATGGAATCGTTTTTGTCATCATTGTTGACTTCAATGATTGTTATGCTAAAGTCAAACAGGCTGCAGAATTGAAAGTTGGAATTCTCACTCAATGCATTAAAGCAAACACGATTTTCAGAATGGGAAAAGGAAATCCAATGATGACAATCAACAACATTTTACTGAAAGTCAATGCAAAGCTAAATGGAAAGAATTATGAAGTGATTGAAAGATCTTTTCATTCATTTAATGAAGTGAACAATGGCGTAATGTTCATTGGAGCTGATGTTACTCATCCATCAATTGACCAAAGCGACATTCCAAGCGTTGTTGGAATTGCTGCAAGTTATGATGAAGTTGGTTTCAGATATCAATGTGCTTGGCGTTTACAGCAACCAAAGGAGGAAATGATTATCGATTTGGAAGATATTTTGGTGGAACAAATTAAATTTTATTTCAAGAAAAATGGAAAACTTCCAGCAAAGCTGATGTACTATCGTGATGGTGTGTCAGAAGGACAATTTACTGAGGTAAAAGTTTTAATAATCTTAATTATGTTTCATTATAAAATCTTTCTCACTATTTAAAGGTTTTGAGAATTGAAATGACTGCAATTGGTGCTGCAATGAAGAGAATTTATGGAACAAAACCTCAAGCTGAGGTGACATTTATTGTCGTACAAAAACGTCATCATACTCGATTCTTCCCAACACAAAAACAATTCAGGTGGAATTTAAAATTTATTTATTTTTATGTATTTAATGATTTTGTTTTTATTTTAATAATTATTTAGTGATGGGCGAAACAATAACGTCCCAGCTGGAACTGTCGTGGACAAAAGCATTGTTCATCCATTCCAGTATCAATTTTTCCTTTCTTCACATGTAGCTATTCAAGGTGTGACAAAGCCGACCAAATATTGTGTTCTTGTGAACGAATCAAAAATCTCTCCAGATGATCTTCAAGCCATCACATTTGGTGAGATTTAATTTAATAATATCAAATTTATTTTAATTGTTATTATTTCTCAGACTTGTGTCATTTGTTTACACGATGCAATCGTTCAGTTTCATATCCTGCTCCGACGTACTACGCACATTTGGTGGCAGCCAGAGGCAAACAATACACAATTGGAAGTAAATTGGAAATGAGCTTGCTGAATCAAGAGTATAAAAATCGAATTCTTCATCCGTTTATTACGGTTGAGTGCCCAATGTTTTTCGTTTAATTCACAATTCTTGAAGTTTTCACTTAATTAAAGCAAAAATAATATCAAGTCAACTTGATCTGACAAAACTTCACAAAATTTTCTTTAAATTCATCAAATAATTGAAAAGCTTATCAAAAGAAAATATTTTTAAGATAACTTTAAAATATATCAATGATTGCGATAATCATTTAAAATTTCAAACATTTTTCACATGATATTGAATAAAACAAATAATATTGAGTCGTAAGGAAATCAAAATTCTTTCAACTTTTTTCTAAGTATTTCCAGCTAAGCAATCAAAATTTTAGATTTAAACTATCAAAAGATGATTCCTGAATTGAACAATTGAATCTTTTTAAGACAAATTGCGATCCCTTCTAAAGATTCTCTGTTTATTGTTTGAAACATGAATTAATAAAATGACTCGTGCTTTAACAATAAAAAAGTTGATTGAATATTAAAATTCGCTAACAATTTTTGATGATTTTCTATTCAATTTCATCGATTGAAATTAATGTTTTGATGAGCCAATTAAATTTTATTCCATTTGATAACCAAATTAGGTTTTTAATTACATTTTCATTTAACAATTCATATCTTGAATTTTATTTTGGGATATGATGGAGGCCTTATGGCATTGCTTCAAGACTTGCTTTGGCTGCAATAGCAGCATTTTCAATCGTTTCATATGTGTTAAACATAAATTGATACAGTTGAATTAATGCTACAGCAATGCAAGAAATTGGATAATCGGCAGTATCAATTTGTTGTGTCATAACGAAACTCAAGTATTCAACAGAAGAATTAGTTTCAGTTGCGATTTGAGCAATAATTGAATCCAAAACTGAAAATAGAATTTCGTTTATAACATTTACTGATGCTACAATTTCATCAATTTTCTTCTGATTTCCAGTTGATTGTATATCAAAAATTATAGCATTAATTTGTGGCAAGAAATCTTCTGGAGATGATGATATTTCGTATTGCAAAAGAATAGATTTAAGAACATTCAGGAGGAGAGCAGCGTTATTCGATTTTTCTTGATTTGTGCCATCGAAACCGCTGATGTCAGCGCCTTCGAAAAATGTTAAATATTCTGATACAGCATCACCGATGAAGTCTTTGATGTTGTCCAATCTATTTGCAATGTCGCTTGGGCTGAACGACAAAGGTGGACTTGAGCAAGAATTGCCATCACCCGAGAAAACTTCTTCAGCAATAATCACAACAAGGAACAAATGTAAAAGCTTCATAGTTAATGTTGAACTTCAGTAGTTAGAACTGTACTGACTTTTCACTGATCTTTTCAGTTTATATAGACTTGAAAAATTTAATTAGAAATATTTAAAACTGTTCACGAAATTTTCATTTCAAGTTTATTGAAATCGTGGAAAAAATGTACAAAGAACATTAAAGGATGAACATTATTGCTTAGGTTTGTGTGACAAAAATGAGTCGTGATATTTTTAAATTTAATCCCCACTTATGATGTCCCACTAATCCCAATCCTTACTTGTTATGAATTATTTAAATATATTCCTTTTTTGCTGTTAAATTTAATTTATACCCTGGACAAATCCTTCACAAAATTTCTTTTAAATTTATCAAATTATTGAAAAGCTTATTTAAAAGAAAATATTTTTAAGATCATTTTAAACATATATCAATGATTGCGATAATCATTAAAAATTGCATCATCTACATATATTTTTTCATATGATATCTATCGAACAAAACATAAACCAATATTGAGTCGTAAGGAAATCAAATTTCTTTCAATTTTTTTTTGTTTTCAGCTAAACAATCAAAATTTTTGATCTGAACTATCAAAAGACGATTCCTGAATTAAACAATCGTTTCAATTATGAATTATTAAAATGACTTATGCTTTAACAATCAAAGAGTTGATCAATATTAAAATTCGTTGACAGTTTCTTCGATGATTTTCTATTCAATTGCATCGATTGAAATTAATGTTTTGATGAGCCAATTAATTTTATTTCATTTGATAACCGGATTAAATATATGTTTAATTACATTTTCATTTAACAATTCTTATCTTGAATGTTTTTTATGGGATACGATAAAGGTTTTATGGTGATGCTTCAAGACTTGCTTTGGCTGCAACAGCAGCATCTTCAATCGTATCATATGTGGAATTTATGAAATGATACAGAGTAAATAATGCTTCAGCAATGCAAGAAATTGGATAATCAGCAAGATCAAACCAGTCTAGTAACATAACGTCCTTTAAGGATTCAGGAGAAAAATTAGTTTCAGTTGCGATTTGACCAATAATTGTTCCCATTACTGCGTATAGAATTTGGTTTACAACATTTACTGTTGCTACAATTTCATCAATTTTCTTCTGATCTCCAGTTGATTGTGTATTATAAATTAATATCATCAATAAGTGGCAAGAAATCTTCTGGAGAAGATGGTATTCCGTTGTTCGAAAGAACAGTTTTAAGGCCAATCAGAAGGGTAAAAGCATTATCCGATTTTTCTTGAGTAGTGCTTCCAAAATCCATACCATTGCCTTCGAAAAATGGTAAAACTTGCGTTGCAACATCATTGATGTAGCTTTTGATGTTGTACAATCTATTTGCATTGTCACTTGGACTGAACGACAAAGGTGGACTTGAACATTAATTGCCTCTACGCGAGAAAACTTCTTCAGCAATAATCACAACCAGGAACAATTGTAAAAGCTTCATAGTTAATGTTGAAGTGAATAGTCAAAACTGTACTGACTTTTCACTTTAATTAGAAATTTTTAAAGCTTTTCACGAAATTTTCATTTCAAGTTTATTGAAATCGTGGAAAAATTGTTCAAGGATCATTTTTTCTATTAATCCATTTACTACTACTGTTATTGCAAAAATGTGTGTGACAAAAGTGAGTCGTGAGAATCAAAGTATTCAAGGAACACATTTAATGTTCTCATTATGAAACTTTAATTGTGAAAAATCTTTTTTATCAGAATTTTATAATTTAATATGATGTAGTATGATGTTAATATGATCTCACTTGTTATACTTTTTTTCTATTCTTTTTTATGCTGTTAAAATTGCTTTTTAAGTTTTATAACCATCGTGAAAATTTTCCTAACGATTTTATTTTAATTTTTTTTCTACTTCCAGCTAAAACATTCAAAAATTTATCGCTTTTCGATCAACTTTATTCAAAAGCAATCAATAAATTATACAACATAAAATATTTAATTATCTACACATTAATTCTTCTTCGATTTCTTCTTTTCCTCTGGAACTATTCCAAACGATCGTTGATACTCTTCGATAATTTTGTCTTGAACTTCAGGCAAGCATGGCGAGTATCTTGAATATTCCATACAAAACTCACCTTTTCCTTGCGTCATTGATCTAATTTTTGATGGAATTCAAAAAGCAGAATGAAGAAATAATATCAAAAATATTAAAAAAAATGCTTACCGAAGTTCGCCAACATAGCCAAACATGTCATTAAGTGGAACTTCAGCATAGATTGAGCTCCAACCTTCAGTTCCATCAGTTCCAGTGATGATTCCATGTCGTTTGTTCAACTGTCCAATGATTGTGCCTTGAAACTCTTCTGGACAAGTCACTTCGACAGACATAATGGGCTCGAGAATTTGCCACGATCCATCTTCGAAAACTTGCTTCACAGCGCCTTGCGCAGCCATCATAAATGCCAATTCACTTGAATCAACAATGTGATGAGCGCCATCCTTCAACCGAAACTTAATTCCAGATAATTTGTGACCAGAAAGCAAACCTTTCTCAGCCATGAGTCGAAATCCTTTCTCAATGCCAGGAATGAATTGTTTTGGTACATTCGTTCCAACTGTTTCGTCAGTGAACTCAAGACCTGTGTTGTTGGGTGCTGGAAGTGGCTCAAGAATACCCGAAACACGTCCAAATTGTCCCGATCCACCAGATTGCTTTTTATGAAGATAATCAAACTCACAAGGACCTGTGAGAGTTTCACGGAAGGCAACTTTGGGCTTTCCTAGAACCACTGGGCAATTGTATTCTCGTTCCATCCTTTGAGCATAAATCTCCAAATGTAATTCACCCATTCCCGATACAATCGTCTCCTTCACATCCGAATCATAAGCAAATTGGAATGTTGGATCTTCTTTGGTAAATCGTGCAATTGCTTTGGAAAAATTATCGCGATCTTTGTTATTTGCTGGTTTGATTGCCATTGAAACAACGGGATCGGGAACATAAATTGATTCCATTGATAGATCACGTCGTGCTGTATTCAGGAAAGTGTCACCACTTGCACAATCAACGCCGAATAATGCGAAAATATCGCCAGCAAAAACTTCATTGACATCTTCCAAGTTATTGGAATGAAGACGAACAAGACGAGACAAACGAACTTTCTTCCCTGTTCTTGCATTCCAGATCGTGTCAGTTTTCTTTAACATACCTTGGTAACATCTTAAATAAGTTAATTGTCCGAATCTTCCAGCTTCAAGTTTAAATGCAAGACCAACGAAAGGCGATTTTCCATCACGTGCTGGATTCAAAAGAACTTTTTCAGTTTCTTCTCCTGTCTTCTCAATCAAAGCGATGTTTTCAACTTCGCCAGGATTTGGAAGATATTCAAGAACACCATCAAGCAAGGGTTGTACACCTTTGTTCTTTAATGCTGTTCCAACGAAAACCGGTGTGAATTTCCGTTTCAAAGTAGCACGACGAATGGCAGCTTTCAAGTCAGAAACTTCCGGCGTTTTCTCTTCTAAAAAGAATTCACCGAGTGTATCGTCAACATTTGACACATGCTCAATCAACTCTTGACGACGTTCCTTCGCTTCTGTTCTCATGTCTTGAGGGATTTCATCTTCACGAATGTTCATTCCGAAATTTCCTTCAAAATAAAGTGCACGCTCACTGACTAAATCAACAATTCCTTTACAATCACTCTCTAGACCAATCGGTAGTTGAACAAATGCAGCATTATGATGAAGTTTTGATCTCATTTGTGTTAAGACACGATGTGGATTTGAGCCAAGACGATCGAGTTTGTTGATGAATGCAAGACATGGAACGTTGTATCGTTTCATTTGTCGATTGACTGTAAGTGTTTGACTTTGAACACCGCCAACAGCACAAAGGACAAGGATAGCACCGTCAAGAACACGTAAAGCACGTTCAACTTCAACTGTAAAGTCAACATGACCAGGAGTGTCAATGATGTTGATGTTGTAATCCTTCCAAAGTGTGTAAGTTGCTGCAGATTGAATTGTGATTCCCCGTTGCCGTTCTAATTCCATTGAGTCCATTGTTGCTAAAGAAAATACTCATGAGTAAACCAAAAATCGCTTCAAATTCATTTAAATACCTCCGACGTTGTCTTTTCCTTTAACCTCGTGCATTTCAGCAATTCTTCCAGTATAGAATAAAATTCTTTCGGTTAATGTTGTCTTGCCGGAATCAATATGTGCTGAGATTCCTATATTTCGTATTCGATCTATTGATGGATGTTTTATTTCTTTGTCTTTCACTTGAGAAAAACATCTTGCCGAATTAATCTGGGAAGAAAGAAGAAAATTATGCAATTTTTTCATGATGAAATTTCTGTTAAACTTGTACCTGAATCAACGATCCTAAGCATTCAATAGCATTAATGCTTTGTCGCGTACGAAAAATGTTCATAATCGTCATTATTGCTAGCTTAATTATAAATTTAATTTATTTATAAAAGATTTAAAAAAAAAAATTTTCGCACGAGGATGCGATTCGCAAAGCAGCACGCATGTACGAATCGCAGAGAAGTAAACAAAACTTTACGAATCGCAACGGATATGTAAACATTGCACATATTGATAAGAAAAAGTTAAAAGAGTGAAAATGGAAAACACTGAAGAAAAACCTGTTGTTAAGACTTCGGAATATTGTAGAAGTTTAGATGATTTGCAAGCAACAGCTTTATCAATTAATTACAATGGAACATTTCTCTTACTTGCCGGGCGTCGTCATTTAGCAGTTCAAAATTTGGAAAACAAAACTGAACCTGCAAAGATGTTTCATCGGAATTCAAAGTTCGAAGTCTCATGTGCAGAGTTTGCAATTTGTCAACATTCATCGAATCTTTGTGCGATAGCTACAAGTCAACTGATTCAAGTTGTAACATGGAAAGAAGCAGATCCACTATTGGAACATTCATTAAGAGCTCATACCAGAGTAGTGACCGACATTGATTGGCATAGTCATCATCCATACATGTTAGCTACATGCTCCATTGACACTTTTACACATCTTTGGGATCTTCGAGATCCAAAGAAACCAATTTTATCACTTTCTGCTGTTTGCATGTCAGGAGCGACTCAAGTTGGTTTCAACAGGGTTAGTGGACATTTAATTGCAACTGCTCATGATGGGGATTTAAGAATTTGGGATATAAGGAAAGGTTCACGTCCTGTACAATACATAACAGCACATCTTAATCGAATTCATGGTATCAATTGGAGTCACGAACAAGAAACTCATTTAGTGACAAGTTCACAAGATGGTTCAGTAAAGTTTTTCGACATTAACAATCCAAGAAGAGCTGAAAGAATTATCACCACACCGACACCATCTCCTGTATGGAGAGCTCGCTACACTCCACCTCAGTTCAAAGATGGTTTAGTGACAATTATTGTCCCTCATCTTGGGAGTTCAGATTCAAGTGAAAATTCTTTATTGTTGTGGAATAATTCGAAGAACAGTCAGGGACAATCAACTCCGGTTTGCTCATTTGAAGGCCATACTGATGTTATCCTTGACTTTGCTTATCGCAATCGACGAGGATTATTATACGATACAGAAGATTTAGAGATTTGTACTTGGTCTCGTGATCAAACGTTTCGTGTTTGGAAGTTAGATAAAGATCTACAAAAGCTTTGCACGCAGAGCTCAATTGAAACAGAAAATGGTGAAGTTGCATTAGATTATCATCAAGGGACGAGTGTTCAGCCAAGTTGTTCCCTTCAACATGAACTTTCTTTGATTTTCTTTCCAAACATTCCTGGCGTCCAAGATTACGAATGTGATCCGGTGAAGAGAAATGCAATGATTCGTATTGCTGCTAATGGATACATAATTGACTTGCAAGTCATTTTTCCAAGTGGATATCCCGTTCTGAATCAACCTCCTGTCTTTGAATTCTGTCAAAATACGAGTTTAGATGAGAATTTATCTCTGAAGTTGATGAAAGTGTTGAAAGAGACTGCATCGAGTCGTGTTCGGAAAGGAAGAACTTGTCTTGAACAATGTTTAAGAAATCTTGTGATTGATTTAAAGAAAGAATCTGGCGGGGACAAAGCGCACCTTCGTCTTCAATCGCCAAGACTCGAAGGTGCTTTGTCAGGTGTTCTTGATGCTTGTATTCCGTTTCCAAGAACAAGTGGAGTTCGTTTTAATGCTGTCGGCATGCTCGTGACTTTCACTCGTCCTTTTACAGTGAAGAGATTTAATTTAAGAAACCAAACAACACCAAGGGCTTTATCAGCTCTTTCTGGTGGATATTTAGGAAATGTCAATGGATCAAAGCCGGTTTTTTATGCTCAACGTGAAAATGCTTTGGATCGACAAAAGTCACGTTCGATTAGTACGACAGTTTGTATTTACGACGCTTCAAAACTCTTTCTTGTCAATAGAGAAATTGCTGAAAATTATCTCATTGATCCAAATAATATTCCTGAAATGTGCCGACATAATCGAAAGGTTGCTGAAGATTTCGGTCGACCAGATTTAGTTCAATGTTGGAGTTTAGCTGAGATGGTCGCAACTTCAAACGATGACAACACAACAAGCGACGATGAAATGTTTTCAACTCAAAATCCTTTTGCGAAGAATCTCCTCGAATCTTTGTGAGTTTGTTTATTTATTAAAAATTTATTTTCTTTATTCATTTTAATTTTCTCTATAGAATTATGCATTTTGCGAAAATTTGTGATGTTCAAACAGCAGCCATGTTATGTGTCACTTTTGGACGTTATTGTCAAGAGATATCGTCGAGAACATCTTCATTTTCCACTAAATCAAACACAAGTGTGAGTAGAGACAATTTTTAGCTATTTAATTTCGTATTCAATCACACTAACTAAATTTGCATGTGACACTGGCAATAAGGTTTGACAATCTCTGGAATTTTCCAAAACTTCTTCGGAGACTTTTGGAACTCTCCAAAAACAAATTTAGCAAATTTAGAAACAAAAAAAAAGTTGTTTAATGAACGAGAAAGCTCAATTTTCAGATCAATAATCTTCCGTACAAATTTTTAACAAAATTACTAAATTAAAAGCTTTTGCAAATTTCTTGTCACGATACTGGTGAAAGATAAAATTGTGACTAAACTTACAAAAGCTTTTCACTAACAATAAATTAATTGGAAGAATTTTGATGCAATTTTGGCGAAACTCTTTAAAATTCAATTATAATAGAAGAAAAGAAATCATTTTTAATTTCTTATATACACAGCATTTACAGCAGCGATTATTGTTGAAGGTATTTATACGATAATTAATTCTGTGTCTTAAATTTTCTTATTGAGTTTACATTTCATTTTGTTCTTAAATTTTGATGTTTGATTAATATAATATTTTTGGTACGATTGATGTGAGAGATTAACAGAGAAAATCATTAATGGTGATGCGATGGAAAGGTTTAAAAACAAAAAATTTAAGAAAATAATGCATGGAGGTGGATGTGAAATGTAGATTTGACATGATTTGCTTGCTTTATTCACTGCACTTTCATTAACGAGATTTTTCTTATAAACATTCTTCCAACGTAAAAACAGCAAAGTGCAAGTCCATATCATACTGTAACAGCTATCGACACAAACTCACAAGCAACAATGAAGTACAACGCTCGACTTCTAGCGCAACATTTGAAAGGTCAAACGAGAAGCAATTCATGGAGTGAATCTCTAGCGGATGACTACAAGATTAACGAGATAACCCGAAGCTTGCTTGGGGATTCCAACCGTTACTTTTACGATACTTTGAAGAAGTCTTATGCTGACATTCTTTACTGCTTCGGTCTTTTACCTCAACGAGCACAAGTGTTGAAATATCTTTCAGTTCCTCCCAGCACATTTTGTAGTGGAGTTGAATATGTTACCGAGTGCCAGACATGTAGAAAAACCACTCGTGGACCTTCGTGTCTTCATTGCAAGAAATATTTACTTTACTGTTCACTTTGTCAACTCCCAGTCCGTGGTGCAGCCAATGCTTGTCTAAGTTGCGGTCATGGCGGTCACACAGTAAGTGATTAATCAGTTTTTAAAGTGATTGATCTTAAATTATTTGGCGTCTCTAGGCGCATCTTATTGACTGGTTTAACAAATATGACGTCTGCCCAACATGCGGTTGTCGATGCATAGAGAAAAGTGGAAATATATTAGAACTGTAAAATTAATTATTTTGACATTATTTTGTGATTTCTCATTACAACAAATTTTAATAAATTTATTCAAATTATTTACAATCTCATCGAAAAAGTTTTCTTTTTATTTCTGTCTTTAAAATTTTAACATTTATTTCTACCTACACTTAGGATAAGGACAATCAATCTTGCATTTGGTTCATTTATTTATCAGTCCATTAAATATTTTAAAATATTCTTTTCTAAAATGAAAATTGTGTGCAAGATGTTAGTTTAATGACCTCTTATCAACTGATGACAGTGCAAACATTCATTTTTGTCTCTATCTAAAACATATCTGAATATATGTTTGTTTGACATGAGTCTACAAATTAATGATAAGAAACTTTCAGGAAATCTCACATTACCATGAGTTCCCTCAACAAAGACTTTCTTGTAAATCTTTCTTTTTTATCTGTCAGTTTTTATCTTTGTAATAAAAACCTCGCATGCCGTTTCTTATCTCCACTATCTAATTATTGATGTCTTTCACAGATAATGAAATTAATTTATTCCAATATATAATGACATGACATGAGACATTTATTGAATCGAATTAGGTAGGTATTTATGTATGAAGGAAATTTATTCAGCTAAACATGAATTGACATTGAATTTTCATAATAAATTTGACTTCATAATTGATCGAATTTCCTTGATTAAGATTATGGAACAAAGAAAGATAAATTTATAATGAAACAATTTAGCCCGTATTTAAAGTTGCTAAAGACAAATTAAACTTTTGATATATTTTGTGATGAACGTTTATCATCTGTTAATGCTTCTTCTTCTTCACTCATAATTGATAGCCGTTTTTTATTTAATGGTGGGCTCTCTTTTTTGTTGCCTGGATCTAGAAATCTGTAAGCATGTTAAAAATAAGTTTTATAAGATTGTTTTGGTTTAATTTACAATATTTAATATACTCAATAATGAGCATCTGAAGAAATAATGACTGAGTAGCAGTTGACTAGCAAAGTCAAGTCAAACACTACTTGACTCCAAATCTAATGCAAGTCAAGTCACTTAACTGCAAGTCAAATTTCAATTCAAAATTCCGTAACTTACGGCTGTCCATTGGAATCAAACTTATTATCTTTTGTTAGCTGTCGCCAAATGCTTGTCTTTCCTAACTCTTCACTGATATTTACTGCAATGTTAGTTATTGAACCGTTGGAAAATGTCAGTTGAACAGTTTGATGTTCTTTTTGTGGTTTTTGAATCTGAGGGTGAAAGTGAGAAGATCTTTGTATCTAAAGAGATTTATCTGAAAGCATTCTTCATTTACAAATCCTAACATGAAAATCTAAGAAAAACATTTTTGTGAAAACAAAACGACATGCAAATGAAAAGTAAAAATGTTGATTTTGACAATGTTTTTTATTGAATTCTTCTCCATTTCTTCGTTCAACAACATCTTCAGTTTACAAAACAAGATTTTTCAAGAATTTCTCTTTCTCTTTGCTCCTTTTCCATTAAAATACATTTTATGAGCATATTTAATTGTTAGTTGTACATAAGATATAAGTTATGGGTAGAGTAGAGAAGGTTTTGGAAAAGAATTTCTCACAAGAATTGACACGATTTGCTTTCATTCTTTGTCTTTATTTAATTCCAATTTCAACATAATCCAAAGGAAATAAAACTTTAATAAAATGTGCGCATTGTTTACAAATGTTTTTAAACCAAATTTACTAACACTTTAATGTTCCTGTTCATGCAATTCTGTATGTTGATGAATTGTTGGAAAAATGAAAAGTTTTGTCTAGTTGGGATTTTAAGGAAGAATGGAAAGGATTGTCATTGTTAATAATTTTGAACTCAGACATGATTTAGAGTCATAATTTTATTATTAAATTTATCAGACACTCAGTCTAAACTCTGATCATACATTGTCAGTGCCTGATTAATCATTTAATTTTCCATCTGGAACTTTCAAAACTTTATTGGCACAGTTGTCATAAAAATGTTACTTTCATCCTTTTAATGTGCATGTTTGTGCTTATTAAGAAGCTCTTTTTGTTAGTTAGAATTAAATTTAAAAGAAAAGGAATTAAATTGACGATAAAATTTTCCATCATTCAATTGATAAAATAAAATAAATTAAAAAGATTAATTTATGAACTGACAAACAGTTGAGTGAGTCAAGGGAAATGAAGGAAGTTGTGAGTGTTATTTATTTAATAAGTTATCAAAAGCTTAGCTGTGCACAGTGTCAGCTTTGCGTTTGACAAGTTGCTTTTCAACTTTCTCGCCTATACAACAAGTGATAAATTTCTTATAAAATCCCACCTCGCCACCACCATTTCCATCTTCCAATTGATGTAAATCGTCGTCAGAACGTTTCGTCATCTCTGGCATGATATCGTCAAGGATTTTTAATTCGCGACGAGTGAAGACACAATCAAGCGACTTTCGTACGCCAATCATTACAACAAGCATTAATGGAAAGAGAATTGAAGTCGCTTGGAATGACTTTATAAGCCACAGACACACCAAGCAAGTCAGTTGTATAAGAGTGAAGAGGTGAACACGTTTTATCGGAACCTGTCAAGAGACAAACGACATGAATGTCAATTGGAAATAATTTAAAAAAAGGTCATTAGCATCATTTACCTGTCGTAAGAACATGTAATCAGGTTGATACTTTAAAGGCATCAACATAATGAGTAGACGATCATAAAATTGAAGTCCTTTCAAAGATGCTGCTCCCATATACAAAAATACGCCGAATAAAACTATAAAAAGCTGACACTATAAACATTGCTGACTTAAAAAAACTCAAAAATTTACCTGGCATTGGAATGTGTGAAAGAAGTGGCGTTAATTTGACTGAACATCCAATCGTTAAGAAGATCATGATGTGAGTAAGTCGCTGTTCTCTGACACCAAGAAATTGAGGCTTCTCTCCTGGTGCTGCTGTTTCTGAGGTCGGGAGAGNGGCATCAACATAATGAGTAGACGATCATAAAATTGAAGTCCTTTCAAAGATGCTGCTCCCATATACAAAAATACGCCGAATAAAACTATAAAAACGAGAAATCATTAAAATATTTTCATTGCTGAATTAAAAAAATCTCAAAAATTTACCTGGCATTGGAATGTGTGAAAGAAGTGGCGTTAATTTGACTGAACATCCAATCGTTAAGAAGATCATGATGTGAGTAAGTCGCTGTTCTCTGACACCAAGAAATTGAGGCTTCTCTCCTGGTGCTGCTGTTTCTGACTCAATTTTTAAGGAATTGACATGATTGATGCTTAAAACAGTCGCAGCAACAAACCACGGAATGCCAAGAACAGTGCAAACTTGAATGAGAATTGCAAGTATAAACAGATCAAGATGATATCCACAGCCTTTCTTCAATTTATTCTCTTTGCGATTCACGATGACTGCAGTGATTTGTTGATCCATAAAAATGAGAATTGTGCCCAACAGAGCGGGAATGATGGCCAAGAAACATGAGTAGATTGGATTCTTTTCATGAAAAGGTGGAATTATCCACCCACGATCAGGTAAGGTTGGTTTAAACTCTGAAGGAACATCGAGCTTTGGCGTTGGTACATTCATGAAATAATCAAGAATTGACATCGAAAAAATGGCAATGATGACAGCAAAATCGCTGATGACTTGACGAACATTTGCAGGAAAGAAGAGAAGATTTTTAAAGTCTTTCAAGATGGTGGAAATGAGAAAAGTTCCCGTAAAAAGAATAAATGAAGTTTGAAAGATTGGCGATGCGTACGCTGAACTGAAGCAGTCTCCAACCATCGTACCATTAGCTTCCTATTTAATTAATTTAAACTTTTAAAGAGATTCTTAAAAAACGAAGTTAATTAACTTACACTGCAAGTTGTTTCGTTGAAAGCTTTGAACTCTTCAACACGCCTCATCGAGGCATTCATGAAACCCCCAGGAGGTTGACAAATGCATTCGCCAATTGGAATTTTCTTTGCTATAGCAAAAACATTTTCCACTGCCTGTGAGAGAGAAAAAAAAGAAATCGGAAATAGAATTTTAATAAAAAAAAGCGGAAATGACTTCAAGTTGAAAGTTTAAAGCAATAAAAAAATTAATGAAGGTTTAAAATGGAAAATATAAGCAAAGCTTATCGCGTTTAATTTACCTTGTAAATAAATATGAAGGCAATTAAAGTGGCAAAGTTCTCTTCAGTAAATCTTGTGATGTAGCAAACAAAAGCAGATGCGTCGATAGCCACAAGAATAAATAAAATAATTGTAATCCACGTTCCAATCCAGAAGCGAAATGTCATGTAATCCCATTTAGTTAAGTCACAAAACTCATAAACGATGGTTTCGAATACAAGCACAGGTCCTGTGGAGCCTAAAATCGTTAACGGTTGTCCAGAGAAGAATCCATAAGCAATTCCACAAACAAATCCTGACACGAGAGACTCCATCGCTGCCATATTTTTTCCAGTCGCTTCACTTAACAAACCACCAAATGTAATGATTGGCGACAGACATGCAAAGTATAAGAAGATCCAAGAAGCGACTGATTGCAAATTGACGCCATCCTTAAAGTCTGATAAATAAAAAGGTTTCTTTCGTTTCAAGTCATTGATGAGTCCACCAAATAATCGACCAGATCGTGACAATCCCGACTCTTCCCTCAACTTCTGTTCTTCTTCTTCATCATCCGGTTCTTCCTTCTTCGGTTGCTTTTCCGGTGGTCTTTTACGAATTTCTTGTGACGGAATGACAGTCGGTGGTTCAATTCTTATTGACGGATCCCATTCACCAGGTGGAAGGACAGTGACAGCGTCAAGAAACTCATCAACACCAGCTAAAAGATGGTCTCGTTTTCTTGCACGATAAGCAACTTCATGAAACACTTCATCACTCATAAGAGTCGCCATGGAACGCCCAATTTCATGAAATGTCGCTTGACTACCCGCCGGTCCCAAAAGCACAAAAATAAATCTGCGAATGATGGAATTTCATTTTTTTATTAATCACATTATAATGATGTTTATGATTGCCAAAAATTCTTACCTTGTTGGAACGGGAACCTCAGTTAAGTCACCCATGATTGCCGCAGAATTTAAGCGAATGAATGCAGATAAAGTTTTCGTTAGAAAATCGACTTCGCCAACGAGAATATTTGAAGCTTCAGCGCCAGGAGGAATTTTACGCATAAAATTAAAATTTATGCGATGATGGTCGTGACCTTGGAAATCACTGGAGCTGACATTTCGTAATATTTGTGATGTGCTACTAGGACTTATGAGTGGTTGTTGGTGGGTTGTTTGATCTACAATTTAATTCCCCAAGAGTTGGTTGATGAAGGAAAATGACAAAGAAAGGAAATCATTTTAGCTTAACATTTTTACACAGAATTTTAGATTCAACAAGCAAACAAGAAAAGTATCGCTTTCAGAAATTTCCACAAAAAAGTTTTCAAAGATTGCTTGGGGAAAAATTTTGATTTTCTTTTATGTGAAAATTCATGAAATGAAGGGTAAAAAAGTGAAGTAAACAAGCGTGTAAAAGTTAAGTCGTGAGACCTACATAAATATCAAAAGTAGACGGCAAGAAAGTAAACGAAATTTATCAGCTGCTTGATTGCGTTTTTATTTAATTTCATTTTTACTTAGAGACGTTTACTTAACATCGGCACTTAAAGGTTTGAACAGTTGTTTTAAATGAATATTCGTAGTGAGTCTTATTCATGTGTGTTGATCATGAAAAGTCTTTTAATGTTCGAATGTTTAATGTCGGAGGAAAATCGATAAGTAAAGCATCGAAATTTCCTTTTATGTTTGCTTGTCATAACATTGAAAGCTATCATGAGAAATTGCATAATGGAGAACAACTCAATGATACTTGACGATAGAATAAATACAGCAAATGAAGAGTGCAAAAAAAAATGAAGCTCGTTGTCAACGCGTGTCTCGTAAATAAAATTTCAACTTAAAACTTAATTGCTTTGTTATCAATTGAAAATGAATTGTTTTATGATAACATTGCGACAAGTGCATAAGCTAATCTTATTGTTATGTAAACTGTTGTTGACTTTCATTTAACTCATAAGGAAAATAATAAAAAATTTGTTGATGTAATTGTGAATGGAGAAATTGGATTCATTGAAAGTTACGAGAGATTTGCTTTGTTTGTTGGAAATGTGTTGCATATTACGACGTAAGATTCAGTATATGATTGCGTTTATCTCAAGGCCATTCACATTGTGAACAAAGACATTAAGTACGAGATATCAAACATCAAATTAACAATTCATTTTTGTTTTGTGAATTTCTTTACCAAACAATTGCTTTCCTGGAACGGATAGAAATTTTCCGCTACTACCGTTTCCATTTTTCAAGCTTGTTGTTGATAAATTGCCTGGTGGACTGCCAGATGATGGCTGTTGATCTTCCACTGTTTTCATTTCATTCATTTTTTGTTGAAGAAGAAAATACAGAAAAAGAAGCAAATTTATGAAAACAAAATCATTCAACAAGAGTTAGAAAAATTCTCAGAATGATTAGCCTTAAAATACTTATGAATGATTCGTTAGAAAAGAAAGGTTTTTCATCAAATAAATAAAACAACAACAATTGAATAAAGGAAATAGAAAAATGAAATATGATATGAACACTTGGAAGTTTCATTCGCAACATTAACTAACAACAATCAACATGAGATTGTTAAGAATTATTATCTGGGAACTCAATTCAATTAATTTCTGATATTTAAGTGATTTGATATTGATTGAGTTTAATTCAGTTATTTATTTAATAACGATGGTTATCGATGTAGATATATGAGAACAAACAGATAATTTTGATTAATGATGATATGTGTTGGTGGGAAAAATGTGTCAAAAATAAATCTTTTTATGAACAGTGAGAAAGAAAATCAAATGTTGCTAATGGAAAAAGGATTTCAACAACAGCGAATGCAAAATTATTTATTCAGATGAGATACGAAAGAAGAACAGAAATTTGAATATCAAAAATGGGAAAGAAGCGACATGAAATTTTCTTAAAATATTTTAAATAAAATATCTCCAGATACTTTGAAAAGACATGAAATTTAATTTTATTATAAGTAATGAGATTGAAAGAGAAGCAGAGAAAAGGAAATTAAAATTAATTTTATAAACACTTGATTAAGTTAATAAACATAAATAAGATTTCATCAGCCTTTCACTCTTTTGTGCGTTGTTATGGAAATGTTTAAAATATTCACAAAGCAACGCGCAGAGAAGCCAACAAAATGAATTTAAATTAAAATTTAAGTAATAGAACTTTTGATCTTGAAACTGAACACATTTAGAACTGCCAATTAACATTCTTTAACCTTTGATTTGTGTTTCGCTAGCTGCATGACTTGCTCCAGCATGAAACCACGTTGTAACACCAACATTGTGACATGAATCACCTTTTATGTTGTTAGAAATATTTCAGCACATGTCATGGTGAAAAGAAGTTTAGGAATTAAAATTTTATCTTGATGGGTATGAAGCCATTTTAATAATGTTCTCGTTTTAGTTAAAGAGATTGGAAAGAAGAAGTTTTAAAATAGAATTTCCTGATCATAATTTAATTTAAATTTATTGATTGAAACTTTCGTAAGGAAACATTCAAAGAATCTTAAGAAAAATTTGTTCTTAATTGTGGAAATTGTTGTATTGTTTAACAAAGTACATGGTCGTAAAACTAAGATGTCAATTAAGCGAGTATCAGAATCTTCTCATCTAATCTAATTTCCAAATTACTTTCAATAAATCGCCCCAAGGAAAAGCGTCAACTAGAAGCTTAAATAATCGTTTCCTTCATCACAAAAAGGAAAATGGAAATCATTCATTGAAAAATATTGCGTGACTTTTGAATACTTGGGGCGATTACTCGACTACTTCGTCTCACTTTCTTTAAAAATGAACATCGACAACGTAAAATATTTCTTTAATGAAAGGATCAATAAGAAAATAATTTCCTTTAATTTCAAACATCAAATTAATTCTCTGAATATTTGATTACCCAAAGAGGAATTCCCAACTTGTTGATGGGAAAATTAGATAAAGAAAATATTTTCGCCTGGAAATGGAAGAATTTTAGAGCAACAGAAAAAGGATTTCTTGATTAATGGTTAAAGGAAGATTCTAAATGGAGAGTTTTGTAATTAAAAGCAGGTCGAATTGATGATTAAGCAACATGCAATGTTTTAATGGAAATAATTTTTATTTTCACTCTGTTGATGTCGCGTTGGTTTATGTACAAATGATGTCAACAGTCGTCAAAACAGCAATGGTTGATTTCGCCCACTAAATTTTTGCTTTTTTTCATCAAACACAAAAAAAGTTTTCTCAATTTTCATAAAATTTTGACGTCGATTGTTCAACCTCAAATGTTTAGTTTTTAATTTTTGTAAACATCACGAAAGATTTTACTCACTTTTTGCTGTCGAATGATTCTTTCCGATGTCAGCTAAACTGCGAATGATTGGCAATCGACTCATGTTCACTTCACTTTTTACTTTCTTCGGATCTTTTTCATGCTGATGGCGATGACGACGAAGTAAAGCTTCCTTCACTTTAAGCTTGGTTTCATATCCTAAAAGTCCATTATTTGTCATATTTTCTGTCACTAAATCAGCAACTTGTTCAAGGCTCGTCGCTTCCATGTCAAGCATAACAGTTCCAGTCAAGAGAAGATTTCTCAGTTCGAATAAAGAGTGAAGTGAAAGCGTTGCAACGTGTGGCTTTGACCATCGATTGCCACCTTCCTCAACATCTTCTTCAAACTTCACCCAACGTGCTGTCTCCTTCCATTCAATCTCATCGCCATCTTTGACAAGCTCTTCCATCTCAGAAAACAAAGGATGAGATTCAAGAGGTGGTTGGTTAATTCCATCTTCACCATTTGCATCTTCACCAAGAATAAATTGCACTCGTTGAGCTGGGGGTGTAACTAGAAAAATAATGAAAGGAAATTGTTACACTTTCATGTAATTAATTGAAGAACATCGGAAATTAAGCGAGATTTATGGCAAATGACAAACTTTACTTTATTATCAACAGTCATTTCATTAAGCAAGTAAAAGCGATAAAAAAACTTCTTTATTGATGACCAAGTTTTAATTGGTTTTTACTTAAAATGTCCCTAATGCATTGTAAAAAAAGTTTTCTAAATAAGTTTAGCAAGCGATGAATTGTCACACAACAAAAAATGAAATAAAAATTCAATTTAAAACTTTTATTAGTGAAAAGTAAAGTTATGCTCGTGTTATGCTACCAAGAAAACAAAACTTTCATTCAAAATTTCTTTTAAGTAGAATTTTGAACCTCCATGCGTGTAAATATAAAATTCAATTCGTGAGAACAACTTTACTGCTTACATATTTCTTCAATCTCAGCTAAGCTCGGCTTTCTTCTTAATCTCCTAGATGCTGAAGTTGAATAATTTACAAAAAAAAATGTTCTTTTTTATTCATTTCATGTGCAAAGATTTTCGTTAGGAATTTCATATTAGAAAGAAATAAACAAAATTATCATATGAGCCTTGCGGGGCATCATTGAGATGACATTACGAAAAACAAGCAAATATTTTTGTATGTAGATAATATAAACGACATAAACATGAATTTTAGGAAAAGTAAACGAAAATGTTTTTCTCAAAGCTTTAAGCTTTTTCATGTTTAAATATCTGGAATAAATATAAACTTTTATTTTATATTCAGCAAAGACTTTTCGTCTAATTCGTCGAAGGAATAAATGACAACATCTCGAGTATTAATTAAATAGAAGCCTTCACCACTTCTAATATTCGTTTTCTTCTTTATGAAGTTCGCGTAAATAAGAATGAAAGTCAAAACCAAATAAGAAACTTTTCTCATCTAACTGTCGCTACCAGAAAAGCTTTTCGCTTCTTCTTCTTGTTGTGTAAATGTTGGGGAAGAAAGAAAATCGATTTCCTCTTCATAAAATATTGAGACTCAGATTAATACTTGAGTTGATTTGTAAAGAGATTTACTGCAAGGTCAACATGTGTTGATTCAGAAATAATACAGCGAAATGCCGAGATTTATAAAAGTTGGAAGTTTAAAGAATTATTGGGAAATTCAAGAATCATTTGTCGAGAGTATTCTGTGACTTATTTATGTTGGTCATAATGGATGAGTAAAAATGCGATAATCTTACCTGGTCGTTCTTGCGAATCCTGGGAATTTTTGTCACCGAGATCCTTTGGTAAATGTTTTCTACGACGATGAGAACGTCGAGCTGGTACATGCACACCTACATAAACTGTATGGGCTCGATGTCCTAGATATGAACAAGAACAAAAACTGGCATTAGTGGGAGATTATTTATGAAAATTTATGAGCTATCATCGGGCAGTTTAGCTGTCGTTCACGGGCAGTTTGTATTCATGGGAAAGTAGTTAAAGAATTCAATTTCCTTTTAATGGAGCGATAGAAAATGTTGATCCTATTTTTAGAAGATAAACACTCAGGCCATTTATTGAATGTTTACATAAACTTCATTTTCTTGCTTTTAAACGGCAATATTTCTCAATTGAATGTTATCAAGTTATATCGTTATTGCTCAATAAGGAAAGATATGCGCCTAAGTGCTTTTAATTGATTGAACTGGAACTTTTATAAAATCTTTTAATAGATGTGGATATTGAATGATAAACGACGACAAATCAGCAACATATCGATTACCAAGTGGATTCTTTTTTCTTTTCTTAGCAACGGAATCAATCAATGATGAATAAAATTGTTTTTTTTTGCTTACCTTCAAAATCTTTTTCGGTGAAAGATCTTTGTGGAATTCCTGGATCGATTGGGGCAGCAATTGGATCGTCAGATACTGGATGCATTGGTACAAGAGTCCACGGTAACTTTTCGTAATGATATCTTCAAAAATAAATTACTTTAAATTCATCATTTGAACAAATTTATATTGTGAATTAGTCGGAGATTTAACTGATAAGAACTCGACAAGGATTTTTTATAATTCAACTTGAATATGTGGCAATGAACTAATTATTATTGCACTTATAACATTTTATTAATTTAAAAGAAATACTTTTTCTATTTGCAGAATTGTTCACTAAACAAGCGAGAAGATAATTAAATAAAAAGATTAAAAGCTGAAGAACATTCTTTTAAGTTTCATTTGACTGAAGGTTATGAAAAGCTGGTACTTCGTTTTGAAAAATAAAACACTTCAGACAGTACTAGAATAGCCCAATTCTAAAATTTGAATGAGTTTTGATAATATTCATAACGTATTTAAATTGAATAATTTACCAACATGCTTTGCAAAAATAATGATATTTATAGTCATCATCAATATGTAGGTATTTAAATTGAATTCATTCAATATTTAAAAATTTTGTTGCTCATGAATTTATAAGCCACGTAACTCGCTGACTTATTCAAAAAGAAATAACTTCATTTCAAAGAAAGATTGCGGATGTCAATTTTTCACAATTTGTTCAAGATAATTCATCATGAAAAAGCAGTGCATAAAATATTCAATTGTGTGGCGAAGTTTTGTGAGAGTTGTAAGTGGTTCAAAAAAGAAATTTTCCGTCTGAGCCACAGACTATTAAATGTTTTCAATCCAAGGTCAGTTCGTTTCGTTTCATTATATTTTCTCTTATATTTTGAACGCTTTTATAAACTTCATACATTGTCTTGAATCAAGTATGCAAAAATCTGTCGATTTCTTTGAGTTATGGTGGTCCAAGAATTAATGTCAAAAAGGCGCCTGCCATTTATTTGGTTCCGTGATAAAAGCAGAAGTTAATTAACATGTTAATTTCCCTTTTTCTGTTATCTAGAGACTTCTCGTGAATTTCATTTCAGTTCAAGTTAAATTAAAAAATTATTCAAATCTCGGTTAAGGCTGCTGTTTCAGATTAAATAAAAATATTTTGATTTTAACGAAAGGAACAAAAACATGCGACAAATTTTCATGTCAGTTTAAACATTTTAATTGCGCTTGTAAATGAATACATTAATGGACTTGGAGGGTAGAGTGATCGTCATGTTCTGAATTGAGCTTCAATTTGCAGTTTGAAAAGAAAAAAAATATGTAGACATGTTCAATAATGCAAGTATGAAAAATAATAAGCGCAAATGTAGCAAACATCGGAATGTTCTCAATGAGTAAATTAATTCTGGTCTGTAATAAAGATTATATCGCGATTTCACATTTAATGGAGTCATTACGACTTTTAATATGTAAAATTTGTTTTCTTGTTGCTAACTCGCTCAGAACAACAAATATTTGTCTAGCGACAATGTTCGTTACGTCCTTTGTGTTGTTTTAATATCACGATTGATGTCACAATATGTACTAAATTTATTGAAAAATATTTCTTATCTTCAACAATAACGAAATCAATTTGAGGTTTCCGTTTGAGAAGAAAGAAAGTTAAAAGAAGTGAAATTGAAAGTGAAAAACATGAAAACGACGAGAACGTTCCACAGCGTTTCTTTATTTTAAAAGCTGTTAATAAAAATTGGTTTCATTTCCTGATATTGACAGAATTTTATTGACAAGGTCTCGGATAAAAATAAATCGTGTTTCTAGGAAATGTGGGGAGGAGTTGTTGATAACATACTTATTGTGGTTGTGATGATGGTGATCCATTCTGATCTGATGATTGTCTTTTTTATAACTTTAATTACTTTTTAATTTTTATGATTTCAACGAAATCGCTTTTTTAAATACTTTTACACTGATAACAAAATTCCTTTGAATAAAGATGAATCGTCACAGCACCAAATTGATCGTAGGTCAGTTTTTTTTGCGAATAAAATCTGTTTTTATTTATTTTTAAACTTCCAGGCAAGACGAGAAATTTCCATTCATATGTTGATGTTTCATTCCATTTTACGTCGAGTGTTTATGTGGGTCACTTTTTAAATAATAACGAAATCTTTTTCTTTCTTTTTTTTTGTCACTTTTTAGAGTTCCGATGAACTGTTGCCGAAATTTATATATTTTTACGACTCAAACAGCGATAGCACAACACTGAAACATGACAGAATTCTTCTTTTTTTTTTCGTTAGTTAACAAGTCGCGCCCATGAACGAGTGTTTAGCTTTTAATGTTTCTTTCTGGCGATTTCACATGTTTTTCGAAACTAACAAAACGAATAATTTCGCACATTTTTAATGAGTTTCTGGTGAAAACTAATTGAAAAGATTTTACGAATCAAAGATTTAATGAGAAACAAAATAAGAATTATCATACGAATTTAGTTCTTCAACATCATGGACATCGATGTTAATGCCCTGCTTCGAACTTAAAGTCGTTAAACTAATAAAAAAACAGAATTTTTTATTATTTTTCTTTCCTTTTATTTTCAATTTTGATGTGTTTCACACGGCGGTCTCGACAACACTACTTAAAATCGAATCGATATAGAAAAACAACCGCAACGGCATGAAGGCAGGCAGACAAAATTGAATGTGAATACACAAACAGTAGACACTCACAAGAAGGCTGAGAGAGTAAAGTCTTGATAATCACATTGGAAATAAATTACAGAAAACACAAACACATAATCAGCATACGAAAAGAAATGTCTTTAATCACTTCCAGTCAAACAAATTATATATGTTGACGTTCTGATGACAAATTAAGGCCAAAGAAATTTAAATGACTGCACTGATAACATGTTAAATCTTAAAATTATGTGATTTCCAAATAAGAAGCGATGATTACTGAAATGCGTCTTTGGATTTTTCAAATGACATCATTACTCTCATTGAAATCTAATCAAATGTTCTTATAAAATTAAAATAGGGCGACGATGTAGACTTAGCAGATAGGAAGGTAGAAATGAATTATTGATAACATTTCTTTCACAGACACATGCCAATATTTCCCCTCAACCGTCTATTTTAGCAAAGCTTTGCGACAGAAGAAAGAATAAGTAGAAATTGTCTTCGAAAGCCAAACAATGATATCAATTTCATTCAATTTTTTGGAGTGTATCGATGACACTTATTGATTTCTTAGTGTGAAGCATGACGGTAGTCACGATTCACGTCTTCAAGGACTCCATTTGGTTGTTTCAATTCGAAATAATAAAATACGTGTGTTGCCCTTGAAAACATAATCTGAATCTCAACGTGAATGAATATGAAGTCAATTTTTCGGATTGAAGCGTCTCGAGTTCAAAAATCTCGTAAGAAAACGATCTTGAAAATTCATCCATGGCGATAAACTCAGAAATAAATGTATGGGAGTAACTGTAACATATGAGTAGGTTCATTTTATTTGTAATCATGTCGTTCAATAACGAATGACTTGACATTATTTAAAATTATTAAACTTCATTCAAATTTTCTTTATCTTTTCTTGTAAAAGAAAAACAAAGCAGGAAAAGAAATTTTGTTCCCAACATGTGTGACATATGCAAATCAACTTGTGAATGTCTCGACGAGACTGAAACATTTTTTCGACAGTGAAGTTATGAAGAAAATTCAAATTTCTAAATAAACAGAACAACACATGAATTTTATGTTTATTTCCTCATGTTATTATAAGATCTTGACGTACAGACAGAAAATGCAAACACGTAAAATTTCTAACATGTATTCATTGTTGATTGTTTGTGTTTATGGTGATAACATCGGCTACAATATTATCAAACGTGTCTGACAAATATTTTGCTTGTCAAACTGACAGATAGAAAATCTTTCGCTTTTCCTAGCTAATTTTTCTCTCTTTTTCTTCAAAAGCATAAGATTAAACTGACTAAAACATCCATGTTAACGATGTTCTTTAAATAAATGCGATTGTGGGTAGTTCATTAACCTCATTCTTTGAAAGTATTTAGTTGCGAAGTGTAGCAATGATAAGCAGCTGTGCTTGAAAAGATATTGAATATGTCTCGATTTTCTTAACAAATTTTTCCTTTTTCAAGGTTTCTCACTTCCTAGAACTTTTCTCAATCTCTTTTCAAATAAATTTTCACATTTTTGGAAGCGGAAAAAGGTTTTTGAAGGAAATGAAATTATTCACACAAGACAATTTTTCCTTCATTTTCAATTTCCTTCAAATGAAAAACCTTTTGTTAGATTTCAATCCTCTTCTATCAATTGAGATTACTTTAACCCAAATCTTGCAGAAGTGAGTTTGTCGCTACCTGCGGTTACAAAAGTCCAAAGATTTGAATTTTTGGTTGAATAAAATGGCAATCTTCGATGAGAACAAGACTTATAAACTGAACGATAACCAGCCTTGAACTGACGAAAGAAAAAAATAATTTTTTAGGTTGTTAACATTTCGTGTATATTAAAACAAGTGACGTTCCACCATGGAAAATTCTTTCCCGCTTTTCGGGTATGGCCCGAAGAGATTATTTGATTTGATATTTTTAAAACTTATTCATTATTTACTTTGACACTCGCCAGAATAAAACTTAACATTAAACACTGATTCATCGACTTGTAGAAACTTCTTTTGATTATTTTTATTATTTATTCACGTTATTCGAGACAACGACAGAACTAAAGCGTTTCCTTCTTTGTTCTCAAAAACAAGTCAGACATTCTAATCTTTCTTCCCTTCACTGACATTTTAACTGTGAAATTTAAGACACAAACAGGAAAAAAGTTCTACCTTCAACTAAATAAATTTTCTGAGACCGCTTCGTTATTAAGTTTTATGTTTCACGTCTATCGTGAAGGGAGCCGCGTGGCCAACTGAATGAAAAACACTCAATGTATGCACGTAAGGAATCGGATTTCCAGTCTTGCGCTTGTGTTTGTTGTGTCTGGCTAACTACATTCACATAGAAAAAAAGAGAAATTGACAGCGAATTAAGAATGAGAGTGGGTCCTATTTCCTGCAGTGGAATTTCCTGCAATTTTCCTAGGATTCCTAGGATTCCTAGGATTCCTAGGATTCCTAGGAATCTTAGGAATCCTAGGAAAATTGCAGGAAATTCCACTGCAGGAAATAGGACAAGCCCAAGAATGAATCGTCGATCGAGCCTCTATTCATGTGATTAAGTCGCTACAGCATTAGTGATTATCATTTAATTGATAATTATCTGGAATCAATTCATACGGATATTTACTGTGTGAATAAAACATTTGGTTATTAAAGCGAAATGACGTGAATTGTTTTTTTCTCGTTCACAAGACAATAAATTCTTGAATTAATTAACTTAAACTGGATGGAATTCCAAAGGCCACCTCCATCCATCGTTTAATAATTCTTGAAATAAATTAAACTTGTAATGACTATCAGCTGCTTACAAATGTTAATTGCTGTCTACTCGCACTGAATACCAACTGGAAGAGTGTTTTGCTGGTTGCATAATTCAACATGCTTCAATGTTTATTTGCAACAATTTTTATTTCCCTCGTTCTTGTTTATGTTTCAATTCCAATTCATAAATAAAATGTCCGTGCAAACTGCTGAATGACTCAATAAAAATTCAAGTCATTGACACCGAGTGAATGAACGTCTCTGTTATGTTTTCATTGTGACTACGACAAAAAAAAAAGTGCAACAAAAAACTTCTTTTTTACCGCCTTCAAACAATTTTTTGTCGTACGAAAAAGTTTGCATGTCGATTTATTTTTTGGCAACACTCCAAGATAGCAAAACGATGCAAAATTTTGTGTTCATTTGATGATTTTCTCATAAGAGAAGATTCACTCTTTCAGCACTAAATGTTTTTAAAATATTCGGGGGGTTTCCTAAACAATAAATTAGAAACTTGAGTGGGATTTATTTACTTTTCAAAGTCATTATCAAGATGGTCATTAGACAATTTTTTGATGATTTCCTTTTGGGCATGAACTGTTGGGAGTTTTGAACTTTCATCTCGTGAACTTTTGCACGTCGTCCAAAGGGAGAATCTAAACAAGAAGAATCTTTTCAATGGACAAGAAATAAATTGAAATAAATTATTGTCGCAAACATAATTTTTCATTAAAAAATGTTGCTTTACAAAGTCCCTCGATTATTAATTATAATACATATTAAGCTTGAAACCCTGAGATGGCAGAATCGTGGCGCTCATTTGTTTTAATTGTGTGCGGAAGCGAAAGAGACCTGAGATGACTTTTAAATGAGAAAAGTTTATGTCTTTCACAAAGAAATTGTAGAATCATGCGGTAAAATTTAATTCTGTTCATTTCATCTTTGTGTTTTAGTCCACCCAAATACTTCAACAATTTACACAAAATAAGTTGAAATTTCCACCTACGCATTTCTCTCAATGTTTACTTTTCTTTTATAATTGATAATTTTTATAAAAAATTGAGCATGACAAATAACTTAATGAAGCATATGGCATGGAAAGCACGTAACAAATTCAGTAATCAAGATATACCTACTTCCAGAATTATGTAAATTTTCATAAATCTTTCAATCGATAAATTTATTTTTCGCGTGATGAAACAACACAATGTTTGTTGAAGGTATTTGAAACTGCGTCAGGAACTTTAAAGCTTGAGTAATTAAACACCTGGAATTGTGAAAAATTTTCATTCTTTGCAAACAAAATATGCACGCACAACTTTCGATTGATCATAAAAATTAATTTTATTGTTTACTCCAAAATTTCTCTCCATTTGTGATTTATTTCAACAATTTCTTCAAGTACGCATTCAATCTAAATAATTTAGGCATAAATTCTCTTTACGACCTTCTTGTGCTTTTAAAGTAAACAAAATTTCATGAAAAAGGTCAAGTCCAACAAGAAATTAAGACACGTTTGATTCCTTCTTTGAAGCTTTCATCGCCTTTTTGAATTTATCAACATTTTGTTTTTGTATATTTACAAACCACTTAAGAATGTAATCTTGTCTTTAACAAGGAACTTCTCAAATTAACGAATTCATTGAATAAATCAGTAGAACGAGCATTCTTTTATATCACGAAATCAATTTTAAAATTACTTCCATCTTATTTGAAAACAAGACAAAATTCTTCAAAACGCCGGAAGACAAATAAAAAATTATTTCATCTTCAAGCTTTTTACAGAATTTTGAAATGTGCTTTCATGATTCTGAGTACCAATGATGACGAAATTCATGAACTTGAAATGGAATTCAAATGTCTATTCATATCAACCTTGCTATGTTTTCAGTTAGCTTATCTAAGCATTACCGGCATACGAGGCATGATCTCAGTAAATCTATCAAAATTTTTCATTGTCAAATATTTCTCAAGTTGACATTTTGTAACTCGAGTTGAAAAACGTTCATCAGAAATGAATACGAGTAAGCTGAGGGAAATACAATAATACGAAGAAGTATGAAATGTCGTCAACTTACCTCTTGGAAAATTTCCTTGTCTATTCCTTCGTCTGTTTAAATTCAATTTCGACACCTTCGTGTTTGTTGGGTTCAAAATAAATCGATAATTGTTTTCGGCAGAATTTTTAGTTAACAATACAATTAGCAACTCGTATTCTTATTTTGGAGAGACATCAATAATATAATAAGTAATTGAATTTCAATAGTTCCATGCACTGTCATTTAATTTCCTTTACATTCAATAACGGAAGCAAAGCCACTTAGAAAAAGTGAATACCGAAAACGCAGACAGAAAATCGATAAAATTTCTTTCCCTTCTCTCCTGTAAACGTTGCGGGAAGCCAACGAAAGTTTGTTTGGCCTATTTTTCTTTCCTACTATTTTTAACTCATTTCTCATAAAATTCAGCTATTTTTTCACACATGAAAGTCATTTCGATTGTTTGCAGGCTAATTTTAAATTTATTACACTTGATATTGGACTATTAAATTCTAATATTCTTCTTAGATTCAACGAAAAATTTTCCACTAAGTTTCAACACATTTTTCTAATAACTTTTAAGAGATTAACAATCACGAAACAATATCAATCAATTCATTGCACTATTTAACATAATTTATAGAAAATGGAAAATATTTTTCACATCAGCAAAGCAAAAGAATTAAATTTAGATGCAAACTCTTGAGATAGCTCACAAAGAATGAGATGAAATTGATTGCTCTCCGAAAAATGCTGAATGGAGCATCATTAACAGAGACATATTAAGGAGATAGGTGCACTTGTTTACATCTTGTCTGTAAATCTTTGAATTGAGGGGAAATTTTCAGCGTTTGCGCACATCGCACATTCAGTCACGTTGTTAAAAAATATTGAGAGAATGATGGGGAAACACCATTCGTAAGAAAGATGCATGATAGAGATGTGAGTTTAAGAAATTTAATATCGCTTCGTTTTTAACAAAGAACAGTTAACCAAAATTTAATTGACTTTTTAATCCTTTATTATTAAATTATTTTAATTTTCTTTACACTTATTACTTTTTACTGTTTAATAAAACAGCTTTCTCAAAAGCTTTTATTTTATTTATTAATTTATTAGCGACTACAGATGAAATTTTAATGAGTAAGGAAGAATCTACTGGCTTAAGCGAAACAACAAATATATCTGAATATGTTTTATTTTTCTGAAAGATAGTCAACATTCATTCGCAATTGTTTCATGAGTCTTCATGCAACTGTCGACAGTATTTTTTGTTTTCTTTTTTTTCCAAGCTTACAGCTACCAAAACTTATTTCTACAATTTTTGTTTCTTTTAATACTTGTAAGGTGAGAAAAAAAGCTTTCACTTGAGTAATCTAAAATGGCTTCAAAGTCAAATTTTTAGTAAGTTTCACGCTAATCGTGTTTGGACTTTAACCTGCTCCTGATAATGAAACAGACAAGGAATTCTCAAAGAACAAGAATTGAAATTGTTCATTCAGTTAGAAATGGAAAATATTACAGCATAAAAGCTCATGTTGTTAATCTAGTATAATCCTTGTGTGAGAAAGGAATAGAATCTAGTACAAAAAGCTCTTCCTTTCAAAAAATTTGCTATTATAAAATATACCGAATTTTACTTCCGCAATCGGAGTATTTCTTGATCTTCAAGACTTCAATGAATGTATCACTATTAAATCTTTTCTATCTTTCATTCTTTGTTTATGAATTAATGAGTTGAGCTTCCATAGCTGAGCTTTTGAAAGTATAAACTTGAGCGCCTTCTCATTTAACATTTTTAATTACTTTCTTCTTCTTATTTACAGAAATACCGGTCTTCATACTTTTCGCAATAATCGCAAACAACATTGCAACATCTACCATTTGTAAATCTACATCTACACTTTTCGACCTGCTTTATGACTCTCGTTGTATAACCGCGACCGCAGCACAATGATGAACAATTGTCGGGACTGAGACATTGTCGTCCTTTTGTAACAGCACAAAATGTTGGAGATTGTTCAAGATAAAACAGTTGCTCGAAGCTAGGATCTTGCAGAGATTCACCAATACCAATGACGGGGAATCCACGAGCATTGAAGCCTGTTCCAATCGTTACCAAACGTTCGCGACGTTCTCTGTTTGCTGCACGACGTGAAGCTTTGGCGTATGAAATTTTTCTGATTGCTTGATGATATTTCACACGTAATGCAGCTGCTGTTGTGTTGAAACCGCTCAATTTTCTCCAACATGTTTGCATCGAACAACTGCCCGAAACACCTGAAAGATGATAACTTCAAATATTTTCATTACATTCTAAGCTGTTTAGCATTTGTTATTACCATGGCATTTGCATTTCTCTCCAAGTGAACTGACAACAGTCATAATGCCGACTTCACTGTCATGACGCAATAACGCTGTAGCTTCATCACCTTCACCATCTACTGAATGCAGTTCTAAGAAGTTTCGTGCCACTCTCTTGCCATGCTTAACATTATCGCTGCAACCACCCCAGCGAAATTGTTTTGTTGCGGTATCAGGACGACGTTCGTTTGCACATTGACATCGCGTCATTTTTCCTTCGGCGCATGCCCGAGAAATTTGATAAGTGAGACCAGCCGCTGTCAAAGCATGGACAAATGCAGTTTCTTTGTAAACCTGTTACATTATGGAATGTATTTATTGGAATCTTTCATAATGCTTTTATTGATTGTAAAACAAACCTTTTTGAAGATGTTTCGTTTGCCTCGTGTTTCTATCGAGCAATTCCATCTATCATATTTAAATTGTTCTTCACAGTGTGATAATGCTAAACGTTTTGCATCTCTAAGTGCATCAGAAAGACCGGAATCTCTTCGACACTGATGGTTTTGCTTTCGTGATCCATCAAGGTATTTACATGGACCTGACTTAGTGACTGGTGAGTAAAGAGCCATCACCACATTTTTATAATTTAATTGATCATCTGGATCTTTTTCGGTCGTCGTTGCAAAAGTACTCTTCTCAAATTTATCTGTTTTTTCTCTGTAAAATTATGATGAAATCGGAAGAGGAAGCTTGAATTATTAAATATATTTATTCTGTCTTTATAAAAAATAAACATTGAACGTTTTGAATATTTTTGATCGTTTAAGCGCCTACTTAACATAAATATACAAATAATTTAGGAAATTCCATAAGACTTTCCGCCACTGAATGCCATTACAATCTTATTATTTTGGTTTTATTTAAATATTTTTGAAATTTGCTATAATAAGAACTTTTAACCGTTCATTTTTAATTAAACATGTAGATGAAGTACTAGAATTTCAAAAAAAAAATTAACGTATTTTTATGAAATTAGCTAATTAACTATTGTTTAAAATTTAATAAAAAGAATTGTTCATGAATAATTTATTTTTATAAGGAATTCAATATTATTTGTATTTCACACTATAAACGTTAACTTGTTGCTAAGTAGATATCTATGAATCATTAATGGCTTTTCTAAAGAAATTCATTCATCATTTCCATCACCTGGAAAATTTTCAAATTCTAAAACGTATGTGTGAATCACACATCACATCATCCGGGCCTCAGTCACACATAAAGCGCATCTTTTATTCGTTCCTTCTTTCATTTACGGCTTTTATGGTTTTTTCTTATGCGCGATTGAAAAAAAACCCAACATAAAGAAAGCCGAAAATTATTTCTATTTAATTTTCTGGTTTATACCTAAATGTTTACTTGACTTTTCGTTTCGTGTAAAGATGCGAAGTGTTGTGCAATTTAAAGTTCTAAAGCAATTATGAATGCAATTAACTCTTTTTATTGCTTTCGAGACAATGAGATTTTTTCCCCTTAATCTAGCGATTCGGAGCATCCTGAACTTCAGGATTTTTATGACCACAGAAACGTTAAATAATCAGAGAAATGAACAAGAAGAACGTTTGCAGAAAGGAAACAAATGTTTAGCGTTTGTCCTATAATTTCTCACATTGTATGATGAATGCAAAGATAAAGCCGTGAATAATTTCAATATTATGAAAAGTGAAGGTAGAATGAAAACATCGGAATGTTTCTCTCTCGTTTTCGTGAGTTGTAATTAATATTAATACGTAAAACGTACTTTAGGGCAAACGACAATCATATACATGACGTTTGTAGAGAATATGAACACTTAAACTCAAAGTTTATTAACTATAGAAAATTCTTTTGTTCAAAATGAACGTCAAAGTTGGAAAATTCATTCAATCGAAAATTTTAAATACTTTTACGATTTCTTTTTTTCCCGTAAAATTAATGTATGAGCATGAATAAATGTAAAATATAAACATTTCGTGGGAGTTTTTTGTATTTATTGCAAGCAATTATCATCCATGTGCTAATCGAATTGCATTTAAAGTTGAGAAATGTGGAGACAACAAAATGCAAAAATTGACTTAAGAAGGCACTAAATAGTTGAATGAATTATTGACGATGAGTGGATGATTAAGATTCATTTTTTTTTTTGCTAAATGAAAAAGCTAAGATAGTGACTTGAATGATGATCGTGAAGGGTTCAAAGTCGGGTTCAAACTTTCCCCTCTTAAATTAACACACTGAACGACTTTTCTGTCGGTTTTTAAAATGCACAATCTCTTAGAAAACATGACAATATATCATCATGCTTTGTTGCGATGGGCTCGTGTTTTAGTGTTGCATTAAAGTTGTGTATACACGAAATATTCGAGTTATCTAAACAGGGTTGAAAAGACGAGAAGGAAGTTCTTGCATTATTTAATATTCATAACGAGGAATTTTCGCAGGAAAGGGAGAAGATTTATATTGATTACCGTCAAGCTCATGTCAAGTGAACATTTCAGAAATATTTCTTTAGATTATCAGCGGGTTTTCCAGGTCGATGCGGTGGAATTAAAAATTCATGAATTTATTTCGGACGATTTGTCATCTCATTTTATAATGAGGCTGAAAGTGTTGTTAGTTGTGGGGTTAAATATGATTTTAGAATTTGAGTCCATCACTCAACACTTATTATTCCCAATGGTTTGAATTGTTAAATTATTAACAACTTCTTAAAATTGTTCAACTTTGAATCGAAGTTATTTTCTTAAATTAAATAGAAAATGAAATCAGAAAGTTTACTTTTTAAACTACCACCATGGTTGATAAATATTAACATAAATTTAAAGAAACCTTGATTTGAATTCGTGATATTTCTAAGACTAATTCGATTAAAACATCAAAAGTTGAGAAGAAAAGGCCATTTTGTGAAGTTGTAAAGTATCATGCGGCGAGACATACCTAATTGTTTGAAATTAAGCTTTTCAAAGTGTTCAAATATTTATCGAAAACTGCTTTATGATGATTTTCGTTCGATTGGTTTTTTTTGGGAGTGTTGCGTTGAAGGTAATTCACAGTTGTGTGTCTTAATTACGTTTTTCAATTCCATTCACTCTCTCACTAATTCACTCATCGCCAGACAAAATGTAAAATTTTTGAGTGTTTAAGAAACTCTCTGAAAGACAGAAATCACTGTACGTTCACATTCCTTCATGAAACAACTAATAAAGATATGAATTTTAAGTAATAGTCAATTAACTTTAGCTTTGTTTGTGCTTCAAACATTCAGATATGAAATTTTGTTTCGTTCATTCATTATCGAAGACTATGCATTAACATTTATTTTTTGTGTTATTATTATTCGTGATGTTTTACTAAATGAAATTAAAAATGGAGTTATCGATACCCACCCAACATTTATAATGTCGTTACACCTACTGATTGATATTAATAGGCTCATTAGTAAACTTAATCCAATTATTTGCTTTCGAGACTGCATCATGTTGATTTCTTGATTCGCTTTTTTATTTTTAAATTAATTCACTGACTTTTATGACATACACAAAAGATTATTTTTCACTTTAAATTTTCATGCAACTTTGCATATTTTTTTCTTTTTTAATTTTTATAAATTTCTCAGCAATTTTAATTCACTTTTTTCTGTCACTTGATCATCGCTTTTCACTTTCTTCCAATTCCTTGTTTGAAGATTTGTTTCTAACAGGAGTTAAATTGCGGAACGAAACATTTATCCTGTCTGCTCGTATCCGTATACAAATACAGAATAACCCTCGTGTATTTTCATCGCCGCTTTTCTTACTCTCCGGAGTTTCTTTTTTTGTGTTGCACGCGTTTTTGTTGTATGTTACATGAAACTGTACTGAATATCATACACAACGCGCAGAAGGGAAAATATGTTTATTTAAAGTATCATGCTACGAATGTTACGTGACGGTGGTTTCCGATGCAAAAGAAGAAGAAAATGAAATCCTCTTCGTTGTAGGCGAAACTTGCGATATATGCGCGACACGAGTTTCAACACGCGGTGAAAATTGAGGATTATGTCACATAACAGCACAACCAAAGATGAAGACGCGATGAAACTTTATGCTTCCACTTTGAATTCTCAAACTCAACTGATAACCGCAGAGAAGAAAGACATTTATTGAAACGAGGCACACACTCGGCGCATAAACTTAAAGACGAAATACATAAAGACGAAACAAAATCATAAAACGTTTACTTAACTTTTTGTTTTGTTTCTCTCTTTTCTATCTTTCAGTGTTTTAAAAGGAAGGCGCATGAAAGCATTAAGGTATGAAGTTTGTGTGCTATAAGTAAATATAGAGGTAATTTACCTAAAAAGAAACTCAATTTACATCATTTTATTAGGAAGAATTTAAAGACAATTCTTGAAACCTTGAAATTTTAGTTTCACTCTTGGATCATCTCCGACCTTTTGTGGAAATAATTTTGTTCGAATTTCGTAGACCAGGTGAGGAAATGTAAATAAAAAATGAAAAATTAGACTTGAAGAATTTGAAAGCGATGTGAAATCGTTTCAAAAGATGTCATCTGTAGATGCATCACGATAATTTCCGTGAGAACCTTTTTGGACTCTTTTCTTACGTTTGTATGAAGCTTTTAATTGCTTTTTTTTTCTTTTAGACTTCGAAGACGGTCCGAAGACAAAATATTTAAAGACTTTACAAAGTAATTAAGTTTTGTGGTTTGTTCGGAATATATTTTGTTTCCTTTTGATTTAAAAGAATTCATAAAAAGTTTCCGTTCATAACATGTTGAACATGCATTAAGATTTTAAATGTTACAACAAGCATCTTGGAAAATTCAAGAGAAATATTTATCTCATAATTATCACAATCAAAAGAAAACGAAGAAAACTTCACATTTTCCTCGTTTCCTTTTACCGGCGTCAATAATATTTTTTTCTTCAATCATTTTCACTTGAATCGATTCATAATGTTCTGGTTTGTTTCTTCTGTATCTCGTTTTCCACACATTTTTCAATTGAGAAATTTATTATTTCTTTCTCGATCTTTTCTTTCGTGTGTCTACAAGTGGATGATAATAAAAGATATTTCCTGGAACAAATAGAAGTGTTTTCCATCGGACAATACTTATGAGAATAACTTTGTTGTTAGTCAGTCGTTCAATGTGCGATGTATGATCGATAAATGTGTGGAATGCTCATAAAGTGCGATCGAAATACGTAAAAAGTCATTAAATGACTTTTATCATAAATGACACAAGCACGGATTTGTCGATTCAGGGGAGAATGTTTATGACATTTTACGACCTGATCGTTATTACTTAGAAGCAGAAATCTCGTTAAAAACATCAAATTTTACTGTTGTCACATCAGAGGACAAACTCATCATTCGACAGTTGAAGAAGTCAAAGCATATTCAGGGGTGATTGGACTCTCAATGTATAAATGTAGCTGCTAATAAAATTTATGATATTTGCACATGTACTCGAGATCGTAAATAATTTTGTGCCAGCTTCTTGCCAATAAATAAATCCTACCAAATCAAACATGATTGTGAGTGATTTTTGTCTTCAGATTGCGCAACCCTTGCGCCTTTTATACTTCGTTTTCCGTATCCATTTGAGAGTTTTCAGTTGAAACAAAACACAAATGTTTGATGAAGATTAAATGAAGCACACGATGTGCCAGATAATTAAAGTAAACCTTAGTTTCATCTGCTTCATTGACGACACCTGGCAACTCAATTTTCATAAAAGGAAATGAACGAGATTTTTTCTTTTTTTCATCTTTCCAAGTTAAATCGGAAAAGTAAACATAAAATCGCTTTAATAGTCGAAAAATATGTTGAACAAATAAATGAAAAAAAAGAAACCAAAACGCAAGCAAAAAAATGTAATTTACGAAACCTCAGTTGAAGTTGAAAGAGTGCAAGAAAATTATTTTTTTTATTTTACTTTTATCAGATTGGGGTGGAAAAAAAAGAAGCAAAGAATGGATGAATGAATGAATGTTCCCGGCATTTATCAGTTTATTACACATGTAGCGTGGTCAAACGATTAAAACTGGGGTGACTTTGTTTTGTTTCTGTTCTGTTGTTGCTGTTTATTTACCTTTAACAGAAGGGTAAGTTTTGAGCTGATACAACTTATTTGAAGGATTATTTAATAATTTATGACATGAAGGCAAAGTCATCTTTTAATGCAAAGTACGCGGAAGAAATTTATTGTTCACATTTCAGGGAGTTTTGTTTATGGAAAGTGATTTTCGCCGAAGGGATGCGAACAGGTTGAGTCAGTGGAAATACAAATTGCAGGCAACAGTTGATTTCATTAACACGGTAAATTGAGGGGAAATAATCTTAGTTTCGACTGATGAAACGTGACTCGTCTGTCGAGAATAAATTTTTAAGGATTTGAGATGAAAAATGTAAAACAATGAGAGGTGAAGAAAAGTTTTTAAACAATGTTTTTGCACATGATAGGAGTTGGAGTGGATGGAGATGAAAGATGATTCCTTCATTCACTTCATTCAAGTAAAAGTAGCAATTTTAGTTGATGTTCTGCTGTCATGAATTTATTTACCTGAGAATCTTTAAAAAGCTTTCATTACCATAAATATTTTGTCGAAACAATTCCTGAAACATCTCAATTAAAAGTTTTTCTCTTCAATTACCTTCAGGAGGTTAAAAGCTTTATCTAGCAAGAGACTTGATACCTAATCTGTTGATGAAACCTCGGATAAAATATGAAACAATAAGAATTTTCTTCTTGCTTGTAATCAAAACATTTCATTTAATCTGCTTTCCTACATTTTACAATATCAGGTTTTAATCACAAACTTCACCGCATGAAAGATTCAATAGAAAATCTTTCGTTTTCTCCGTTAAAAGTTTTATTTATTATTGGACGATTTTTTATGCTTCTCTTTTACATTCTCTGAATATCACATTACTGATTGGAACATGCGCATTTTTCGAATCTCCCCCTTGAAAATATCCTTTCAGTATACACCGATAATGTTTGAAACCTAAGCAAATGCCACTTTATTGCATTTTAATATCCGTTCTGCACTCATAATGTTTTTACTGATATAATTAAACTGTTTATTGTTGAGTTTCACATTTTCTGATCTCGAGGTCTTTCAAACAGAGAGTGAAAGGCTATAAAGACAGTTTTAATTAAAATTGCTTTGTCTCTCCCCACAGATGTTCAACATTAGAAAATATTTTATTGTTACTTAGGAAAGCTTCGTTCTGAGGTTAACTTAATGATATCGTGTAAGTTGGAATTCCTAAATTTTCATAAATGAACCTAAAGTTGCAACATGATCATACTTTGTGTCCAAATTTCTCAGAAATTAAACACAAAAAACATCTTTCAATATTTCCACGTCGGTCAACTTTCGCTGCCTGTCTGTTCTGAAACATAATTATGATTGAAATTTTTACGATTTCTTTAGCTCGTCTATTTAACGACTCAGAAGCTATTAAAATTCTTGTGATGAAAATGGATTATTGCTAAAATGTATCGTAAAACGAAACGATGACAATCCAAATTTTGTATCTGCACAACTCGATTGTCAATTTACCAAAATTACATCTGAATAATCTTCCAGGAGATTAAAATGAAATTGTTATTTTTGAACGAGTAAAAGCGGTAAAGGTTTAGGAAGTCTGATAAGCTTTGACAATCCGTTACTGTGATTTTAATCAAGTGTAAGCACTTGAAATCTTGATCCCGGATTTCCAACAGTTTCAATTATTAATGACTTGACAAATATTTACATGGCTTTTGATGATACCAGCATATCATCGCTATTTATGTGGAGTCGAAGGTTGAATGCAAATAAAGAGAATGAGAAAGAAAATGATTACGAAATGAATTTGTTTCAACCCATGTCGTTGCTTTTGTTTGACTTCTCTGAGTACACGATGTAATGATATCCAAATTATTTATATTAAAATTAACAGAATATTTCTTCTCGTAGGTGCTTCACGTGAGAATATTCGAAACATAAAAAATGTTATCATGTAGAAATATGAAAATGATGTCAAAACATTTCATTTTGCTTCTTTCTTCTACTAAAACTTCATTTCTCAATGTTTTTAATAGTGGGAGCATTCATTAAAGGTAAGTGCTAATTGTTGAAGCATAAATTAAACACCCAACGTGAATCTCATAGAAATGCATGAAACAATTGAGTGACTGCCACTTCATGTTCATATCTGTCATCCCACTCGCAAAGTTTAAAATAAATGAAGCTCAGATTTTCCGCATATTTTTAAGGAAAATAAAAGAAATTCTTCAACATATTCTAATAGAAAGAAAAGAGCGAAGCATACATTAATCCGTCATTTACTTTTATAAACAAACATAATAATCATTGCTTCAGGATATCATTCCATTTCACTATACATTTCACCCTCACTGGTAATGCTTGGTATGCAACTTATTGTTTATTTTTTTTTCTTCCTTCTTTCCAACAAAATTCACTCATTCAAAAAATCCACAATTATCCTTTTTTATCAGTTTGTCTATGCATGTAGAAAAAAAACTCAATCCCGCAAGGCAAGCCAAACAAACAGCGGATGAATCTCATTTTCGTATTTTTCTTTCTTGTTAATTATGTCAATTAGCAATTAATTTGAATGAGTAGGGAGAGGCATTACAACATATCTCATTAATTTTTGTGTCGAAAAAGGTAAACGATGAGACGAACGATTGTAATATTAGAGTGAAAACAAGATGATTATTTGCAGATTTCTTCTGCCGGTGGCCGATCTAACTTCTCATTTTCACAATGCCATTAAGTTAAAAACTAATCAAGATTACCCTAACTGGTAATGAAATCCTCCAAAACACAATCAATTTGTTTAGCTATTGCGGTTGAAAAATAAAAACTTCTATAATAGAAATAAAATAGCAAACACAAAGCTCTAACATTTACCAAAACTAATCGCTTGATGATGAACAAATGAAATGATGGTCATAACCAATCATCGAACTCTAATGTGTTAATAACAATAAATTTCAGATTACAATAAGCTCCCAATCTGCTTCCATCTTTCAACAATCTGAGCTTTTGAATATTTACGATTTGAATTTATACATTTGAATAAACATCATCAGTGCATATATTGAATAATATTTTGAGAGGCGAATAAGCTGAATTTATTGACGGGGCTTTTAATTCTTTTTATTGTGGGAAAGATTGTGAACGCTTTTGTGGCAGGCAGTGCTTTGTAGGAGGTAAATTTAATAAGTCATGAGATAACGAAGTTATTTTTGTAAACGTTGATTTTATATTTTTATAAGATATGACAAAATTTGTTTGCAGCATCTTTTTCATAACTTTAAATTAATAAAAAAAGAGAAGAGGGAGAGAGAGATGGAAAGAAAAAAACATCCTGGTAGAGCATGAAAGCATCGTAAATCTTGACGATGTGAAATTTAGATGGCGTGAGTGTGATGCAGGAGAGGGATGATTTGTGAGTTTATGTTGCTGTTGCTAAGGGATGAAGAGAAACAAATTATTTTTTATAGAATGCTATTAAATGTTACGGAATAAAAGCCACCCATGAATGAAAGTTGTTTGGTTACATATTGCATATCCCTTTTCCGCTTCCAATTAATTCCATTATCGAACAATTTAAATAATTAAGATAGCATGACAAAAGTAAAATAAAATTAAATCTGGTATGACTTGCTTAAGCAGAACAACTTCGAAGACAGGTGAAATTTTATTTTCATTCTTCTTGTCTTATCGCCAAAAGTCCATTAGGTCTAACCATTTAAATGCACAGAAGACCATCCTGAAGTCACATTATTGACATTTTTACAACAGTTTTTTGAACTTTCAGACCGTCGTCGAAATGATTTTTATTTTCCTCTCGCAGTTGGATTGTGGAAGCCTCGATAATTTAGGTTGAACTTATCTTAGTTTTTGTTATGTCTGGTAGCATTTGAACAATTTTATTTCTTTAGAGTTTTGTTTAGCTTGTTGGATGATATCAAACGTACGGTGGAATTCAAATTTACATAATGTTTTATGGTAGGCAAATTAGTATTCGTTTTACAAATTTCTAGCTTTTTTAACTGAGAAACTTCTTTTTATTTTTCTGTCTTTCTTTAAATCTATTTAGGTAAAAAAATTTGTAGCAAACACTTTTTAAGGTATTCGTAACACATTAAAACGATCCCAAAAAGAGAAAGCTGGAACATTTAATTTTTTGATTTTTATCTTAATAATGACTTTTAAGAATCAATTCATCAAATGGATCTTTGAATGGCGCTAAGAATAGCTTGGAAAGTTTCACGCCTTTATTGCTTTATTCTCATCTGTCAAACAACATTAAGAAAATATTGATCTAACCGAAAAAAAACGAACTAAAATGTGTCAGACAGGAAACATTGATTCCCAGAATGCACTTGAGAAATTTCACACTTAAAACACTCACAACTCCGATATGAAACGCGAGAAATGTCATATCGTTGGACAATTGTTCTTCCGAAAGTTTTTAACACTTTGCGTTGTTTGCATGTCGAATTCCCCTGACTTAAACAAATGCAATAAGCAAATATAAAATAAAACTTTTATGCTTTGAGTTCATACTTATGTAGAGCAATAAAAGTTGAGTGAAGTATTTATCAAAATATACTGAGAATGATTAGTTTGAAAGCACTGATAAGAGATTCCATGAAAGACTTCAATACTTTCACACGATAATGAGTCGGATTTGAAATGTTTGATGTTCTCTTAAGTATGAACTTTAAAGAATGCAAATGAATTTTCATCTCAGATGATCTCTTCGACGTACTTTAAGCTGCAGTTTGTTTTATCCTTGATTACACTCGAAGAAAGCGTATTTAAATTGAATGAGTTTCCTTCTTAAGTAGCTTTTTAAAAATGGGAATTAAATCGAATTTCGAGAAGTGAACAATGATCCCAATTATGCATGAAATCCAAAAATGGTAAAAGAGAAGATTACATTTAACTATTAATTCAATTACTGTCTTCATACAAAAAAAGATTTGCTCGAGCGTAAAATTTCATGAATTTTCCTGCAACTTTGCAATGATCTGAATAGACAATTTTAAAACGGTTGCTCGTAATAACTTTTTATTGAGCTTCAATTTTAAACGAAGTTTGTACCTAGAAAAGAATTTTTTAATTTCGTTCTGCATTTTGCATTTGAAAGTAATTTTGAGAACACTTCATTTGATCTGTTCAGTTACTCGCAAATCCCTTGGAAATGAAACCAGAAACGATGAAAGAAAAATCAATGAAAATGTTGTTTGAGAATTTTCCGTCTCCGCAATTACTTTTTATGTGTCTCGATGTGTTTTTCCTATTCCGCAATTCACGTAGTTTGTGTTGATATCTGTTTCGGGAATGATATTATTATTATTATTAAAACTATTCCTTTATTATTTACGAGATAGTTTTTTTCGTTTATTCTTCTAGTTTCTAGAAAGTAAAGGAATTTCGCATTGGTCTCGTGTTATGTTAAGATTAAACATAAGTTTTTTGTGCTGATGCTATCAACAGAAAACGAATGCTCTACAGTATTAAAAAACTTTATTGATTTATTTATTACTTGTTGGACCATTACGCACAGACAACAGATTGAGTTTGTTGTTATTTCTGCTGAGTGCGCGTGAATTTTTATGAACTATATCGGGACGAATATAGTTCGAAAACAAGACAATTCAATCAAGCGTTCAGATCAATAAAAGAAAGCTCCGTTATCAAAACAAAACATAAGACGATGAGAGGCTTAACAGAGAGATAAAAGCACCGCACCGTGAGACGTGGAAAAACTGAAATTTAATTTATTTAAATAAAAAAAATGTTTTCCCATGCAAACACTTAGCATTGTGTGCTTAAGCATTAACGTATAATTGAGCGCATTATCCAAACATTTAACATGGGAGAAAGAAGATATCAATTTCGACTTGCATTCTCAAACACTTGAACGTTCACGAGTGATTGAAGGCATACGAGAAATGTTCAAGAATGCATGATTTAAAACAACCAATTTTTCATCTTTCTCCTTCAAGTGCACGATGAGACAGAATGGAGAACTATTGAGTCGAGAATGAAAAGCAAACAAATAAAACAATAAAGATAAGTACAGATAATAGCAACATTTTAAGAAAGACGATCGTCCCTTAAGTCTATTGAAGAATTCTTATCGCTTCACGAGGTATCTCAATCAGGTACATTTCATGTTCATCTAATCTTCAACCTGTTTTATTCAATCCTTTTAAAGATGATTATCAATTTTTCTTTGTGGAGAAATTTCATGGAAATTTAAAATTATTGTAAGATTATCTAAAAATGAAAGATAATTTGAAAGATTTCGCAAATCAATTGACTTTGATTATTGTTTGAGAACATAAAAGTTATCCCATAATCGATAAATTAAATTATGGCGCCCATAAGTTTCACGCCTATAAATGTTGAGCCATTGTCCAATATCGTCTCGTTTTCCTTTCCGAGTGAAAATTATCCAAGCGAAGTAAATTGATTTCATCACTTTTGCTGGAAATTTCGAAATTAATAAATAGAATCTCGTAATTATATTTCATTTCATCGCAAAACTGTCAACTGTGTCGATAGCCTGAAGGGAGCAATAATTCAATTCTCGTTGTAATGTTTATAAATTAATCTTTTGCTTCATATGAAGCACGATGAAACATGAAGAATCTACTCAAATAAAATTAGATAAAATCAAGCAAACAAAGAACACAATAAAGCCGAAAGAAATGAGAAGAGAAGCGAGAAATATTATTTAAAAATAATTTAGATAATTAAATTGCATTCTTTTCGAGAATCTTCGTGTTTTATGGCGGTGGAAAATGTGTCTGTGTGTGGTCCTTTGGTATCATCATTTATGATATATTTTGCACCTTTTTCATTCAGACATTTTAAGATTCTTAAGTATTCATTTCATAAAAAATGCTTTCGGGTAGAGATTCTTCATTTAGATTCATTCTCTACGCTATTGGTTGGAGATATTTCCATTATTCGGCAATGAAAGGAATTTTAAAAGAAAAGAAGACATGAAAAAGTTAGCTGTCAGTAGATTCACCACCTTCCAATCTATGACAATGTAAATCTTTTGAAACAATGACATCTTTGCCCTGAAGTGTTGAAACATTCCTGCATCTGGTTTCCTTTCTTCTTACATTCTTACAGAAAGAAAACTTTCGCATTTTGTAACAGTAATTAATCAAACAATGGAGCTTTTCGACACCAGAGCGGGTGGTCTGAGCAACAACACCAAATATCGGTAATAACAGATTGAGGCAATTTTTAGGAACAGCAAAAATAAATAAATTTCTGCAAATTACACTTCAAAACACGAACATTTCTCTAAATTAACAAGCGCAACTATGGACAAGAAGAAAAAAAAACGACAAGCCAATAAAAGGTTTTCTCAAAATAAAAACTTCCAAGAAATTGAATAATTTTATTGCTTCTTCTCATTCAACATCAAGTCTCGAGCGAACCTTTTGGTGTTAATTATCATGATTATATTAATTTTTTTTCTCTTCTCTTCATCTAATATTTGTCGACAAACAAATCATAAACTTTTGGTTCGTTCTGGTTCTGGGAGCTTTTAAGAGTTGTAAAAATTGTTTTTATTTTCATTCTCGAAGTTCTCAAGACCTGTTCTAGTTTGTTGTTGTATTAAATCTATAAGTTCTTGGAACAGAAGTGGAATTAAATATTTTTCTTAGATAAGAAAATTATTAGTTGGGGAAGAGATCAGGATGTGAGTTGTAAAAATATTGTTGTTTTGTAGTTTTGCATCACTAAAACTATATTCATGTACCTTTAATAGAATTTATGAATGAATGGAAGATTTTCTAAGCAGACAACAGCAGCACCAGCAGCAGTAAAAGTGAAAGAAAAGCAACATTAAACCATAAAGTTTCTTTCTCTTCCTTCTTTTAAAATGCGTTCGAACTTCGAAGGGAAAATATTCTGTTTTCTAATTAATAGCATTTAAGCAATCTTCACTTGGTGGTCTCTTCATTCTGTCTTATACCATGCATTTGTTCTTTTCGCCTCGAACTTCAAAACACTTTGATCCATCATTAAAAACCCCTTTTTTACCTGCTTCGCCGTTTATTTTATTTTGTTTTTTTTCGCTGCTTTTGCAACTCGTCTCAACATGGTAGAGAAACAAAACAAAAGGAACATGAGTATAATGTCTTAATAACTGCTGAACAACGATGCTTATGCTTTATCGTCTTCGAAGCAATATCATATAATTAATTATTTTATAATGTTGTGTTTTCAATAAAAGTATTTCTCAACAACAACCATTCTTCATAGCTTTTAAGGTGCTAATGAGTTATTTTCTCTCAGAACAGCAACATCTCTTCTAGAACTTACAACAATCTTCTAAATTCTTAACGAATTTTAATAATAATAAATAAATTGTTCAACATCCGCTTTTATGTTGTTGTTTCTCGCTCAATAAAGACTTCTTCATTGAAAAACGTTTTATTTTAAGAAATCTTTGTGAGATGAGAATGAAGAATGAAAGATGAAATCAACTTTATCATAAGACAATAAAAATTATCGTCGAGATGACCACCCTCAACTTCTTAGCTACGCATCTATCTCTTTCTCATCCAACTTCGCTCTTTATTCCTCGGCCTCATGAAAGACACCGAAGGTGCCACATTCCCAAAGCGGTTCCTTTAATATCTTCTTCTTGTTCTTCTTTCCCTTTCATGAATGCCTCTCAAGAGGTAGAAGAAAATCGGTTTCTAATATTTTTCGTTGTTCGTGAAACTACTTCTTTTCTCTCATTCACTCTTCAGCGTTATTAATGTGTTATTTTGTTTCTTGTGCTGTATCTTTTACCGATGCTTTTATATTAGGACTTGCATGGGAAATATCCTAAATGAAGTTACATTTGGAGTATGTATGAAAGGCTATTATTTCTTAATCTTTTGGTGAGAATCTCTATTAAATTATAAGAGAATTTTTCATCTCTTTTGTCTTCGCCTTCGGGATGTTATGTTGCAAGTTGTGTGCGCGCAGAGGTGAATTAATTACAAACAAATTTTATGGTGCGACTAGCGCACGATGATGATGAGTTAAGATTTTATTTCTATTTTTATTTTCCTCTTGATTTGATGTTTTAATTCTGTTAATGGAGAGGAAACGCTTCAGGTAAGTAAGCAAGCGGGTGAGTAGGAATTTAATTGATATTTTGGTGCTTCTGCTAGAGACATAGTCAAGGCCTTAAGTGAATTATATGAAGAAGGTGCTTTGTGTGTGTCCTTTCTAGAACATTTAATGTTTTAAGGGCATATAAGGAAATTCTTCTTCTTCTTCTTCTTACATCACAAATTACTCTCAAAAGTTGCTATAAATAAAATTAAAAATTCATACAACTCGCTGAACGACAAATCATGTCTAAATCTTATCTTTTAACATTCCAAAAGTGTATTCTCTTAAGACAAAATGTAAATAAATGAACATCTTGAGTAGAGGCAGATGCAAACATTTGTAAGCCACTCGAAAGTAGATGCAAGGTAAATTTATTCTCCTTCGGATTCGGATCAAGTTTTCTTTCGTCTAAGTGGCTTCATAGATCCTTTGTGACTTAAATATCTTAGCGGGTTGATCAGGAGGCAAATTTGTTGAACGATGAGAATGAGATAAGCAGATGCCCTTCCCAAAAAAAAATATTGTCAATAAAGAGAAGCAACACTACTCATGGAATTGAGTCACAAAGCCGAAAGCGAGAACTGTTCGAAATGAAAGCGATGACAATGAAAAAATGCTCGATTTGTCACAGCTACGCATGTTTAGAGACGGAAATATTTCTTCGCTTTGTTCGTCTCCAAACATCTTAATAATGAAAATAAAGAAAAACTTTTCAATTAAAGACAGTTGCCTGCCTCATTTCTCATAAATTTTCATTATGCTCCATTCATTGAACAATTTTCGAGTGAATCCAATTTTATTTGAATATGAGCGTGAAAAGGGCAAAGCCATCGATTGTGCAAATCATTTCCTCGAAACTTTCCTTCCATTCTATTTTTAAGAAGATGAAGAACAATGATCAGATATTTTGAGAAAATCTACTCACGATTTAGTTACAGTTTCTTGCAGCATTTCATTCATTCATTCATGAAGATTCTTTTCAATTTATTCGCTGCAATCTTCAGACAACATTTCTTCTTCGTTTACGTCGTTGAAATTGTTTTTTAAGTTTCTTGACATTTGACCCTCTCAAAATGAAATACGTTGAGGCTTCTTCAATGACATGTGTAAATGTCAAAAGAAAGAAAATATTACCAGATGCATTGCTTATCGTTCATTGACAAATTAAGGCATTTTATGTTGCAACTCGATACGAAAACTTTCTCATTCCACCACTTTCCAGACACTCAACCAGTCACGTTAAGTGAATTGAATCTCAAGATCTTCTTCCTCAGTTGATATGGTCTTATTTAATGAAGAAAAAAATAAACTGTCACAACATGCTTCCCTAATCTTAGTCGTGTCTATTTATGCCATAATTGATGGCTTTTGTCAATTAAATATTTAGCAGACACCAAAACGAAGTTGAAAAACAAGATCACTTCCCATTGAACTTGAAACTGACGACAAAGTAGAGCGAGAAACGAAAGAAAGTCGCCAGAAAGAACGAAAAATGCTGTCGAGGAATTTAAAAGCTTAAAGACGAGAAGAAGTTTTTTTTTCAGTTTTGCGGTTTAATCTTAATTAATTATTTAAATTGAGATGACTAATGCCATAAAAACAAATAAATTTATAATTTTTCTCTCAACAGATTAATATTTTGTGTGTGGCATCTTTGAAATGAAAGACACACGAGAGAGCGAGTGAAAAACGAGTTTACCAGCCTCGGGGCGGTGTCGTGTTGAAACAGGATTGTGCAAGAGAGACATCGCAAAATGAAAAGCTCTGTTTGAACTTCATCTAGCAAATACAAAAAGCTCTTTGAGTTAATTTATGGTAATGAGGAACTAAGAAGGGTAATTTGAATCGGCTGAGTAATCGGTGAACGCGATGGCTCAGAATTAGCGCTTATTAACATGAAATTCGTTCACAATTACGTCATTTTGAACAAAGCCTTTTAAATAAAATTCTCTTAACAAGAATTCAAAAAAGTTCTTTGCCAATTAAGCTTTTCATGTCCATAAAAAAATTTCGCATAACTTCGAGAGGACATGAAGCAAAAATAAAAATGATAAATTTGATTTCTTTCAGTAAATTCCTTCGACTTGTTGCTGCTTTTTTTTCAACTGTCCACTGTTGTTCCATCGAACGAGTCATCAGCTTAATAAAAAAAAGACTAAAGAGATGAAAAAAAAAAATTCTTTCAGAATAAATAAATTGATTTGAAAGCAGGAAAAAAATGCTCCAAAGGAATTTGAAAAAATATGCATTTTTGCAGCAAAAAAATATTATTTCAGTCCCATTCTCACGGTTTCGAGCAAAATTTTTTCATGTGCTCATTCTTGTTGTCTTATCTGAGCGTTTTTTACTTTTTTTTCCCTTCGCCTTCGCTTAAGACGACATAAAAAGTTTCTTTTCTTTTTTTTATAAGAAATATAAACGCGTTGGTAAGGCAGCAGCAAAATTTTTATTAACAAAATGGGGGGCGTTTCGTGTATGTGATTCAGGTGAATGAATACAGAACAACATCAGGTAAATTAGCTCATTCTTAAGCCGAACAAGAAAAGCGGCTTTCGAGAGAGAATGCAATCGACTTGGCAATCGAAAGAAGAAGTTTAATTTATTTATGTAGAAACATATTTTGCTCAATTCCCTCCTTCCACACATTGACACATCACTTTTAAATTAATAATTGCTGGAGTGTGAGTGACATGTCCAAGCTCCACCCTATGAGAGAACAACAAGAGCGAAAATAAAAACTTCTTGAGGTCTGATAAAAGCAAACTGATCGTTTGTATGAAAATGTAAAAAGTTTCTTTATTCTCTTTTCTCATCAGGGCTTCTATTTTAATGAACAAATCTACCTACTTTTGTTCGTTTTAACAGAGGAAAAGAAGAACAACGTGTGTTGTTTGGTTGTTGAAAAAAATAAACTAAAATAAACCAAAAGCAAAGAGCGAAGAAAAAAGAAGTAAAGACGGACAATACAACATATTTTTTTTTCTGTAGTTGTAATATTGGTTTTTTTATGACGACTCTCTTTTCATCCCATGTCGAGCCATTCGGTGAAGAGCTTATTTGTTGTTTAATAGCAACATTTCTCAGTTAAGCATTAACGTCGCAACGGATAACAAACACAGATTTTCTGTTCAAGTAACGCACACAAAATTTTTTTCCTGCTTCTTTGTCGTGTTAATTGTGAAAGGAACGAGCGTGACAGTGAAACGTAATTAACGAAAGCGAATGATCACGTGATAAAAGCATCTCAATTTACGAAAGTGATAGAATAGAATTCTATTGAAAATAAATTTTGTCAACGAGAGAAAAAAAGAGAAATTTAAAATAAAAATTAAATTAGAAGTTGCGGGCACATGAAAGCGAATTGTAAACAAAAAAAAAGCGAAATTTACTTAACGAAAATCACAAATTAAAATTGTGCCAAACTCAAAGTGAATAAAAAAATGATAAAATTTTATCGACAGTCATTCGGCGAGAATGTTGTGCAAGCAATTAATCAATCGAGTCCGTGTTTATGCTAATATAATTAATTGATTCTGCAAAGAAAAGAAGTTAAAAAAATAAGAAGCAAAAAAAGAAACGAGCCGAAATAGAAAATAAGTTTAAAGTTTGTCATCAGCACGTAATTTTTTTTTTCTTGAGCGCTGATTTTATCACAAAAACGTTGCCAACAAAAAGTGAAAGAAAAAAGTTTTTAATTCTTTTTTTTTTGACGAGTGAAATTTCAACACGATTTTTTGAAAGATTTATTGACGAAACAATTTGGATGAAAACAATGGATTTGTTGGTGATCTTTTATCTCTGTCTGATGGTGCTTTGCAGCTATGCTGAAGGCGATAAGCAAAACAAACAAGGACGAGGACGAGGTTCTATCTGGTGGTATGTATCCGACGCTTCTTCTTTTTATTACAACTCCATTAAAAATCAACGATTTGAGAACGTTAATTGGCTACAAGCAAGCCGCAAATATAAAGTTTCATTAGCACTCTGATTAAACATTTATGTAAATGACTGCATTTACTGCTTCATAATTATTTTTCTTTTAACTTGTCATTGGTGAGTGGAAATCAATTACACTTTCAGCGTTGCACAAAATTGATTCAAGTCTATTGGACGAGACACATATGCTAATGATATTTTATTAAATAATAATCATGTTTACAAGCATGTTGAAAAGACAATAATTAAATAGTTAATTGCACTTAAGACTAACTTCGCTGCAACTATTTACAATGAAAGAGAGAACAAGACTTGAGTGAATGAAAACTTTGAGTTTTACTTGTTCCATTTGTTTCAATAAAGCAGAAAACGGTTGTCGGTTGAGATGTAATTAATGTCGTTATTAATCGCCATTAGCATTTTATGATGTATTAAATATGTCAAATGCATTTTATGACACGACAAAATAAACCGTGAATAAGTGTTTACTTAAAAGATGTTTATATGGACTTCTGTTGAAACTTCTTAAATGAACTGGACGCTGAAACATTTAGAAAGCAAACAATTTGCGGCGGAAAATGAGAGTGAATAGCCATTAATCGAAATAACTCGTAAATGAAGCTAATTCGCCTACTAAATATTTCCATATTGACTTGAATTATTTATTGATTGATGACTTTTATTTAGAAAGAGTTTGCGAGATAAAAATTAAAACGATTGTGGATTATTTTTCTCAATAATGCTTTTCACATAGCGTTTCTACATATTCAACGACTTTATTTAAGTAAAGTAAGAGAGAAAAAAAATTTCTTTCACCAGACCCTGAAGATATTTGAAAACTTTTATCTAATTTATTGTTATGCATTTTTTTTTCTTCCGCTTTTGAAAATTTATGACTTTCATTAAACAAAACGAGAGTGAGTGAGATGAGAATTGAAAAAAATAAATAAATCGAATGAAAGATTTGTTAGAAGCGAAACGAATTTTGCAGTCAGTTTGACTTCGGTGAGGGCTTGCATTCGGGGACCACACAGTAAATTCAATAATTTCCAATCACTAGTGTGTTTAAGTCTGTCAATTGTTTGGAAGTTTTCTCTTGTCAATTTCAGTTGCATGGAAGTGCTAATAGAATTTCTTGTTTCTTTTCCCTTTCTTCTTACCTTTTGTTAAGTTTTGCAGAGGCTTCTCTTCTCCTAAATTATTATGTCACAATCTTCTTTAAAATGCGTGAAAAACATGATAATTTGTTGTCGAATGTGCATTGAAAGAATTTTTTTTATCTTCTCATTTTAAAGATTCTTCACTTTTCTGAACGTTAATCGAAGCTTCATGTTTTTTGTGAGGAAAAAATTAAAAATTCACTTCACATCAATTTTAAGAGCAATTCTTTTGAAACATTGATCATGATTGCTTATCAATTATAAAACATTGTCTTTGTATGAAGATATCATGAGCTGCTGCGTGATTTTTCGTCTTTTTCATCGACGAAATAAAAAAGAAGTGAATCATCGAAACAAATCACGATTTCTACCGAAACATAACTAATTGTTTTCAGCAAGATCTCACCGAAGTAAATGGTGAAAGAGAAACGAGGCAAATGAACGAAATAAAATGATTAGAATTTGTTGCGATATCTCTTTCGATCTTTTCATTGATAAATAATTGAATCGATCGTGGAATGTTGAACTCTATTGGCAGTTCGATTGCAAGAAAATTTCAAAAATGTTTCAATGAAACTCGCGAACAATTTTTTTTCTGAATTGTCTTTTCAGTTTTCGTGTGCGTTCATTAATTAAGAATCGATGTTTCCAATTGTTGAAATATTTATGATGTGATTGCACTGCATGGTCTCATGAGACTTCTCATGCCATTTTACAATACAACAAAACTGTCAATAGGAATGCTTCAAGTTGAGTTCTTTTTTTATTTTCATCTCCTTAAGTTGTTCAGAAAGCGACAAAATTGTAATCAAGCCGCAAGCTGCAAGCTACACTCATTGATTGATGAGACTTTCAAATCAACTCATAATAAAAAAGTATATGAAGAATAAAAAAAAGATTCTCATACATTATATTTAGCGCCATCATTTTGTTCTTATTGGTAAGAAAGCGAGCTTGAAGTAAACCCGAGCGGAATAAAATTGCCACAATAATTCTTCAAAGCGACTTGCTGTGCATTATTTATTTCTTTTACTTGCTTGCTTGTGGAACGCGCTTTTTGTATGTTCATCGTTTATACCTCAACAGAAACATCACAAACCGGGGCCTCATAATAATAAAAATTGCATTATAAATGCATACAATTGCGCGAAAAGAGAGAAAAACGGTTTTCTTCGTGCGCTAAAATTGTAATAAACTTGATATGGTTCATGATTACGCGACCGTGTTGCTGAAACTTTGTGCGTCTCATCGGTAATCAAGCAATGACCACAACAAAAGACTGTTGATGACTATCACTCACAATTACAACTTACGAACTTACGATGAGAAATTGAAGCGATCAAATAATTGAACTGCGACGGCATGATGCACTGTGCGGTTTATTTTTTGTTGTTTTGTTTTGTTTTCGTTGGGATTGCGTTTTAAAAATGGTCAAAACAGCTTCGTCTCGTCTCGTTCCTGCATGTGCGGTTGATTGTTAATTTACTTAGCTGCCTACATCCCCAGGCAATTTTCACAGTCAACTTCTGTTTTTGTCGTCTTCAACTTCATACATTATTAATTTAATTTTAATGTTGTTCTTCATGTGTCGATTGGTTTTAATTCAACTTTATTTGTCTCGCAATTCTCTTGCTGATGATTGTCATGTTTTGAACTTTAAGACGAGTCAGTGAGAAAAGTGAACGCAGAAACTGTTAATTAACTTTATTCAAATAACCATTCCATCTCTCGTGAACCGCATCATTGAAGTGACAAACAAATTTGCTTCAATGCTTGAATATTTCTTTGATTTATCATACAATGACCAACGACGACCAACTCTCTTTTTATGGATGAACATTGTGAATGATTCAAGTCGCAAGTTGATCAGCTGATTACAATAAAATTATGGACAACTTCAATAAGAATTTGACATTGGAATGTTTTTATTATTTATTGCTCACGTCACCGTATGAGCATCAGAATGAGAATGGGCATAGAGATTATAACAGTCAGTGTCTGTTCGTGCGTGAAGAAAATGTTCATGATAGCATGAGAGAAGAAAAGCCTCTAAGAAATGTGAATTTAAAGAAGAAGAAAAAAATACACGAAGCGATTCGTAATAAGATTAAATGAGACATTGATGAATTAGGGCTGGAAGTGAATGATCTACTTAGACTCAAGCAGCGAGCTGATGACTGTAAAGTAGCCAGAAACTGATATCATACTCAATTAATTTCCATTTCATTTCTAATTTAGGATAAATAAATATTCTCGTCTAACTCTTGTTGGCCGGCTTCTCAAGCCATCAACGATTTGTGGAAAGTAAATAGACGAAGCAGTCTCGCGTGGCTGTTTAAACGACAGAAGCTAACCTGGTAGTCGAATGAGTAATTTTTTTCCTTCTCCACTGTTTATGTGTAAATTTTTTATTCAAATTCCTGATATTTACTTTAACCGACGACAGATTTTATTCTTATCCAAAGGCCAAATATTGGCTAAGCTTATACAAATATGCGGACTTTTACTTTTTCGTCTTAGTTGTGGAGCTTCTCGCGGCAAAAAAAGAAAGAGAAAAAAATTATTCTGCATCTTTGTCAACTCACCAATTATCACATTGCGCCAACTCATTTTCGATTGATGTTTGCTGATGTGGATGAGATGAGATAATAAAGACGCTATGATGATCTTACGACATCAAAGTTTCTCGGACCATAACAACATCATCCATAAATGTTTTGCTGAATGCAATAAATCATTTATGCATACAATTGGCACGATGATTTTTGAAGGTTCTAGACATAAACTTAAAGTTGATTAAATTAGCATCACAAATCTTGATAATCTTCTGATACTCGAAGAAGCAAAATTGCATTAAAAACTTAACAATTTCAAGCGCCGTATCTCGTATTTTCGAAAACTTATTTACCGAACACACTTCAGATAAAAAAAATAAATTCGTTTCCTTCCTTGACTTAAATGTTCGTTTCAACAAAGTTTAAAACAGCAATGAATAATTAAAAATACATGAAGATATAGCAAACATCAAAATATTATTACAATCAAACAAATACCATGATGGGAAAGGACAAAAAAATATCATCGTTAAGCTTCGAAAGAAAAACAAAAGACTTGTTAATGCGTCAAGTGACGAACTCGTTTTTTCCCTCGTATTTAATGTGCGTCGGCGAAGAATTTACGAGAAAAAAAATTCTTTTTACCTTATAACGAAAATATTTAATCTTATCTTTATTTAAATGACTCTTGAAGTTGTCTGGTGTTGTTTGATATTCAACCCGTAAAATAGAACAGAAGAGTCTCGTTTCAAGTGGTTGCGAGAAGGGATGTGGAAGTTACTGGTCCGAAGCAAATCCTTTTGTCAAACGCAAACATTGACCGTCATCGACATCGAAAATTTTGTTGTTTTGCCAAAGAGAATCATCCACTTTAAAAATTCTTCACTTCCTGAATGATGATTTATGATGATGGAGTTTTAGAAGCACGAGAACCGAAGAGAAAAATGCACATTTACACAAACACGAGAATAATTCATTTTTCTGGCTTTCATATTTATTTTCATGCCATTATTCCAAGGCCATAAATTTCATTCAATATTACTCTGGCCGTCTTGCTTGCAACTGCCTTATGAAAGCTTCGAACTAACATTCTGTTCATCAGACTCCGCAGAATATTGTTTATATGTTTGTTTACTCTTATATCTCTTCGAAGTCACCTTTTCTTAAAGCGTCCGTAAAGAGCATAAACAAAGTCAATTTATTTGAACAAAGCATTAACGAAACACAAAACGATGGAAATTTTCTCCCAGCTCCATAATGTGTGTGAGTGCGTTTGTGTAAATAAGCCAATGAAGTTTCCCTCAAAAGAATGTCCAAATTCAGCTTTTGTTTGTAGATGCAATAAGTTGAAATGGACCGTCATTTGAAATGTTGAGATGATTCTTTGTTTTATTGACGTTGATAAAAGGAAGTCTTTGTTTGATTACTTCAAACAAGTTTCTTTCTCCGAAATTCAAATTTCTCTCCATTTCATCGTTTTCCTTCTTTTATATTTTTTAAAGGGGCATCGCGAAAGCCGGAGAACCAAACAATATTTCACCTGTAACACCTGCACATGTATATATGGATCCAGCCATTCATGCCACACTCAGACGAAAACAACGACGACTAGCACGCGAGAATCCCGGTGTACTGGCGGCTATCGCAAAAGGTGCAAACATGGCAATCGCCGAATGTCAACATCAATTTAGAAATCGTCGGTGGAATTGCTCAACGCGAAACTTCCTACGAGGAAAAAATCTTTTTGGCAAGATTGTTGATCGAGGTGAGTACAACAAACAATAAACGACACTTGCACTTGTCATCACATTCGCTTGGGCAATATTAATAAGAAACAAAAGACGTTCGTTCATTAAGCTTTCAAAACATGTGTTCTTGTTTGACTTCATGCCCACCGATAAACAAACTTCAGCTTATCCACCCACGCAATCGTTTGTTGGATTTTACCGAAAGGTAAAAGTGAGGCTTGATGATTTATCATTAATGGAAATGCTTGACGATCATCAGCAAATATATGAAGAGAAATCACGTTTTGATTGATGAATTACGATGATAGGCGTCTGTTGAATATCATTAACCAAGTTTTTTTATAAGACGAACGTTTCATTACATTGAATCTGCATTATGTCATTTATCTTCACTTTTAATTTCATTACATTGAATATGATGTTGTGACGTTTTCGAAAGTCTTCTAAACTTCCTTAATTTTGCATAACAAACTTCACCATCTGTTCGATTTGTCGTCATAAATGCTTTCAAAAATCTGTAAATCTATTGAGCAGATGTTTAATCCTGAATATTGATACAGTTGAAACATTCCGAAGAGATGAGAGACATAAAAAAAGGAAGCAAACGCGTGTGTATCGAATTTTCACCTTTTTTTTCGGGTCTTGCTACATGATGCGTTTATTTGTGAACAACAAGCGAACAATTGAATTTCTTTTATCTTGATAGCAATGAATGAACAATACAAAGAGATACGTTTAGGTTCCATTATTATGCAATTGAAGACTTAAATGGAATATGGGAAGGGAAGACTGCCAATTTGTTGTTCACAAAATGAAGCAATGAATAAACATCGTCCGTCCCTACATCGACAACAACTTAATTCTTTTATTGAAAGCTGATTCAATTGAGAAACCCTAAAACTTAAATGTAGATATCTAATTACTGAGTGAGGGAAAATGATTTTTATAATTTGACGCTTAATGTCAAATGAAGATTATTACGAGTCGATTTCATTAGATATTCAAACGATTCTAACTGTCACGATGACAGTCATAAAGCTCATCTTTCATTTGTAAATGTACCGTTCAATAATCGGTGATGTACACGGTTATGATTCTCGTCTAATGATGGAACATTTCAGATTGACGAAGGAGATTAATGAAATATTTATTCGAGTAAGAGAGATAGATTGAAAATTTGAATAATTGATGAAGACATTCCATGGCATGAATCTTTCTTTATGTTTTCTCGTCTGTCTATCTAAGTAACTAAGATATTAGGAAGTGAATGGAACAAAAACTTTCTCTCGTCTTCTCATGGTCGCACGCTAAACTCTAAGCCTTCAGCTTCAGCGGTTGAGTTAATAAAAATCAAATGATAAACTATTAAAAATTTTATTGCGATGTACTTCTCGCACAAAAAAAGAGTAAAGCATCAATGATATTCTTTAGATGTTTACAAAAATAAATATCACTAGTTGCTGTCACAATATCTCTTGAAGAGTCAGCACATTAAATGACTTTTTGAATGCATTGGCAAGAAGTTAAAGGAGCGACATAAGAAACGTCTTTCTTTGCTTCTTATTTCAGAGCTCCGCTCGACTTTCAACTGTAGAATGATGTACAATAAATATAAATTCTTCCCTTGCTGTCACTTCGTCTCATTCCATCTCTTTCACTCGATGTAAATTTTTCCAACACATGAAATTAAATTCGTACAAAAAGAACTGAGAACGACGATCAAAAAATGCGGTAAACAAGCGAGCAGCAGCAGAAAAATTTCAAATCGCTTGGGTAATCGCTTTTGAGTCAACATCTTTCACAATCAATGAGCAAGAATCTTCTTTTACGTCAAGGAATGTCTCATTTGCTGGCATTGCTTTTTTATGCATCTCTCGCTCCTTCCACTCTTCTCTCTGTTTGTACAATTTAATAAAACGGATGGAAAAATTTTACAATATTTTCCTACATCGATTTTATTTATTTATTTATTATATTTCTCCTTCTTTCTTCTTCTTCTCTCTCTCTCTCCCGCTTGATGCGATCACAAAAACAAGCAGTTTATGTATAAAGAAAACAGATTCGTTTAAGAAAGCTTCAAAAAAAAAACATTTCAGTGAACGGTATATGAAGAGACAAGATGATAAAATAACAGACCTAGATTGAGAATTAAAAAAAAAAAGAACAATGAGTCCATTCAAATGCTTGGATTTGATTTTTATGTATTTTCTTTTATTTTTTGGCGAGTGAGTTTGTTTGATGGAGTGAACAACCTGAAACATATTCGCGCGACTTTCACAAACAAATTCTTCAATTTAATTTCACTGGTAAGTCTCATGAGAACTTTTTCCAGATCATTATAAAAGTAATTAGCGCAAAATCACCGTAATTCGTTCAGTTCATCGCCATTTACAACATAAAAGCTTGAAAGAATACGCCGAAAATGTATAAAAACAGTAAACCAACAATTTAGTGTGGTTTCTGGTTTGTTGGTCCCGGTAATGAGAAGTGGAGAAAAATAAATGAAAAACTTTTCTGCTTAAATTGCCATTTAAATATTTTTACGATTATTGATGCATTTATGACAACAGCAAACACAACAACAGACGAGTTTAATGTAGCCAGAGCATAAAACTTATTGCCATCGCTTCCATGGTCAATTTCTGTATTGCGGTTGAGTCCCGGGCATTGATTATACGAAAACAAACATTCCCAGCTTACTTTTACAAAGTAGCAAACAGGAAAATTGTTGCTTCAATATGTTTCAACCGAACAGCAGATATGTTGTTGAGGTCACTTGAGATTTTTCTTTCATTCTTACTTACTTACTAGGAAGGGCTTAAAAGTATTTTAAGCGTAAAGTTAGTTCATGAATCGCAATTATCACCCATGATGATCACATGAAATATCATTTGTTTGGAATTATGGCACATTATAAAACCCTGTTAAAGCATAACACTAGCAAAACGATCCCTTAAAAAACAGAGAATCATCATAAAAGCATAAATTTGCGCATGAATTATACTCTTTACACGTTAGAATAATAGCAACAGTTTATTTATGCTTGTTGACGGGGTGCCTCCGTTCATCTTCATCACTTTACCAAAAACTAGAACTTGTCGACAGATATTCTGTTGTTGTGCTCAGTTGGGCGTCTTCAACTGTAAGGCAAGCAGAAAAAAAGACAAAAACAGGTATTGAAGAAGGAGAGAAACTGTTGTGTGTGAAAAATATGCTCATAAGATACACTTGATGGCTCATTATAAGTGAATTAATCATTTTTCATGTTTCTCACATTCGATTATGCATTTAACTGCAGAGTTGATGTCATCAGTTACAACATGGAATTAATTACAATATTAAGTGGTTGTGAGTAATTAAAGCTTGCATTCTTCTCGTTGAGTGGTCGTGGAAATAAATCAAAATCAATTATCAACGCATGTTGGCAAAAATCTCATCACTTTCATCAATCACAATAAACGTCAATTTGACAAATAAATAAATTAGAATTCCATAAAATTGACCGTAATTTTGAGAATGAAAATCATAATAATAGTAATCAATTGAGCACAAGATTTCTTCACAACTCAAGAGGGAAGAAAAAAAGAACAAAAAATGAAGGTTCGAAAAGAATGAAATTAACTGGAAAATGCAGTCACAGTTGGGCAGCAAAAAAAAGAGAAGAAGAATTTAAGAAAACCTTATGACGCTATTTATAGTTTTATAGACTTTCGATTCTCATCGCATGGCATGGCATTACATGGATGATAATTTGTTTAAGAATATAAAATAGAGAGAAACGATCTCGCCCCGAAATGAAAGAAGACGAAAAATAAAAAATAAAGAGTCGAAGTAAAGGCGGGTACATCTGGTAAACATTCTCACTCTACCCATGAACACTTCTGTTTTAGTTATAAATAATAAAATTATGTTTTTACTTCTCTCGACTCGACTCATTCAGGTCCGAGATGAAGATTTTTCATTTCTTTTCTCTGTGGAAAAATTATTATCACAACCTTTTTAAAGTGTAGCATTTATTGCAACATTTATTTACATGATACGATCGAACAACGGGTGGATTTATGACGCACTTTCCTTCAATTTTATTTTTACGACTTTTTATTTTTTTACGGTATTTATTTTGTTTTTACGATACACATTTTTAATTGATAAACGTAATGTGGCAGATGATGGAAAGTGAACGTGCGTTTAAATTTATGTCGGGAATCAAAATCCAGAACCGATTGGAAATTATGGTGTCTGCTGTTTGCTTTTATGCAACATTCTCTCATGCAGATGAGTTGAGTGTTCTTTCATTTCATGCACTTCGAATGCAAAATTAACAACTCAACTTTCATGATATCATAATTTATCGCGTTTGCTTCACGTAGTCTCTTAATTACAACATAATTAATCATAAGAGAGCTGAATGAATTAATGCTGTAATCAGGCCTTTTTTTCATTGCATTTTTATGTTTTTCATGTTAGAATTGAAACAGAATCGTGAACAACTGCAAGAGAAAAAAGAGAGAAATAAAGTTTTACAATAAATGCTCGCCACCCACATACGAATCGAAATGGAATAAATCAAATATTTATGCATTATTTACCTGAATTTGATTTTAAATTTCCGTGTTGTTTCTCCAATGTAAAACTCTTTGGAAGGGCAGTTTATGAAATGATGAATCGATTTGTGACTATTTCTTGAATGAGCCACACAAAGAAAAGTGAAGTGAATGAACGTCTTTTGTGTTAAGTTGACGAGCCCATCCCTCAAACAACAATTGGCAATGCAAAAATTATTTAATGAATGGTTTGTGAAAATGTTGAGCTTCAATTTCAATTTATTCATTAAAGTACAATGAAGACATTAACGAGAAGAGAGAAGCCAAAGCTACTTGATTTATCTCAAATATTGAAGATGAGTTTAATCGAAAAGGAATAAAACAAAATCGTCTCCCTTTTTTAAACAAAAACATAAAAGAATTTTCTTCAAGGTTGACCAGTTTCGTTCACAAAATAAAAGATGAAAGAAAGACCAAGCAATTCATCGCGATACTGCTGGGCGATTGAAAAAGGAGAAAAATATTTAATTGAATAAGCCCGTGAAGACACAAAGAATTTCTTAATATTCTTTTTCACGTCTTCTTACGCACTGACTAAACACACAAAGTTTTTCTCGTTCAAGAAGCTCTAAAATAAATACAAAATTAGAAGAAGAAGGAATGACACAAAAAAAAGTTTTTTTTTCACAAATTAGACACGGAAGTATTATTTTCAATTGAATTCTGAGTCTCTCATTATTATTCATTTCTACTTTCGGGACGACTTGACACTAAGATGGAAATGGTCGAGAGGCTCTTGTTGTCTTTCAATTTGTGCCCCTTGAACCGTTGCGAAAGCGACCAAACGAAGAGAATTTAAAACCCATTATCAAAATTAATTTCTTCTTATTCTCCGTCTTGATTCTTTGCTTTAAATTTGTACAATTCAGTGTTTTTTTTTATTTGAAGATCTTGCTACGCCCATTTGTTAATAAATATTGAAGCAAAAATATTTAGGTTCAGTTTTCAGTAAGAAACTTAAGGATTTTTTTTTATTCAATGCTTAGCTCCCTCGCAAAGTGTTATCGAAATACTTATTCGTCGAATGAAAGAAACTTCTTAATAATACTAATAAACATGAGAAAAATTTGATTTCGCCGGATTTCCTCTAATAAATTTCTCAAACGAAACGTGGTGTTTGATGGAAGACATTCGACTACATTTTTTACTTCTCCTCTGTGGAAATTCATTCTAAACGAAGAGACGCGAACAAATAAATAGACAAAAAATAGTCTGAAACGAAGGTAATGATTATCTCAGTTTGATGCTTCCCCAAATCCTTTCATTCTTAGGGGATATTAATTTACATGTTTTTTAGGAAGTTCCTCATGATATTTTGAGAACTTTTCATTCTTCTTCGATTGATGATTCAGACAATGTGAGTCACTTGAAAGGAACTCTATAATTTTCTATTATTTTACACACCTTTGTTTAAATATTGATTCGGGTTGTTGTTATCGAGAAATGAAAACGAGTTGAACACATTTTTTATTTTCAAGCATAAAAATATTTAGTCATTAGGCCATATAAAAAGTTATAAAAGCAGAACTAATGTTTGGTATCAAAAGCTGAATATTGACAATTCATTTGTCATTCAACAAACGCCTAAAACATACATGGTGAGTTGCATCAAATAAAGCAATGAAGAAATCGGACATGAAATGAAGCAAGCAAGCAAGAAAAAATAAAATGTTGAGGCAATGTCTACGTTACTCGATCTCTTACACAGATTAATGTCATTTGTCACTCAATTTAAATACACATCGCTCGTCGCTTGACCGAGAAGACAGATACAAACAAATTACAACAATTTAGTCAAAGAGGGAAGCGAAAAAAATCAAAAGTGGATCGCAAACAAGACGAGATTGGGCATTATGATTTCAACTGAATCTTGTCGCAGTCATTTCTCTCCACCACATTCGTCTCTTTGATTGATTTGTTTTGTATTCAAATTGATATAAATCTTTGATTTATAAATTTACTTAATTTATCGTGTTTGCATGAATATAGCGAGTGGGAGTGAAACAATGTCTTTGACTTTAGAAACTGTTTAAACGTCATTAAAAGAGGTTGATGACATCATAAATTGATTTTGGTGTCTGATAAATTAAACAAAGTTAACATTGTGCGTTATATTCAGTGAACAACTTTATTAAACTTCTCAAATTTGTCTTCCACTTCGCCCCATATTCTAAAGCTTTGTGAAAGGTAATAAAATAATAAGATATCAATTTAAATTGATTCATTTCTCATGTTGAGGTATAATGATGAGCCTTTTATTTCTTGGTGGCTGGTGGGATTGGCTTTTTGTAACGTAATTTGAGTTGACAAGTAGTTGGATAAATATACGAATTAAACAGCGAGTCAGCGATTGAATTTAAATTTTGTATCAAGTCAAGATTCAATAACTATAAAAGAGATGAAATATGATGATGAAGCTTTTATTCATTTCATCATGCTCAGTGATTGAATTTGTGAGTAAATATTATCCACTCTTGTGGTTATTTTTGAATTTTCATTAAATCCGAACTGGGAGTTAATACGTCATACACTTCTTGATACACTTAAGAAAGAAATAACGTCGAGAAAGATACTTTTCGTGACTGAGGCATTTGTATGTAGAAGAATTCATCATCTCATCTTATTGCTTAAGAGAAATATTGAATTAAAAAAGAATTTTTTTTTTGATTGTTGTTTCTATCTTTTCTGTCTCGCTCTCCCTCTCACTTACTCATGGTAATAATATAATTAAGTTGTCACTATAAGACGGCAATTTGGCTTCCCATATTTTTTTTTCACATGATCAAGTATGTGTATGTGTCTGAGTTGAAGTTGATAGATTGCAGTTAATCTATTCAATTCAACATTTTAAATATCGTACATTGCTTGACCGATTTGTGTCATGGGATTTTATCGTTTTCAAATGCTTCATCTTGTTTTTATTTCATTCAACTTGACCTTTTCTTCTTGAGTTATGAAAGAAACATCTTGACATCTTAATACGTGCATTTCATAAGAAAAGATGAAGAAGAATGAAACAACTCTTTGCTAAAAAAGTAAAAAAGTCGCTTCTCCAAATAATAATAATAACCAAGTCTGAGTTGAATGAAATCAAACAAGAACAAGAATGAATAAAAAAAAGTATCATTTAGATGATAAATAAGCCCATGAAAAGAAGAAATGAAAGAAAAACATTTATGAAAATTTATAGGCTTAGCCCATGGCAGGTTAAACAGGCGCAGGGTTGAATCTGCTTACAATGCGCCCATTTTTATTGTTTATCAGTTTCCCTAATTCAACCAAGAATGAATTCTTACTGAGACATTCATTTCTACCTGTCACCAGTAAAAATATCTAAACAGAAATGAGCCTTTCGAGTACCATGTGTACATTCGTACCTTGCTTTGCCATTTTCATGTTGAGATGATGTTCAGAGGATTTAAATACACTTTGAGAAAGAAGAAGAGGAAAAAAATAACAAAATCTTCTGTTGCTTTTCAATAATACAATTTCTTTGTTGTCGCTTATATTTTCTTTCCTCGTTTATAAATATATAAATCTCAACAGTTTCTCAAGAGTCTTTCGAGGTTGACACGAAGAGAGAAGAAGACGAAGATAAACACAATGAAGCTTGAGCTTCAGTGTTTGTTCTTGAGATTAAAGAAAATAAATAAAGTGAATATTAGGGTAATTGACAGCGATCACTTGGCTTCTCTTTCTCGCTTTCTCTGTTCAGGTTTTTTTTGTTTTCGGAGGATTGCTGAAGAATTTTGTTCCGGACTAATTCAAAAATATCTTCGGAATTAAGCAAGTGCAAAGAAAGCATTAAACCTTATTAAGATAATGAATCCTTTGGATTAAGTTTCTTGCTTTTTATAATTCCAATGGGTTGAGATTAAAATCTTTATGCTAAAAGATTTCAAGAGAACGAAAATCATTTTTAAGAAACCAAAATTTTTGCAATTTAATTTAATCTTCATTGCTTTTCATGTCTTTGCAGGTTGTCGAGAGACTGCTTTTATCTACGCTATTACAAGCGCAGCAGTTACACACTCGATCGCTCGTGCTTGCAGTGAAGGTTCTATCGAATCATGCACATGCGATTGGAGCCATCAAAACGAACCTCCACAGGCAAGCAAATCTGAATCAGTTTCAGATGTAAGACAATGGGTAAGCGTATTGTAATAATTAATTGCAGAACTCTCGTGTTTCATGTTCCAATTTTGTATTATTTTTTTTCTTCCTTCTCTTCATGTGCATGTTTTTTATTTGGTAATGTGCGCTCTCAATAGGAATGGGGTGGATGCTCCGACAACATCGTTTTTGGATATAAACTGGCAAGGGAATTTGTTGACACTGGCGAACGAGGACGCACATTGCGTGAGAAAATGAACTTGCATAACAACGAAGCGGGACGTGTGGTAAGTTGAAGAAAAAACTTTCATTCAGTGGTGCTAAACTTTTGCTTAAAAGTTTACCAACCCTGCACTTAAACTTATTCAGCAAGTTTTATATTATTCAACAATGTTCAACTCTTTTTAAGTAACATTTCAACAACATTGCAATTTAGTAAAAAAAAGTTGGAATTATTTAATTATCGTTAAATGATATCATTAATAAACAACATCGTAATTAACAAATAAGAAACAGGAAACTTCCCTGCGAATTGTTTAAGTGAAAATTAATGGAATGCAATGTAATGCGCTTTATGTGTTTTCGTCTTGTTACATCTCCGATGAAAGGAATGTCAATTGAAATGAAATGAGACAGACCTGCACCCGGTCAGTTCGCATATACATATTTATAAAACTATTATGAGATGATTACTTAATGCCACACAAGTTGCTTCAGCATCGTCATAAAATTTACTTTAAAGCAAGTTGAAATTAGTTGCTGTGAAAAGTCCCGAAAAAGAAGTCAATAAAATAAAGATTGCAAGTCCAATTTAGTCACAGCATGAGATTGTAAATATTTGCCGTTTAAAAGCATTCAATATCAATTTAAAGTTCGTGACATTTATCGTTGATATCGTCAAACGGGATTTTTTATTTCACTTCGATGTTAAAGTTAATTTGCGACAATTGTAAGCGACTTGACACCACACGATGACAATCTTCGCTTTAATATGGTTCACGATTTGTGTTTTTCTTCGTCAAGTCCATTTATTGCCAATGCCACCGTTAAATTATCGATTTATTCAACATCAAATGCAATTAAATTGCTATAAAAATTTCCATTTAATTGACAATAATTGAGTCAAACCGATTCAAAGTTGATTTTCATTTCTAACAGCATCTTTCATTCGATCTCGACATCTCCATTTGATGATCAACTCGACCACATGCTGTGGTTCCATTACCCAAATGATAAAGATTTCTTTTTTCCTCCATCGTTTCTTATTTGATGGTAGTGCGCTACCTGCGGTCTTATTACTCACTTCGCGTCTTGACACGTTCTTGAAGTGGCTCTTGTTGTGAACTTTATTACTCTCAAGTGTTTGTTGTGCTTCAAGTGGCTGATCTTCAGTCAAAAGCTTATGAGTCATCACAAAAATAAAAACTTGTTGAAACAATTGTAACAGTTTTTGTTTACAAATATTTAAACAAACTTTATTTCTCTTACTTACAGCACGTTCAAGCTGAAATGCGCGAAGAATGCAAATGTCACGGCATGTCTGGATCTTGTTCTGTCAAAACATGTTGGATGCGATTACCGAACTTCCGTGTTATTGGTGATTCGTTGAAAGATCGCTTTGATGGAGCATCACGTGTTCAAGTCAGTAACAGTTTGAGAAACAACAATGAAAATCAAATCACAAGAAGTAACAGACGAAATAAAAACATTGCAACAAATTCAAATAATGTTCGCGAGACGAATTCAGTGCATCGAAATGGAGCAAATCATAAGAAACAAAATCGGTGAGATTTGAGTTAACAAACAAAAATAAAGAAATTGAAAATAATTTAATTTTAAATCTTCTTCCACAGCTACAAATTCTCCCTTCGACCTTTTATACCTGATCATAAGCCACCAACTGCTAAGGATCTCGTGTACTTCGAGCAATCCCCCGGATTTTGTGAGAAAAATCTGCGTTTGGGAATTCTCGGAACGCACGGTCGTCAATGTAACGACACATCGATAGGCGTCGACGGATGCGACTTAATGTGTTGTGGTCGAGGTTATCGAACTCAAGAGGTAACCGTCGTCGAGCGTTGTGCCTGCACTTTCCATTGGTGCTGTGAAGTCAAATGCAAAACGTGTCGAACGAAAAAAACTATTCACACTTGTCTCTAGAAATTCATAGAATTTTGATAAGCGACAAATCGTTTTAATCGTAACAAAAAAGAAAATTAGAATTAACAATAGAAATACCTAGACAAGAAGACCTGATAACGCTTGTATATTGTAATAACTGAAATTCCATTTAACTTTTATTTTCTGTAAATTTAACATAACTATAACTTCTTCCTTAACACATAACTTTCTCTTAGATTTATGAATGTACATAAGACAAAAGTTCTGACGAAGGAAAATGTGAGAAAATGAAAATTATCGATTGAAAAAGAAAACGTAATTAAGAATGAATTAAGGAAAGCCAAAAAATCGAGTCGATTGATGAATTAAGTTTGAAGAATTGTTAAATATTAATTAAATATTTTTATAATCTTATTCTGTAAATTTTATTAGGTAATCCTCAGTATTCAACACGACGAACTTTGACCCAGTTTTCAACTTATTTTTACTAAGCAAAGAATTTTTTTTTTTCGTTCTATTTTGACTTTCTTTTCTAATTTTTGTGAAAATTTCGTCTCAACTTTAACGACTTTTAGAATTAACTTTTGGTCATCTAAAAACAGAAAAATTGACAAAAAAAAAGAAAATTAACATTTACATAAAGACTGATATTACTTTAATTGAAATGCGCTAGTTAAATAATTAAGAAGCTTTTTAAAGAACTTAATCGTTAAAAAATGCCTTCAAGTGCAGGCACTGAATTTTGTAATTTTTTCTTAATTAATTCAATTCATTATTAAAGAAAAATAATTTCAAAGCTGCACCTGAAAAGCGATTTGAAGAGAAAAAAAATCGACGAACAAATATGAACATGAATTTATGTACAAATATGAATGTTCATAGTTAAGAGCGATTAACTTTCGTCCCAGTTAATAATTAATTTGCTGTAAACATAATTTATTTAAGTTAAGCATTCAAGGATGTAGCAAAATATTTTCTCCACGTTTTTAATGACAGCCATGAATCATGCAACCGCTACAAATGATTCTTTCCAGTTTGAGATTATTCGCAGAAATGTCAGCAAATATTTTTTCGTTTATTATGAATTTAACAAATTTTTCTTTTTCTTGAAATTCAAGCATTAAGAATCGCATTTATTAATGACAATCATTTCGATGAATACAGCAGAAACTGAAGTTCAAAGAGAAAAACTTCTTTATCAATAAATAGCTTAATGAAATTATGACAGGAAACATAAATATTCTTTATTTATTAATGCTTTATTTAATGACACTTGTAATTAATATTGTAAATAGACAAGAAAAAATGCGATCAAGACAAGAAAGAAAGTTTAGAAAATAATTTATAATTGTTTTTATTGTCATTGGAAGTGGAGAGAATCGTTGGAAGTGAACCTTTAGATAATTCTAAATTTTTTTATGATTTCATAATGCAAGAAACGAAAAATAATAATTTGTAGCGATCGTACTCAGCTAAAGTTTGGAAGAGTATTAAAAGTTGTGAAATATCAAGATAAATAGAAAATCGAAGAAAATGAAAACAAATAAAAAGTTAACAGAATTAAAATTCTTTTGTTCATTAAATTTTTTTGAGTTTCAAAGAAAGATTTTTCGATAACATTTTAACTTTCACCTGTAATTTCCCACAATCATAAACAGCGTTCCCGAACATAAAAGTCTGTCACATATGTGCACAAAATAATGTCAAATGAAGTCGTGTAAATATTTATGCAACACCATATCGAGAGGCATAGATGAGAAAGAAAAAGTGAAATAAAAAGTCGACACTGATCAGATTCTGATCGTTATACTGTTGTCGTATTTGATCGTTTCAATTTCTAGATAGGAACGTAAGATCAAAAAAAAAATGTGCGAATAATTTTCACAAGAGAAGTAAATAAGAAAAGATGAAATACAAGCGAGCCGCTTCATGAAAGATACAAACGATTTCATAGTTAAAGGGAATTTGTAATTATCTTTGACCATACTTTCCGTTTCTTCATGCTTTTTGTTTCATGCCTATGGAACTTTGTCTTTGACAAAGGCGACGATGTGAAAAATTTGTGATTCCAATGATATTTCTATTTATTGTGTGTGACTTTGTTTTTGTTTCTTTTCTTCATCATTTATTGTCGACAACTTTTCTTTATGAAGTTTAAACGCAAACTTATTGCTTCTTTAGAACTTAACAAGATGTGAAGATTTTCAGTTCATTTTAGTTTTAACATGCCAATTAACAGTTGGTAATAAAATTCTAGGAGTTTTACTTCATTTAAAGTTGAAAAATCAGTTCTCATCATTTATGATAATCTCAGCGGGAAATTTGTAATAATTTGTAACCATTCCAATCGGTTCATGATGGAGTAATAAGCGATTGAATTCATGAGGTTTTTCAACTAGTTTCCACATCATCACCATCATCATCATCAGCATCGCTTAAAATTGTTAATAAAAGCATCGTAAAGTTTTCATTAAACTTTATGCTAATTAACATATTTTATCGTGAAATAAAAATTAATACATTTTGCTCGATAATCCTCAAAGTTATTCCTTTTGCTGTTAGGCTAGCTAGCTTTAAGAATTCGTTCGTTGATAAATAATGCAAGGAAAGAAAAAAAGTTTCTGCTAAAAACCTTCAATCGACGAAACAAACAAATGTAGATAAATTTTTATTAATAAATTTTAATTTTTCAAAATATCATCGATATTGTTGAGACCACACGAAAGACAACAACGGTTGACCGGTGGCTTAAGAGGAGAAAGGAAATTTCAAAGCGAGTTTCGAGCGACGACAAAAATAAACTGATAGAAGCGAACGTCAAATGAGTCATCTAATATTAACGAGAAGAAAAAGAGTCTTTATCAGAAGAGACATTAAAGAACTATACCACACAGAAACCAACGATTAATTTACAGCAAAAAAAAATATTAAGAGAAATGAAATTCAAACTAAACTGACACTGCACAACTGACGATCATCCTAAGCCGCAATATTCAAAGTCAGCGATGATTCCCAGCAATAATGACTTAATTGACTGTGTTCCGAAGATGTATCTGTCACCACAAATATGGATTTGGCATTGAAACGCGAAGCAGATTGAGTTAGAGTTCCTTTTTTTTTTGTTATTGACCGAGGCAAAATGATTTGGATAAAAAAAATATAAATATTTGAATAACTCAGCCACTGCTACGTCGAAAAACGCTTCTGTTAAATGAACATGTCCAGATTGCTGTCAAAAGTATTATCGCTATTTCGCAATGATGCCTTTGGAGTTAATGTAGGTAACTTGTTTGAAATAGTTTGGGGGAAGTTAAATGACTGAATGTTTAATGACTAGAAGAATGTAATGAGATAACTCGAGTTGACATCTAATGTGATAATCGTTGTGACAAATCAGAGGTCAAAACAAATAACGAAGAAGACGAATCACTGCGACGGTGAGCAACAATTCAATGTTTATTTTAGTCTTTTATTTCAATTTACCTTTTGAATCAATCATAAAAGAACAGTCGCGGAAGAATTGCAGTCATAAATTGTTAAAAAGAAATATGCAAATGTTATTTGGGGGCATTTTTATGGTTGACTTCTGTTGGGTCATAAAGATGCACCTTTTTTTATGGGAAATTGATGAAATTTATCTCGAATCTTTCACCACATCAGACATCTTCATCATCATAAAATAAATGATGTCATTTGGATGGTTTGTCGGGAAAATTTAAATTTTATGGATGTGGCGCTGCAAAAAGCGAAAAGCGCGACTCGCTACAAATTGTAAGATCATTAAAATCAAATTTCTGTCTGCTGCAAATAAATTAAATGAGCATTCCAATTTGCAGTTTAGCTACTTGAAGACAAAACAGTTTAAAAGTCCATCTAAGGGAAGCAACAACACTTCAAAGGATCTTTTTGATTGAGTAGAGTTTTAATTAAATTATAAAAGATCTCTTGATGTTGCCTCTTAAATCCCATATCGGGTCTCAAAAAGGAATTGAAACAATAACAGTGGGAATAACACTTTGATGTGCAAGTCCAATGACCAATCCAATAAATTAATAAAAAGTTTCAATAAGCGAAGCTTCAACAGATTTCAATGTCATAAATAACTCTCAAGAATTGTTTTATTGCATAATTAAAAGTTCGAAGGCTTTCTTAAGCCAAATTCACACTTTCCTTAAAGAATTTTTCATTCATCGAAGGTGTTTTGGGTAAATGATGAAGTGGGCTGCGTAGTCAAATCAACATAAGATGCTTTACAGCAGCCTAGCTTTGTTCAAATATTTTTTCACTAGAATGTGTTACTTTTTGTGTTCATTCAACAAAAAATATCATAAATAATAGTTCTCAACTCATTCAAGTTTTCGGCAGCTATAAACATCTTAAGAAGCAGAATAAAAAGTGATTCGTTCGGGAATGCTTGTAAAGTTAAGAGAAAACACATGTAAACATCGATGTTGATACCATCGCATATGGTCCCGAAGTACAATATTTTTATTGTTCTACGTGACGCGACTTCAACTGTTTTCGCACAATATAAAGAAACGATACAAACATTTTGTTGAATGGAAGGATGCTTTTGAGATTGTGACTTTATAAGTTCAATGGGCCTTTTATATATATATTGTCAAGATAAGTTTAAAGTCATAATAAAAAATATTTCATACGTGATTTGGATGTCTAAATTGACTGCACGAGGTCTTTCGTCTTTAAAAAAATTTTGTTTAAGTAGCGCCTAAACTCTCTCAATAAAGGAAAGAAAAAAACTTTCAGAAAATTTAAGATAAACAAATTTATTTATTATTGAAAAAAAATACTTTAATGAAGTCGAAAGAAGATTAATTACAAATTTAACTCTATTATTCTTCATTCTTAGTCGTCGTCTTAAATGGAAGTTGGAAAAGTGTAAAAATTCTTATTGACGCTCGTATAAAAACATCAAAAGTCATCCATAAATATTAAAAATGCACAAAAATCTTTCTTTAACCTCAAAATATTTAAGAACCGAAATGCAAAATGAATGAGCAAAAACCTCATCTCTTGAATTATTCTTTTCATGACATAAATCATGATTACAATATTTTCTGCTTTGGCACCCAATAGCGTTTTCTGCACACGATGTATCCTTTCGACCCATAAAAATTTATGATTGTTTATTTTTATTATGTTCCGTTTATTTTCCATTCATTCTCTGCTCTTTTTTTTCGTGAATATTCAATATTATTATCTCCGCGAATGATTTTCCATTATAATCGAATTATTGAAATATCAGATTAATGTCAGTCAAAGAACCAAATAAAAACAACGCTGACAATTGCCATGAGAAAAATGGTGTGAAAAATTCGAAATTATTTGTAGTGGGTTTGAGTAAATTGACCATAATGTTTGATCTTATGCTTCACTAATCTGATAACCAAATATCAACATAAAACATACCGAGAAAAGTTGACTTCGACATAATATGAGCATAAATAATTTTTTTAGGTGAATTATGTTATTATTTTCATTTTAATGTTTCACGAACAACAATTTATGTCTTCATAATGTTGATATGTTAATCTTGTTTCTTAAATATTCCTTTCTCTTCATGGTTGTTGTTGAAAGTAAGGCACACATGTTGTTGATGTCTCTGTTGCTGCTCTTATGTACGCGAGCCAAGCATAAAAAGAAATGTTGAGTAAAGTTTGTTGATATTAAATAAGAAAAAGTCTTCTTAGTTTCATGAAAAATGATATCAATAATTTAAATGTTTTCTGTGGAAAATTGCAATGTTCGAGTTTTGCCGATCAGCGAGGTTTACAACATAAAATTTTCGGTCGATTACAATTTGCACGCGGCAATAAGAAAAAAGTTTCTCGCGTGAGATAAAATTTTGCGATCATCTCAATAAACGTTCATTACAGTTAAAGCATATTTGGCTTGCCGGGTGGGCAACGAGTTTTGATTACAAATGGTGAGAGATTTTTCAATTTTTCAATTTTATCTCTCCGCGTTCAAAAATTATTATCAAGCCAGATGAAAATGTTAAATGCATCATTAGGTCATGTTATTGAATAATTATCTACATTATTTGTTTATGTATCACAAAATATGATTAATGATAATGTTTTGTGTTAATGCAATTTAATCTGTAATCTTACAAGAAGATATCAAGGCAAACCTTCAAAGCATAAAATCATCAAGTTGATTGAGAAGATCGAATAATAAAGAAGAACATCCGAGAGTATAAAAATTCTTCTTCTATCAAAACACGGTGCGAAAGCAAAACTAATAACCCTTTATTTAGATTACATTTAATAGTCACGAAACATCTTCATCCTGAATGTGTTCTACTCTGCTGCCTCCCTGTGCTCTCCATGCGAGATCTTTTTGTTCAATTTTTTAGACCTCCAGCACTTTTAATAATCTTTTTTTTTCTCTTATATTATTTGTGTGCGTCTTTTATGCTCGCCTTTTTGCCACATTAAACCAAATTGTACGGCATGGAGAGCGTTTTAAAAGCTTATAATCATCGCCACCTTTCGATCTCTTCAGCTTCAAATTCTGCTACATCGTGTAGAAGGCAAATAAAGTTATTTTCTGATCTTCGATTTCCTTTTCATGCCCTCGAGGGTTGAAGTTTAAACTCATTTGTTACGATTTGTATTATTCATGTGGCAGCTAATGAAGACATTGTTTTGCTTTATTTATATTTACATCATATGATTGCAGAACATGATTCGGAAAAATTCTTCATCAGCTGATTCACAGAAATGTTTCCGCTTTTCTCATTAAAATGATACAAGTTTTCCAAAAATGGATCACTGATTCATAACCGCTTCGAGTCAATTCCGCATTCTCAAATTGACTCTTCATTACATTGAGAAAATTCCAATTCCACCAAAGAACAAGAAAAAGAAATCTTCTGAAAAATCTATAAATCATCAAAACACAAATTTCTGAAAATGGCATGTACAGAGAAGTGATGAAGCTAATGGATTCCATGGAATCATGATGTGAAAATAACAATTAGTTAATGGAATTTACGTTTACCTGATATGTGATCAAACATCATTATTAATTAAACATTTAAAAGGCTTTTTTTTTCTTCTTTTTTTTCATGAAGGAGACGATGGAGATCGTGGAGATGAGAGAAGAAGAATCAAACATGTTTGAACCATTCTGATCGACACAATACATTTATTGTCGATCACTGAAAGGTCTCGTCATATCATCTCAGTTCTTCTGAGGCTAATAGATGGACGGATGGATGACTTATGATTATACAATTAAGTTTTCTCTTCACGATTTGCTTCCATTACTTTGCATGGTTGCTTGGTTGATGATGGGAGAAAAGTTATCACTTATTTAGTCACGATCTAAACTGATTTATAAAGTCGAATCATTAAGAAACGTTTCATCGATAATAAATAATGAGTGGAAAATATATTTATAACTTTATTTTAACATTTTAATTACCTTTTATCATCAGCTTAACAGAAATAAATAAAAATAAAATAAAAAGACTCAGTTTGGATTTCGAAATTATTTTCTAATATTTCTCATGTCTTGAAAATAATTTTTTTAAATTCTATGTTCAATTCTTCCATTAGATTTGTTAACATTAAAATTGCTTTGTCATTGTGAATGTGAATTTATACTGGAGGTGAATCAGACCAAGTTCGAAATTCATAAAAATCTGTTAAGAATTCTTTGGTATTAAGTCACGCGATGATGACGCACTGTCGACCTTCGCTGCGATGATACCCCTGAATTGTATTTCACATAAAAGGAATGAAAACTTTTTATAAATGAAATGAATCTCATCAACTGTTGATGTGGATATGTTAAATATTGAACCAAGAAGAAGACGAGATTATTTAATTGAGAGATTTAAACTCTTCTTCTGGGTGTTTGTTATGTTCGTAGATGATGGTAAGTAATCAAATAATTACACGTCTTTCTCTCTCTCTTTTTCCGTCTTCTCATGAATTCTTCAATCGTTAAGTCTTTTATTAGATTAATTTAATGAGATTAAATCAGTTCTTTCTTTTCTTTATAAGTTTGAAGGTTTTTTTTTGCGTTCGACATAATCAATAAGCTTTTGACATCGATACGTCGAGAAGATTAGCTTAGGAGATTTTTTCACGTGAAATTGTGCAATTGTCGAATAAGTTTGAGTCAATACACGATGAAAATTTGAAGCTAGGATCACGATCTGTAATTAAGTTAAATCAACGTTTTAAATTTTATGACACATCCATTAGTTGAAAGAGAAGAAGAAATTCTTTACATCGTCGTTCGATTTAAAAATGACCTTTGATGGAATCTTTTGCCATGAAAAATAATTTTCAAAAGAATGGAGAAGAGACTCACACCGCGGCTAATGTAAACTGTGTGACGTCAGGTGATAGGAATTAATTTCATTAAAAATCTTTGCTTCAAACCTACCTGAGTTTGAAACAAGAGCGAATAAAACGGAGGGAGTGAGAGAGAGAGAGAAAAATGTATAAAAAAAAGAATAAATTAAAGCTATTCAAAGTTTCTAATGATTATAGGTTTCTAGTGTTGCTTGAAAGTGTTCAAGATCTGGCACATTAAGGAAACGAAGAAATAAAACAACGATCAAAGACATAAGAAGTCGTCAAAAATCTTTTCTTTCCGATTTCTTCGAATCGTTTTCATGTATAGCAAAAAAAATAATAAAATTATGTTAGTTGAGCAAGGCATCATTCTCCACAAGTTTAAAGTGTAATAAAAATAATTTAGATAATGGTTTCTGGAACACCTTCCGCACGTAGGGTCCTGAAAGAGATGAAAAAGAAGGCAGCAATGGTCGAGAAGGGGATAAAAAAAGGCACAAAGAAAACATGAAATAAAACAATAACAATTTACTGATGACCATCGCCTTTTGTGTAGCATACAATTTAATTTCGTTTAAGACTGCTTCGGCAATAACAGAAACAATGAAGACCAAAGACATGTGTTGTGATAATTTACCGAATGGTGTAAGATACACGGTGAGAAATAATTAGATAGCTGTGACTGCTTCAGTGTGGACAATTTCATTCGACGTCATCCGGTGAATCTTGATAACTATCATGGTATGGATTGACAACTGAATATTTGCGATCATACCATAGAATGAGATGAGATAAATGTCGATTATTGCCTGGGGTTGCTTCGGTAGACTTTCGAATGCAATTCACAATGTCGTTAAACGAAAGTGCGGCTGGAATATCAAAAATAATTTTTAATTCAATTTTAATCTTGAATTTTACGCACCAAGTGGAGCTGCTATCATAATTTGGCACTTTCTGGCATTAATTAAGTCATCATGCTTTTTGAAAATCTCAATTGATCGATTGAAATATTTCACAGACTTTTGATAATTCTTTTTGTTACTCCAAAACTCTCCTAAAGTCATGCAAATGTCGCTTTCAATCTTCTCCAACGAAAATTCTTTTGCCAAATTTTTTGCTTTCTTTAAAGTTTTTTCGTAATTTTCATCATCATTTAATCTTGCATAATATTCGGAAAGCATAATCAATGACTCTACAGCCTCAACATGAAAATTTTGTTTGATTGCAACTTCAAATGCATCCTCGAAATGATTTCCAGCAAGTTCGAAAGTTTTTAAGATAAGAAAACATTTTCCCATCGTCATATGATATTTGAAGACCATTTTAAAGTTTTTCCGGTCAAATTCGATGAGTTTTAAGGCAATTCCAGTCAAGTCAATTGCTTTCATTGGATTTTCTTGTCTGATATCATCGGCGAAGTTAATCAAGGCGTCAAAGAGCTCATGTTTGATAAAATTTTTCAACAAATTTGAATTTAAATCATCTGTAAGCATAAATTGAATATCTTTGAATTCTTCGACACTTTTAACTAATTTCATGGCATTATGAGCTGCACTTAGATTTTTGACAGCATCTTCATAGGACTTTTGGGATTTGTTTAAGAATTTTCCGTAGAAATATTTGCAAATGATGTCAAGTGAAGAGTCTTTAAGTCGGTGGATTTGAATGAATTCCACTGCACATCTGAAAATCTTGTCGATTGTCCATGAAAGTTTTTCGTTTACTTCTTGGATGTGTCGTGCAAGTTTGACATAAATTTGAATTTTTTTAATGTTGAAAGCTTTCTCACAAAACTTCAAATCTTTGAAGATTCTTTCCAGAAGTTCCTTGTTTGAAGTTAGAAGCTTCGAACCTTTCAAATCATGTTGAATGATTTCGTCGAAGAAACTGTGACCTTGTGGAAATGTTTCTTCGTCAAGTTCATCGAGCAGAGCTTCGTGCAGCGGCTTCTTAACTCTTTTTATTTCATTTGACGTTAATAGAGGAACTTTCTCACGTAGTTTTTGCTTGATTAATGGAATGAGCTTGCGGGATGAAGTCGTGAGTTTCAAGGGAAATTCTACAGACTGCATTTTGAAGTACAGAAATAAAATTAATTCAAGCTTTCTGAGAATTTTTCCCTTCCGTGTATGAAGAATAATTTTTCACTTTTGGATATAAAATTAAAATAATTTTTCAGTTCGATTTGACTTCCTCAGCTTCAGCCCATCGCTGTAATTTATTAACATTTTTATGTGTGGTCTTTTACGCCATTAAACATCAGAAACTTGAATAAATCGTCTCGGAATGTCTTTGGAAGAAAAAGGAGGAAAAAGTTTGAAACTTTCATTCATCGTTTCGGAATCAGCAAAGAAAAAATTTGCAAAACTTTAATAATTAAGCATAAAATATCTTTTTTCATTAATTACTGGAATAATTCGATGATTAAAATTCTTTTGGGTGAGTAAGGTAAAGAGAAAGAATTTTAAATTGATTGCTTTTTATTGGTTATTGAAAACCGCAGAGAATCAGATATGTGGTTTGGCTGGCCGCGTGCAAGAAGTTAAGAAAAGACAAAAAAAAAGCCACCAAAACGATTCAAAAATGTAAAGAATCCGAAAATTATTCCCAATCATTTAGATACACATGTGGAAGTTTTAATCTCTGGTTGTGTCACAAACATTCAACGTCTTGATAATATTTCCTTCAAACAACGTTAGACAGGCGTCACTTATCAAATCACCCGCCAACCGAACATTCTGACCGATCTCCCTTCTCGATTCAATTTGTAATTATCCAACGTGTGTGTTCCTCACGCCTCAATATAGCTCATTATTTTTAATAAAAATGTGGAAAAATTGCCTCAAGATGTTTTCTTCTCTTTCTGTTCTCTCGCGTACAGTTTTTGTTTCCCTCAAAATCAAGTTTTCATTCGGTGATGCAATGCAATTTCAGTCCGCAATTCCTTTTTCGAGGTGTGTGTTGAACTTTTTATATTTTTATTTTCAAAATTTTAAGCAACGTGAAAGTTGTGAGGTCCGAAAGGAAAATAATTAACACTTTAAATTGCTTAATTCCATGAACAAAAGTACGACAGCAAGTGATTGACGCTTTTGGGGATGATTTGATTTTTGGGTCAGTAATGAAATGTTTCATTGCAAACCTTGACTTTTGCAACAAAAAACTTGCTTCGGAATGTTTTTGAAAGTCATTAATTTGATGTAAACGTTGTAGTCACAAAACATTTATTATTACCATCAATGATATTTTTTTACACGTTTATGACACGATTGAATCCATTATTAATGTTTTAAATATAAAACTAACTTCAAAAAAACTTACTTTGATCCTTAATTGTTAATTACATTTTTTTAATTAGTCTCATTAATTGTTCTAAAGAATTAAAATTTAATCACGAACATAAAACATGCATTGTAATGTTTTCTCAATAAAAAAATTTTGGTCATTTAGCATAAATTGAGATTCCCTTGGAGATTCCAAAAGTTTTTATGCTGATTAGAAAAATAAAATTAATGTAAATCAGAGTGAAGAATTGATTCGATATTTCTGATTTATTTAATTATCGACAAGTGTATATTTCACGCTTTTCAAGGCACGTATTGCACACGACATCGCAACACCAGATGAAACGACATTTACAGTTTGACTTTACAAAAGTCACGCTGCGCTGATAGCCGTTGTTGCAGCAGAGAATTTCGCAGCCATCTTCACCGCTTGATGTGATGTTGCATTCACGATTTTGTACGCCTGGAAATAAATGTTTAAAGTTGCGAAACAATTCGATTCGTTATGAATATTCGAGTCCCTTTTTAAAGATTAAGAAAATTTCTTACCAAGTGAGCCAGTTAAACGATTTGGTCGACAAAAGTCGGGAGATTCATCAGTGTAAACAAGATCTTGTCTCGTTGGTGGTTTTATTGACAAACCTTCTGTCATGAAATTAGTGCCATCATTGTTTGAAATCACTTTTGATGCACCGTCAAAACGATCCCTAAGTCGATGAGCGACTTCAGTAAATGATGGTAATTTCATCCAACATGTTTTCATTGTGCAACTGCCTGACAATCCATGACACTATTTCAAAACAGGAAGTCAGATTATTGAGGTAAATATTTAAATATTCTTCAATGTGAAGACAAGAAATCTTACCTTGCAATCGAGACGCATACTTTTCTTTACAGCCTGCAATTACACAACATTGTAGAATAATTTTAATTTACGAGATTAAATTTGTAGTTTGAAATCAGAAGTCGGAAAATAAATTTCGAATCTTTAATTTTTTGAGCCTTAAATCGAGACTTTGTTCCACAAAATTTTTGTTCCGGAACAGAGTGGAAACAGAAATTTGTCCCGGAACAAAGCGCTAGGGACTCGATCTTCATAAAAGAATTAAAGTAGATAATTAAAAATATCTCACCAAACGTCCAGCATTATTGTTATGAATTTTGACTAACGTTTTAATATCACTTCGACGTCGTAAGCGAGCATCGAGAAAATCTTTTGATTTTCGGTTACCGAAATTTACATTGTCGTCACATCCACTCCATTCCCAATTTTCACCAACGACGGGTACTCCAGGAACCTCTGTGGGTAGAGCAAGTGGAGCTTTCCGCTGTTTCTTGTTAGAATTTCTTGCCCTTTTCTTATTATTTCCATTTCTTCTCGGCTTTTTTGTTTTATTTTTGTTAATGTTAATGATGTTAGTTTTTGTGTTGTCAAAAGTTGTCATTTGATTGTTATTCAACAAAACATTATGCCGCACAAGATTCTTATCACAAGAACATTCAACTAATTCTCCCATTGAGCAAGCTTTAGCGATCGTATAAGAAATGCCAGCAGCTGTAATAGCATTCACGAATGCCGTCTCTCTTGTATCTGTTGAATAATGTCGAAAAAAAAAATGAAACAAAAAAGTTATAACGGAATTTTTTTTCTTCAGGTTCGGAAGTAAATCAAGTTCACCTCTTAGCAAAATTTTCTTCATGCTTCGTCTTTGCGATGTGCAATTCCATTTGCGATGACGAAATTGATTTTCACATTCACGAAATCCCAAGCTGATACCTTTCGTGATTTTCTTGAGAATCGATGTTTTATTGCGACTATCCTGTTTGCAGATGTCAAGAATTTTGTTAGGAATTTTTCGTGTTTTCTTACATGCTTGCATTGGATCAAGTAAAATGTTGCTTCCTTCAGCCCTGAAAGAAATCGCCAAAAAAAAAAAGTTTTAAATACTGTCAATTGAACAGCAAACATTGCATCAGACGGGAAATGGAATGTTTGTCACCGATAAACTCATTTCGTCTATTTTTAGTTAAACTATCAGTCGAACGAACCTTACACACAGGTTTTTACATAACGCAGAGTTTTTGAGTGGATTTTACGATATTTTTATTACACATCGTTGATGACATATAAAGGGATCGGGACTGTAATTTCTCTCATAAATATTTATTTGAATAAACAAATCTCAGCTTCGATGTTTACATGTTCTGTTCAAGTAACAGTAGTCAGAAAGTAACATGTGAAGATCACTTCGTTTGAACGATTCTGTTTGATATTGAAACAAAATTTCACATCGGAAACGTGTGGCATGAAATGAGTAATGATTTATGTTAATTAGATGCTAATGGACCACGAAGCCAACGTTGAAAAATTAATTTGAAACTCATTAGAGATTCTTATCAACAACGATCGAATCAGCTTTCAAGTTTTAGCTTGTTGTTGTTTTTTCTTTTAATTATTCTTCCTCAATAAAAGCCAAACATCTTTATCTGATGTTGTTATTGGTTGAACTTCTTCACACTACATAATGTTGGCTTCTTTTTTGAGATTTATCGAAGATCACGCTGTTTAATTTCAAAGGTAAGTTTAAAGGCTTTTGCGACACATTCGGCTCGCTCATATATTTTGGTAACAAATATTTTAATTAAAAGTAGTAAATCAGAACTTCTTTCTTTAGCTGAATAGAATTGATGGATGAAAATTAACCGCAAAAGTCAATTTGGCCGGATTAGGTTTTAAAAACTTAACAAATATATTAATTACCACTAAGAAGCTTATTTTATTCATTAAATCATTTCGTTTTTGTGAAAATCTTTTCAAAAATCTGCTTCTTTTCTTTTGCAATTCTATTATAGAATTTGAAGGAAGTTTTATAAATAATCTTTTAATAGTACGATCACTGACATCTTCATTTCAAGCGAAAGCAAAAACATTAAAACCAGGCGTCATTAACAACATTGTGATTCTTTTAGGAATGAATAAGAAAAAAAAATTCACCGCCTTAGCTTCCACATTTCTGTCTCAAATTACGTGAAAGCAAAACAAACGAGAATTTCGTCGCGTTTTTTATGACACGACAAATTCATTTGAACTGCTTATCTCATGTTTTATATGAAACACAATCACATCATCATCAGAAAGTTTCCCTCAATGCACGCGAGAGTTGTTTAGAAAGATTTGTTTACATTACCAATAACTCTTGTTTTTATAGCATTGATCACTTCTGTTTAAGAATTTTCGTTGAAAGTTGTGGAAAGTATTAAAATGATAGAACTTTGAATCGAGACTTAATCAACTAAAATTAAGCAATAAAATTTCGTTTTATTATCCGTTTATTAAGTTTATCGAAGATATTGATCTCACTCACTACGAAGATGAAGAAGGAGCGAGTAAAGAAAACGATATATCTAATCCATTAGCTCGCCTCGCTGTTTTTCGCTTCTTAAGGGAGATGAGCCATAAACACTGTATGTGAAATGAGCTAACAAACAAAATATTGTAGCACGCAAGCGAGTCAGGCAAAATTAAGAGATCGAGAGATAAAATCGAATTGAAAACGAAGCTCGGAAATTGATTACATTATTGTTTATTTATGTTGTAATTTAATTTTTTTTTTTGGCTTTGCTGCTAATTAACATATAATTTGTTAAACTAATTAACAGTCAAGATTTCATAAATCAAGAGCAGAAATTGTTAAGTGGAATCGCTTATTCAAATAAACAACTTGCGGATATCGTTATGAAACTTTTTTTTGTTGTTTATAAGCTTGCGTTCGTTGTTTCAATTCAACGTATTTTAAAAAACTTTAAGCTAAATATCTATACAAGTTATTTAAGTGCATTAATTCATCTGTTGAGTGTTCAATTGGGAAGTGAAATATGTCAAAATATCTCGCAAAGATGTTGATTTTCACATTTCTTGAGATTATTAAGATGAATTGAAGTGAATGACGAGATGTTGAAAGATTGCAATTGCACAATGTTGCACAATGATCGACAGTTGAATGACGACAAGGAAAATTTGCGCCGTCCATGAACTTAATTTCCATAAAAACTTCTCCTGCTTCATCTTATTCATTGTCAGTGGATACTCAATGCACGACGATAGCTAAGTGCATTATGAGAGCGCATTTAATCGTGGTGAACATCCGACTTGTTTACTTTTCGCTCAAGTGGCAGATCGCGTTCTAGAAAGCGAGTTGTTTTGTGTCGTCTGTTGACAGGTTTGTATGCTGATGATGTAATTTTACTCATTTCATCTCTCTGACTATTCTCTTATCTCTCGTTAGTGTCACTTGAAACTCAAACAATTCTTCTTTTCTAATTTTTTTTGACGACGTTTTTAGAGCAAAACTTTTACTTATTTAACCTGCACGTAAACTCAATTTTGCATTAGCAATTGCGAAAAGAGTAATCAACTTGAAAACAAATTGAAACATTAACGATAAATGTGAGTTGGGATAATGTAATCGAATATTAAAAATATATTTCGATACAATTTAATGTCGCTTTAAAAAAGCAAAATGCAAGAAACGAGTTCGCCGAAATGACTACAATTTAACTCGATTGGAATCCGAATTTATTCAAATTTAATGCGCAATAAAAAGGCTTAAAATCAGTGAACATTTTCTTAATATTATTTCATTAAATCGAATAACATCAGGTCAAGCCAACTCACCATCCACTTGTCATGGGCATTACTATTACGCTGAAGTATATGGCACAGACAATAAAACGCATATTTACACTTTCACTGCTTCCGTTTGAATCCCAGACTTAGATATTTTATTTTATTTAATGACTGGGACTCACATTTGAAAGATTCTTCAGGTTTTTGAATAACTTTTCAAGCTTTTTCTTTCCTTTTTTTGGTTACTTTTTCAAGCATTTATTCACTTTTAAATATTTTGTGAATTTTGTCTGAACTTCACGACTTCTCTTCATATTTATTTGCTTATCTATTCGTTTCTCTTGTCACATTTCATCATTTCTAAAATCCTCTTCAGCGATTTATTATTTCACCAACTCATGTCACAGAAAAAACTGAAACTTCACAGTTTTCACTCACGAAAATAATACAAAACAAAAAATCCTTTTCCCAACCGTCTCGCAGCAAGCACCGTAATTTAATAATTAACATGAAGCACGTATTAGAACATCGAAGAATAAATAATATAAATAATAATATTCTCTTCCCCAGAGCATTGAGATTACAACAACACCAAACCAACCGAGGTTTTCGTTTCACTTTTCTTTTTTTTCCTTCGCTCTCCTAATGTATTTATAACACAACTGAACTTTATTTTTTTACTTCTCTTAAAGCACTGCTTCTTACTTATAATATTTTAATTCTTAATGGTTTTGTTTCTTTTGCTTTTGGTTTTTTTTAGATAAAATTATATGCTTCTTCCTCTCGTCGTGGCTTTTTCGGCGCTTGGTTGTTGAGAGAAGAAACGAGAAATGTCGATGAATAAGTTTTTGAGCGTTGCAGTTCAGTGGCTGGCGAGTTTAACTTGAATTGCAAAAAACTTAACATAATTTCATTTGAATGTTTATCATTTATGATCCTTCAATGTTCTTAAATACATAAAACAACTACAAGTTAATGCAACTCACTCAAAACTTTAATAGCGCTACTAAGCTGCGTAGAATACATTCAAAGCGTCTCACGATACTCAATGAAACTGGCGAAAGATCGCCTTTCGATCCGTATACATGTGGACTTCTTTTTTACATAAGACGTTTTTTTTAAATATTATAAACTGCTTCTTTATATTCGAAGCTTAAGACTCGAACTCTCTGCTTCAAAGTGAAAGAGATCTTTTCCATTCAACATTCAAAAAAGTTGTAAGTTCAAAAAGTCTCAACTTCGAACACGGTATGATAGAATTAAAAAATAAATCTTAAAACTTTTTCTCTGAGTTTAACATCGTTTTTTTCGTTTTTCGTTCTCATAAGAAGATAAAAAAATATTGAACGAAAGAAATTGTGTCTATGTGTTGTGGAAGACGTTTCCACCTTTGTATATTTTAATATTTTGATAGAGAGAACTCTAATGGAGATGATACTTACTTACTAGCACCGTGCTCAACCCGCATTAACTCTCGCCTGGTGAGAGTAAAGTTTTCTTCAACTCAACAGAAATTGATCTTCTTTATCAACTTAAATATTTCTTTCTTGCTTGTCATCATTCAACATATATTATTGGAACTGTTACATTTTATTGATTTATGTTGATATTTATAAATTATATAATTTGCTAAATAAAAAATGATTTCGTAATAACTAGAATTTCATTCCATCTTCAACTCAACATTAATTAAATTAATTAAATAGTTATTTCTTGATAAGTTTAATTGATTAAATAAAAGCAAAGGCAGAAACTATAATTTAAAGAAATATTTTTCATTTTATGTTTCTCTTTTTCACTCGCATTTTTTATGTTCTTCCAATGAATCTTCAGCTGATTTTTTTTTTCTTTCTTTCGCCCATCAAATCGTTTTATCAACATTTCGGGATTTGTTTTTTAGTTGTTTATAAAAATTCTTTTGTTGATCGTTCTGTTTTTTTTTTGCTTCCCTTCATCATCAAACTACTGCATAAGTCGAGGAGAGATAAAAAAATCTGTGGTCAAAAATTCAATCGTTTTTGTTGCTGTTGATCGCTCGGGATTTATCTCCCAAGCTTCCTTTCTCTGTCTGACAAACAAAAGTAATGCAAGTTCTTGAAAGATATGCTCACAAAAGTTCCACAAAATGTTCAACACAAAAAAAGAAATGCATAATATTTTTCCCGCTCTGGCATCGGGAATTGTTTTTCAATCTCTTTTCTGTGGAGATAAACTTTAAAATATCTTTGCGACTGATGATGTAAATATAAATGATCAACTCATTGGCGTAGATCAAAGCTTCTTATGCTGCAAATAAATTATTCGTGTTTTGTGTGTCGCTGCATCGGGATGCACATTATAATTTCAGCAATGTCCTTCTTGAGAAATTTATGGGGTAATCATTTGTTGTAAGGTACTTGAAGGTCTTTCAGAGGCAAAACAAGACAAAAAGAAGAGAATCTGAACAAAACACAAAACTTCTTACAAGGCGATCAATGGAATGAATGATTAAAAAGTTTCTTTACTGCTTTTCTGTCCCGTCTTTTGGATTCTATCGTCTTATTAAATTGTTTTTCAACTAAAATAAATAAGGTAAAGAAGACTTCGAAATGTTGAAGGGGGAAAAAAAGGTAAAATGTTTGTAAAAGATTTTTTTTCCCTTTCTTCTTTAATTGATTTCCATTTGACTTGACAATTGCAATATTTAGATCCACAAAAACTCTGTAAATTTCGAATGTGTGCCCATCATTGATAGCTTTGCTCTCTTACAAGTTTCTTTTTTTTCATGTGCAATTTTTTATAATTCGCAAACTTTTTTTTGGGGAACAATTTGGATGTCGGAAGAAATGAGCGGATAAAAATGCATTTTATGTTGATAATATTTGGAAAGCTTTTCTTCGGTTCTCCTTTTAAAGCATTGCATTCAATGATAAAAGTTCTCTTTAACGATGATGATGCAACATGACAAGTCATGATTTGTTCACTGAAGTTTTCATTAAATTAATTTTGACTCTAAGAAACGCACTCAATCGATGGTTCTCGGGCTTATGTCGCAAAAGTTAAGCGACGAAAAATTCCATTCTTTGAAACTTTCCTTTCGTGATCAACAAAAATGTTTATAAAATCAATTTCCATTAATTGCGCTCGACTTACTTCTTATAAAGAGTTGAAAGACAGACATCCAAAATGTCGAGAAAAAAGAAAGATTACACAAATTTTTAAGAGATTTTAAGTTTATTCCAGAGAGAAATTCTCAGATTATTTCCAGAAATGAAATGTTAAGTCACAAAGTTAAAGTTAATCTTGCTTTGATTTCACAACAGAAATTTTATTATTTTATTTTTCTTGAGAAACGACTTGAGAAATTCTATTCGCAGATTGCGCAAGCATCAGCGATCATTTTTCATCACTCCATGAATATAATTTTCATTTTCACTGAATTAGTTTAATTATTTAAATATCGTAGGCGCCGCTTTTATTGAGTGAAGAAATTAGTTTTGGAATCAAATGAATATGTTAATAAGAACCAATTTCCGTTCAGCGATTGTAAACATTGCTAGAAAATTATAATCGGAAAATGAGTAACCAATAAAATCTTTTGTTTATTAAGTATTTAAATATTATTTTTCTTATAGATTTTTGCTAATCTTTTAAAGTTTTTTTTTTCTTTATCATCATCAGGTCATTGTCAATAGCTCATAAAGAACTAATACAACTGCCAAGACGAGACTATCAAATCTGTTAGATATAAAATTGCTTTTAACATCTCATTCTTCTTTAGTTTATGCTAATTTCATTGGGGATTACGTTTAGACAAATTAATATATTTTCAAAAATATCTTCTTTCTTAATTCGAACTAATTCAGTGACAATTTAGACGACCCAACTCAAGTGTTTAGAAAAATCGTCTCCTTACTCCATCACCGTCTATTAGTGATGATATTAATTTGCTGTAACAGTAGGACACACACGATTGGAGCTAAGACAAAAAATGCAAATTTTACGATATAATTGAAATAGTTTATTTCAACTTTGTGTCTGTCTGTGATGCGAAAGATGTGGAAAGAAAATTTTCATAATTTTCATATCAAATTCAAATTAATGTTGATACTCTAAATAATATTTAGTTAATTCCAGTTTCTCAATTTTATGGTCAAGATATCGTTGTCTTCTTCACGTTCTTTTTTGGGGTATTATAGAAGTGTATCTTAATACCTCAATTTTGAGTGTTTGTTCATATTTTGCCTCGCGTATAGAACGAAGAAAGAGAAAAAGATCGTCTTAAAGACTTCTTTAAATCCATAAAAATTAATTTCCTTACTCAAGTCTTTTTTTTCATTTGGTGTGTTTTTCTCTTAATTCTTCGCTATAACAAATTGATTCAATAAAAGGAATGTCGAGCGAGGAATCGCTTACCAGTTTTCAACGTTGAACGATATAAATAAATAAAAACTTCATGTTTTTTATGTAAAAAAGAAATGTTTTCTTCTTCTTTATTTTTAAACTTTTATGTCTTAATTCATGTTGTTGTGAAGACGAGTCAGAATGAAAAATTTTAATTTTCCTTTGACTAAACACAATGACTTCTTTTAATGCTCATTCTCGATTGATGACACAAGCACAAAAAAGAAGAACGTTTGGTCAGTGAAAGAAGTTAATCAATTTGCCTTTTTTTTTTCTTCCTAACTTCGTCTTTTTATTTTGTGTAACAATGAAATCCTAGGCGAAAGAGATTACACAGACAAAAAAAAAGAGATTTTTCTTCTCGCAAGCTCGTAACAGGTTCATTAAAACCACAGAAGTATAATTTATCAAGTTTCATGCCTGAGGTCTTGGGTGAATAAATGTGTACTTTAGAGCAATCTCCTAACATTAATAATTATGAATATGAAGCTTCAAATATATTTTTATGAAGGGAGAGAGAGACAGTGGAAGGTGTTTCACTGCCTTTGACTTGTATATTTATTTTATGAGCTCAAGCCAAAGGAGAAAAAAGTTTAATTTATGTAAATTGGTATTAATGAGAATGAAACACGAATTTATTACAAATATGTTGGAACGACAAGCTGTTAACAATATTTTTTATTAGCCATACGCACGAGAGACAACAAAACATTTGTGTCCGGTAGGTAAGATTTCATTCTTTATCATCATCATCTTCATCGCCTTGTCGTGCTATTTAAGAATCTACGATTACTGCGAAACGACTTCCCACTGTGCAACATGCCGATGATGAACCATGAAAGCAGTGTTAAAGCTTCTTGCATATATTTAAATTATCACTTTCTGTTCATTTCAATTTCAGTTTTTGATTCTTTTTTCTTGGAAGAAGTGTGACTACCGTGAATTCATTTTCCATTAAATAAATTGTTTCACAATGTGATGCAACTCATCGCACATGTTGTTCGCTTTGATGCCGCGCTACAAATCAAAGATGAGAAAGGAAAAAATACCGAACATTATTTGTCAGGGCGATATAGATGTTCATTAAGAATAGTCAAGCAGCAGGGTGTTAATGTCTTTAACAAAAAGAGGCTCTCATCAATAGCTGAGAAGAATATCCATGATGTAGGTCTCTCCGATTGCCGCTTTGCTTCTATTTTTTTACTTTCATTCCTTCTTCTTTTTCTTTTATAGTTTTCGCATTTAATTTATTAGTTAGATGAGAGAAGAAAAGATTGTGAAATGATAAATGAAACTGAATCCTGGAAGAACCTTGACATAAATATGAAACGGGATCTATGGTATTTATTTTATGACAATCAGAAGCATGCGTCTATTTGTGACACTCTGAGAGACATTTGCGGTAATTGTTTGGTGCGAATTGCTTTTATGTTTTATGCTGTGTCACCACATCGACAACAATGAGCCTTCTTGATTACCTGGGAAAATCACTTTTTTCTTTCTTCTTTCTCTGCTTTTATCTAAATGGAAATGTTTTGGTATAAAAGCCCACAAATTAAATATTGACGCATTAACACTCAACTTATAATTATTAATTTTATTGACAACTTAATTGATTCGTATTTCTTATAATAATAAAGAGAAAAGAGAAAATTTCTTCTTTTTCCTAATGGATTTTAATAATAATTTTATGATTGTTTCGCATCCATTAGGAGTTGATCATTGCACAGCAAAAATTGAATGTTTCAAGTAGAGATTGAGATATATGAAGCCTGCAATCATCAACACTTCTTCGAATGATCTTAATGTTCACACAATCTCAAACTTATCATCGTTGACCGATCTTTTTTTCTTAGGAAATTTATGAGTGAAGAAAAGTTTTTATTTATATTTCATCATCATGATTGATAGTCTCATGTTAATTACATTAATAAACTAATTGCAAGAATTAATATCTAATGTTTAGAGTTTGTAAATTATTCATAAAGACATTATCTTCCAGACCATCTTCAGCTGTATCCATTCTCTGGAAAATAATAAAAAATGTTTTACTCATAATCGTGAGCGAAAAAGTTTTCAACTTAACTAGTGTAGAGCTGAGAATATTCATAAGCATCACACATCGTTACACAAACACATCCGCTAAACTTAAACTCCTCCCTCCTACAATTTATATTTTATTTCTTTTCTTCTTTTTCTTAATACCACATATCAGGAAAACGAAGAAAACACAAATTAAAAATTGTTTGAGAGAGAATTTTATGTATACAAACCAACAAACGTGATGATCGCGTTACGCTATAAAAATTTAAGCAACTTTTGTTTCTTTATTTTTGATATGATTTTAAAAAGCTTTAAATATTTATTTGGTTATAAAATTAAATGGTTGGTGCTTGTGATTATAAGATATTTTAATATATATTTCATTCTCTTATCAAGTTATTAATTTAATTGAAATTGTAATAAAATTGGTATTGAAGTGTAATAACCTTAGCTTTTGTAAATGTTTCCCATTTTAGTATAATTAAAAATTAATCTCCTTTAATTTTAATTTCGTTTGATGTTGTTTTCACCAACTTTGTTAGGTGTTTTGATTACTTATGACAATTCACAACAAAGAGATCAAGTACTAATGTTGTCTTTCTCGATGGGTTAATGTCGAGTAGCTGTTGACGCGTTCATTGACACAAAGGACATGAAATTAAATTGAGTCGTTGAGTACGCCATTCACAACGTCACATCAAAGGGAAAATGAAAGCCATGATGTTTCATAATTTCTTTCTCGAGTCATTTCCATGACAAAGTTTTAAAGATTTTTTCCTCACATTTTCCCTAGAAGCGAAGATTTATTTGAGGGCGGGTGCTTTATTTCTTTTCGATCATGGAAGTTAAAAGTAATAGCTTTAAGAAGAATTTTAAGCAGTTTCATGGTTGTTTTGTTCAACAAAGAAACTTCATTTTCTGACTTTATTTCTTAACGTGGATCTTAATGATCTCCCACCGTCTGCCCCCAAACCCAAAAGAGTAAAAAAAAACATTCAAAATTGACCGATGTTCGAAGAAGAGAAGAGAAGAAAATCATCTAAGATGGTGAACATTAAATAACACAAAAGTTTTTAATTTGAGGCTTTTGTTGGTCGAAGATTTCAAATATCTTTTGTTAAAAATTATAAGTTTTAAAGAAAATCTTTGGAATCGTTCGCTTGTGAAGACCTCACAAGATGTCCGTGAAATAAATGAAAATTCTTTGGAATTTATTCACAATCAATACTTACTCTTAACACTTTAACTATAATTTCTTTTATTGATTGCCTTCTACTGATTTTAATGTCAGAAGAAATATTGACACGATTTACTGCTTACAAACGCCTTGAAGAATGCATCAACAGTAGTGAAATCTCATGCATTATTTCCACAAATAACTCGTTATAGTCGTAATAAGCAATCACAAACATCTTTTAATTTATTTACTGCAATTTATTTGCACAGCTGACTTCATGTACCCGCACGAGCAAAAGGGAAGCATCCGATGGATGCAAATCGATGAGTCGCAAACATCTCTGACGAAATTTTAAACAAATCATTAGCTCCACTCTTTAAATTGTTACTTAAATAATAAATTGTGCAAATAATTTAAGTAAGAAAAAGTTAATGTGATTGAAAGTATTTTGTTTAAACTGTTGAATAAGATAAATATTTAATTATAGTAAATGGACGTAATTTTATTCTTTTACAAGTTCACAACTTACCATTTTATTTATTTAAAACTATGAACTGATATACCGAATAAATATCTAGTTTGATCATCGACTATTGTCCTCGACCCTTTCACTTTCATTGTTTCGTAAATATTGAAGGGTTAACAACAAATGATTTTAAAATTCAACAACTGAATGACATAAATTGCTAACACAAAAGAACCAGATTCATGATACGATAAACAAAAATAAAAAAAGAGTTTTTATTGTAATTTTATGAGAATCTTTCTTAGGGTGATGATGCCAATTGTCAACAATAAGGAATTGATACGAAATATTTTGCTTATTTTGATCACATACAACCTATCATCATGTTCCGACAAAACGTTTGCTTTGAATAGAAAGAAACTCCCAAAAATGTTTATCTTCAAACCTCCTATTGATGAAATAAATAAAAAGATTTAAGGAAGTCGAACGATTTGAGATTTTTATTGCGTTCTCGTGAAAATCTCAGTCTTAATTGTTACGTGATATTTCACCACAACTCGTCAAAGCAATAAATATTCTTCATTTCTCGACATATCATACATCATCATCATCATCATCAAAGTGAAATAATTATTCATCCCTCTTTGGTAATTCTCTTATTATTCTCATTGTTTGTGTTGAAGGCTTTGCGCGATAGGCACAAGCAGCTCTTACGCTCTATTAACAAAGTATTTGTACCTTTTAATGGAAGTAATTTACTCATGTAATGAAACAAAATCTATGAACTCTAATACAAATAGAGATGAGACTACTCAATTTATTTATTTCTTTTCTCATACTGATTTTGATTCCATCAATTTGAATATAATTGATATTTTATATTGTTCGTGTTCATACTTTTCATTTTGCTCTGTGCTCTCGGGGATGGATGGGATTCCGAGTTGGTTTTTGTTGTTGAGTTGAGATTGTTATATTGCTCGCATACATTTTTTTTTTCTCTTTTACACATTGTTAGTCAAGGTGATGTGTCTGTGATCTTTCATTACGAAAGCAGTGGCCGATGAGAGTTGCTCCTATTAACATGGTTTAAGAGAAAAAGAAGCATCGTAAATATTTGAACTTTGAATGGCAAATTAAATATTTATTAATACATAAAAGCAGTTAAATAAGTGTGTGGAGCTTAATGCTGAAAGAAGCAAAAGTTAAATGGTCGATAACACGCGAATGATAAACGATTGATACAAAGCGAACTGTGAAAAAATTAATTAGATGATTAATTAATTACCTTTATTTATTCAAACCAGTTTCTGTTGTGTTGTGAGATGATTTTTCCCCATCACATCTATCTGAGATGTTTTTTAATGGAGTAAAGTGGACGAAAAATTAAATGAGATGAATACATAATAAAAACAAATCATGAGAAAAGGATTAACGAAATGAAATGTCATCGAAAGTGGTGTGAAAAAATATTCTGGAATTTCAAAAATTGCATTTTATTGGAATTTGTTTAATTTGTCCTTAAATTAAAAAAGTTGGAACATGTAAATGATGAGAAATATGCTGTTAAGGAAGCCTAATTTCATTTTGATATTAACCATAATATGCTTGCAATTAATCGAGTTTAAAAGGTAAGATTAAAAATGAATCAAAGTCAAAAGAATGTCATGAAAGTTACGCTCGCTTTTATGAAATAAAATTTCTGTCTTGATTCCGCAATTTGTATTCCAAACACTTTTCAAAGAGTCTTAAAGCGCGTTTATGTGTTGTTTGTCGTAGATGCTGTGCGACTAGATAAGCATCGACATCAGACCAACTATCAAACGTGACTTAATTCGAGATTTAAAGACAGCAGCAGAATTTATTCGTCCAAGACTAATGGCGCCTGATTCATTCAGAAACTTTTACCTAATTCCACAATTTCATAATTCACGATAATTTCGTGGCTTTAAAACAATTTCTTTAACTCTAAACGAGAACCGCAGTTGCACAAAAATTTCGCCTTCTAACAACACTTTGAGTTGTGAGGTCTTCTCGTCTTGATTTTATTATTTTCGGAGAATTTTTATCAAACGACGAGATAAAATCTGAAGAGGGTCGCAATGAGTCAAATGCTTCATATTTTTGCGATTTTCATGTTCCTTTGACAATCAGTGGGACGAAAAAAAAGATGGAAAAAAGGTAGCAAAGACAAAATCTAGTAGTTGAATAACATCCGCATGATATCTTTCTATAAATCACAGAATTTATTCAATTCAGGTTAGTTGCGGAAGGGAGCACCACCGTGAGAAATGAAATTCGTTCGTAGCTGTGTGTTTGCAAAACAAATTGGTGATTAAGATTTCCCTCATTCGAAAGACCATTGACACAAATATCTACAACAAATTGCTGTTCGAATGAAAATAAGAAAGAAATCAGACATCATCCCGAATTCTCAATAAAATTTCCGCGGACACAGTCGAGGAGAGATAAATCTTTTAATTTATACAAAGATTGGTTTATAATTGCCTCTGTCTCTGTCTCATTCGTTGAGATATTCAAAATATTTTTATGCATTAACATTTTCTTCTTGCAATCGAGAGAAACATATTTGAGCCTCTCGAAGACGAAATGAAATTAACAGAAACAAGATTGCCAAAGTCCTGGGAAACGGAAAACGAAATTTCTCGAATAGCTTCTCTCTCTCGCTTCGGGTACGATTTGATTCGTTCCTTCGCTCGTTTTACAAGCAGTGAGATGATCGTAACAAAAAAAAAAAAAAACAACACGCCATAACAAATTGCTTCGAAAACATTTTTAAGAGTTGACCATTTCATGTCCAATGCAATATGTGATGCTTGTAATTGCTGTTGAACATAAAATTGCTGGAAATCTTGTCGCTTTAAAGTTTCAACTTCTCAACTGAACTGTTTAAATAAATTTCGAATGGAAGGTCAAAAACTTTTCATATTTCGTTGTTTGTCGAATAAGTGGCAAGTCTCGAAAGAATGACATAAAAAAGTTTTTCTTGAATCATTTGCCGTTATCGACATTCACCAAATTCCTACCAGAGCATTACAAATTGTGGGAAAGTTTCACTCGATTGCTATTTAGTCAAAGATGAAGGTCTGAAAATTCTATTGCGTTTTTAACCTTTTTTATTTCTTATTTACTCTCTCACATTGTGTCAATACTTTGCTTTGTTCATCATTCCTGAAACTCTAGTAGCAAAATCATTGTCTTTTATTTCTTTGGATCTTTCGATTTACTTATAATTGAAATTCCAAAGTTTCTTTGCTTGAAGAATTCCTATGAGTGGATGAGAATGTTTTACAGCAGTTTAAAACCAATAATGCGCATTATTGAATGATTTTCCTACTCTTGTTTAACTTCGATGGTGTTATTGAGGCTTCATTGATTGCGCGAAGTCAACTTTTTAAATATTTTATTGCGGTGAAAAATGCTTTAATGATTGCAAGCGGAATCTGTTACTTGAATTTTAAATTTTTTACTTGAATATGTTTGAAAGAAGCTGCTTTAGAGGATTATGCAGTGCTTAAAGGAAACTTAATGCTAAGTGAACAACGTTATTACCATATTTAATGATGACTTAATTACACAACGACCAACAACCTCATATAATTCTTCTTATACTTAAATATTCACTGAACACCTTTATTTAATCATAAACTTTATTTAACGTTATCAATCAGGTCATAAATGTTATTGGTTTAAAATTGTCTCATTAAATAAAACGTGTTCAGCTTTTGTCGTACAAAATAAATAATTAATCACTTGTGCATAATTAACTCAATGACAGAGTGCTATGAAATAACGAATATTATCGCTGCAAAACGGTGCAACCATTCACCGATGCTATAAAATTTTGTCAGCTTTCTTGGTCATTGAAATCGTTAAAATCAACATTAAAATATTTAAAGCTTTTTAATTGATTATGCCAGCACCCAAAGAAGTTCGAAAGTAAATACCAAACTGATTAATTAATCGATACTATTAGTGATAATTGAGAAAACGTGATTAAATTCGAAAACAAATGACAAGAAATGCTAAACTTTTGTGGAATTTTTCAGGATTCACTGCTTCAATGATGTTCGAGCCTCATGCAAAACTGTTCCGAATCTTACAAAAGCCCAACTTGAATTATGTTACAGAGCGAATGATGTGACAATGGCAGCAATAGAAGGACTGGAGCTGGCAGTAAAAGAATGTCAACATCAGGTAATTCGTGTTTTTTATTATTCATCTTGCAATTTACATTTAATTTTTTCTTCTTCTTCTTAAAGTTTCGATGGAATCGTTGGAACTGTTCATCGTTAAGTACAAAAAGTCGCAATCCACACTCATCAAATTTATTTAAAAGAGGTAAATTAATGACTTCATTTAATAATATAATCAACGCCTACGCTTCAGTAGTTCAATGCAACCGATTCCACCCCCGCAAATAATCAAATGCGTCAATTTTTATTTCTTGTCTTCATTTATGAATCGCACTGGCCATCAAAATATTTAATATTTCAAATATATTCCATGTAAATCATTAAAGTCATTGAATGACTACTGAAGAAACTTTTTTTTGTTAATTAAGGTTTGATAAATGATACAAGTTGTATAACTTGACAATCACAGCATGAGATCAAACAAACCAAATGATAATTAGTTGTTAATTGCGCAATAAAGCAAGTAATTATTTATGCTCCACTTGACTGTTTTGAATGGCTGAGAACAGTAAATCAAGCACGCATTTGGTGATATGCTCAAACACAAAAAAAGGAGAAAGACATGAATAAACCTAAAATCGATTTGTTGTCATGTCCATTAATATGAAAACCTGTGTCTTGTCACAGCATCGATGAATGTCAATTTCTATAAATTATTAATTGCTTTAATTAATGTAAAAAGAATCATGAATTCACATAGAGAATATTTAATGATTTGACAGTTTCATGATATTGCGTTATTGATCGTACAACTGGCTTGTTTGTAAGCAAAAGTCAATTTAATGAAACGACAAGAATCTGTGACAATCCATTCTGATCTCGAGATTTCTTTGGAAATTCAATTCAATCGATGAAAAGCTCTAAATTGTTAAATTATTGAACCCGCGCGTCTTTAAACTGTTGCGAAAATATTCTTCTCGATGTCTCGAAATGTTCACTGATTGACATCAAGAATGCAAATAAAAGAAATAAAAAAAAATATAACAGAACAGAATGGCAAAGCAACAGCAGCAGATCAATAATTTAAATGCAATCGCTGATTTTGCTTCTCCACTTTACAAAAGCCACAAAATACGAGATGAAAGAAAGAAAGAAAACATTGCAGCAAAAGACTCTTTGTTGACAGCCAATTACAATCGCATTATGCGATTTAAATGCGATTTCGATTTGATTTATTTACGATTGTTTGGGTTGGTGAAAGAACAGTTTGACTTGCAGATTTACACAAATGGTTTGAGACGATTCCATGATTATTGAAATATTTAATTTATCTGAAAGTTTTCTTTTCTCAAAATTATTATTTTCATTTCAATTTAAATACTCAAATATTTGATCAACTTCAACAACAACATGACGAAGAAGTCAATTGAGAAACTTTTCACTTTCAAAAATTTTATTTAAATTTATTCATTGCCTGCACTCGCCATCTGATTGACGAATTGATGATGACTTTAATGGTTGAAAAGAATACTTTGTCAACTGTCTGGTGGCAAGCTTCAAAGCTGACGAGAGCACATAAACAATCGACGATTTATTTGAGAACTTTTTCACTTTGCCATCAGATTGAGAGATAAATTTACATGTTCTTTGTGTTGTGCTTATGTATATCAACATTGCTTAACTTGACTGACATCAATCACGTTTACATAAGTAGTCACTTCGTGCACATTGTAATCGTGATTTCTCCTTTTCTTTTATGTCATCGTGTAGTTCGAAGATCGATTGATATCTTCTGACAGATTGACAAAAAAATAAGTTCAATCATCAATAAATGGAAAGTGGAGTGAATAATGATGACATTTTTTTGTCAATATCATCGTAGAAATTTGCTTAAAGTCAATTGAATTTAAATTTATGATGATATCATTTCGCAGGTTATCGTGAAAGTGCATTTGGACATGCGATTTCTGCTGCTGGTGTTGTTCATAATGTCGCAAGAGCATGCAGCCAAGGGAGATTATTATCATGTGGTTGTGATCCGAATTCAAATCGAAAAGGTCTAACAAAATCACTGAGAGAAAGTTTAGAGAAGGAGAAGAAAAAGTTCCTCGATAATGTTGTTGAAAGTCCATTCATCGTTGATAAAACTTTTGAAGCGACTCATAGAATCAACACAAATGAAGTCATGTCAAAGAAAAAGCTCAAACAGAAACTAGCAAACCGATGGAAATGGGCTGGTTGTTCACACAACATCGACTTCGGAATTGAGTTCTCTGAAATGTTTCTAGATTCACGTGAGAAGGCGGGCGATATTCAATCCCAAATAAATCTTCACAACAATAAAATCGGTCGTGTGGTAAATGACGAAAATTTTTAGATAATTGTTGACAATAAAATATTTTAATTTTTCTAGACGGTGGCCAAGAACCTCGTTAGTCGTTGTAAATGTCACGGGCTGTCGGGTAGCTGTCAATTAAAAACCTGCTGGAAGGCAGCGCCCGACTTTCGTATTGTTGGAAAAGTCTTGAAGCAACAATTTCGACGCGCAATTCTCGTCGATCAGTCCAACTTTGGTAACGGAATGATTGTGTATAAAAATGGTGGTAAAAAGCGCAAATCAAAATCTCTACAAAATCGACCTTCAGTTATTCGCAATAAATTTCAACACAATGCTGAAACATGGAAAAGAAAAACAAAGCGAAATCGTCTGGACAATTCACTTTTTTACTTTCAAAAGTCGCCCAACTTCTGTGAGAAAGACGTTCTTTCAGACATTCCTGGCACTCATGGTCGTCGATGTAATCGAACAAGTGCGGGCAGCGACTCTTGTTCGTCGTTATGTTGCGGTCGAGGCTATAATTTAATAAAGGAAGTGACTAATCAAAGATGTAACTGCAGATTCCATTGGTGCTGTTTCGTCGAATGTCAAACATGTGAACATGTCGAGTGGATAAGTTTATGTAATTAACATTAGGATTAAATCTTATCAGAAAGCTTTAGATATTTTAAGTCAGCTGTAGATTTGGCATGATTTTAAATTATTTATTTTAAAATAAAGTTTACCATAAACCTTGAGATTAATTAAAATATTAAATGTAAATTAAACTACCGCGTCGATTCATTCAATAGGAATAAGTTTTACTTAGTGTTTGAAAAGTATTTTAAGTTTTTAAGTTCATTATTAGATATTAAGATTATCAAAAGTTCATAAGCTTACATCACCGATGTAATTTTAATTAAAGCAGCAGAAAATTTCCTGAAATCAAATTTCCATTTTAACTTAAGAAACCAGCAAATCCATAGCTTTGTATTATAAAATTCATTAAAGCTTACCCAACAATTTCAAGACAAAATTCTTTCGTTTATCAATTTATTTTTAATTGCTGTAAATTCCATTTCAGTTTTTCGCAAAACATTCCACAACAAATCAACCTCAAACATATTCACATTCGTTGAACTTGCTTTTAAGATAAAAATTAATTTTATTACTTATCTCTCAAACAGAACGGCTCACCATCATCGCCTTTTAACCTTACATTGATTTATTTTAATGATTTTCTTGTATTTACAAACATTTTACGTGTGAAAATTGAAGGAATCCGCAGAAAGCACGTCGCTGTCTGTTTACGACTTTAGAATCATTTTTTTGTCAGTTATTGTTGTTTATGGCTTTAAATGACAATTGATGACTGCTGGTGAAATTATTTAAAAGTACAGAAACATAAATTAGAATTTATTAATAGACAATTGTGGTTGAAGTTATTATCTAATGAATCAACAAACATTGATTTGTAAGTCTTTGTTTAGGAAAACTCTCAATGCTTAATGAATTCTAAATATTTGCTTTCAATTTCTTAATTAAAAATATTTTTCTCCCTTTATTAACAACAAGTTTTCATTATTTTGTTAAACTTTGAAAGGACAACATTGAAATGAAGTGGAAAATTTCTGTTCTTTTAATTATATTTTTAATAGCTTTAATGAAATCAACAAAAATTCAAAATGTGAATCAAAGTTCAGTTTTAAGTCATGCAATTTCAGATTTAATTTTGGATAATTTTTCAAATTTTAAATTGCCACAATTTCATTATATAAAAGCAATTAAAAACTTTAATGAAAACCATGTCAATGACTTGATATCTGAAATATTTTTCATGACATCAAATATCAGTGCAACGAGAACGATTGAAAGTTTCTCACAATCAACAAATCATCAAATTTTCCCAGTAATTTTGTTCGTGGATTCAATTGATTCGTTCAATTCAAGGAGTATTTGAAAACAATTTCAAGTAACAAAATACAAACTCGAAAATGTTTCATAATCGTTTTAATAAATAAAATTGGAAATTATGAAATGAAAATAATTTTCTCATCGTTTTGGAAAATGATGACAGAAAATGTGAACCTAGTGATGAAAAATGACGATGAAAATTCTGATTTGTTCACTTTCTTGCCATTTAATGAGAAAAATTGTAATGACATAAGACCTGTGAAAATTAACACATTTAATTCAAAGATCAAGAAATGGAAATCGAGGAAATTTCATGTCAAGAAGACAAAAAATCTTTTTGGATGTCCTTTGATTGTTGGATATGCTGCTGGGACGAGTGATCCTGCAACAATGATTTGTAATGATTCGAAAGGAAATTTGGAACTTGCAGGCATAGAATTTGATGTCGTTCTTGAAATATCAAAACGATTAAATTTCACACCAAAGTTTGAGTTTCATGGAAATTTTCCAGGTGAAAATTTTAACATTTCTCATCTGCATTAAAAAGAAAATTCTTTCAGGTCTTTAATTTGAGAATGGAACTGCAACTGGTTTAATGAAAGCAGCGATTGATGGACAAATTGATTTCACAATTGGATTTACTTCACTTCAATATATTTGATCTGTTTTCCTGAGTATGTCAACACAATACTCGGTAATTCCACTTATTATGATTATTTCAAGAAGCGACGAATATGGCGATTTCGAGAAGTTATTTCGTCCTTTCACTGCTGATGTTTGGCTAGCCCTTGGAATTATAATTCTCCTTGCTTTAATCATTATAATTATTGAAGAATTATCATCAGAAAAAATTTACAATTTCCTAATTGGCGATAAAGTAAGAACGCCAGTTTTAAATTTAACTGCAATCACTCTTGGCGTATCTCAAAAGAATCTTCCGAGAAGAAACTTTGGACGTTTTATTTTGATGTCATTTTCAATCATTTGCCTGATTTTAAGATCAATTTATGAAGGTGAAATTTATAACACTTTAAAATCCAATGAAAGAAAGCCTGACGTGGCTTCCATTGATGAAATGATTGAGCAAAGTTACAAATTCTACATTTACGAAACACTTGAATCAAGAGTTAAAGATTTTCAATTTTATAAAAACAGATTCGTCTACCCAAACGAAGAAATTGATCATTTTCGACACATGACATTAAAGTCTTCAACAAAAATTGCACTTTTTAATTATCTTGATCAAATTTTATATTTAAATGCAGTGAATTACAAAAACTTTACTTATAACATTTGCAAGGAAAAGTTCATGACAAATTCATTTGTTTTCTATTTCAGGAGAAATCATTATTTAGTTAATGATTTTAATAGAAAACTTGAGCAGATGTTGAAGTCAGGAATCATTCAACATATAAAATTCAAATATTTTGATCCAAACTTTATTTAAGTGATTAAAGATAAACAGCCAATCAAGTTATCTTTGAAACATTGTGCAGCTGCATTTAAAATCTATTTAATGACAATTTTAATTGCTTTTATTTTCTTTATCTTGGAGATTCTAACAAATTTTCAATTATTTGCACGATTAAAACGATTTATTGATTTTCTTACTTTTGGATCTGTTGAGAATCGTTAAAGAGTCAACAAGATGTTCACATTTCTAAAGAAGAATAAGAAATTGAAATTATAAGAAAATCAGATTTGGATCATACTTACGTGTTTATTGTTGAAGATCTTCTTGTTTCTAATCTTTTAATTTACTTCATTCATCTTTGAAATTGTTTCTCTCTTCAATGCGCATGCCGACAATTTGTTTGTTCTTTTTGTAACAAAAATAATTCATCAGAAGTTCATAACAAGGATGAGATCTTAATCGGATGAAAGAATTTCATAATCAGATAATTTGAAGATCGGAAGAAAATGATCAGTTGAACTTTCCATTCATGAAATTTTGTTTTTACTTGCCGACAGAAGTGTTTTAGTTGCACAAATGAACCTTCTGATGTTGTAATAGTTTCATTACATCGTTTTGTTTATATAAATTCTGTTGTGACACTACTACTATCGTATAATGCAAATATTCTCTCTCTTATCATATTCGCTTATCTCGATCATCTCGCGCTAAGAACCTCATTCTTTATTGAACCATCAACGAATTAAGAATATCACTAATAAACGATTGTAATATTACTTAGCAAACCTCAAGTGTTATTAATGCCTTGCACAAACCTTCGTGTTGCTGAGCGCGCCGAGCGTCGATCACAATAAAATATTAAATTATTTATGAAATTGAATTATTGAAATTGTTATATTTGTTTACATTGAGCGGCGAATTCACGTCCGCATAATCCGTTAAGGACACTCGTAACGATCCCCGCGAAATCCTTGTCTCTTTCTAATCGCGAATAATGAGAATCATTTTATCTTGTTCAAAGTCTAAGTGCACATCGTTTGTCTTGAAATTGTGAATTTAAAATTGATAATTAGTTTTGTAAAGGGTGAGAAATCTTTTAATTAATGTTTAAAATTCTCCTTTACATGAATTACATTTTATTAGATCGTCATCGCATCCAGAAAACTGAAAAACTATCATTTAAATTTACCTCGTGTGTTACTGTAAATCTTTGTGAAGGTAAAAAAAAATTGAATTCCTTAAAGAATTTTGATTCTCATTTTGAACGTTCCCGAATAGATTACCCGGCCAAGAACCGTCGAAAACTCTTGAATTAAGCTAACAGGAATTTGTGAAACGCATAACAATATCTGAAAGGTATTTTAAATACGAATTAACTCTAAGCTCGGAAACTTAACCAAATTTTTCCTTAGATTGATATTGTCGGTTTCTCTCGCTTTCGCAAAACTTCCTACGTTGACGGGATCGTTACATTAATATAAGAGATCTTATTTGTAAGTTGAAATATTGTTTAATTTTAAGACGCTTTATAACGTTGATGAAATTACAGAAATAAAATCGCACGCAACAAGAACGCATTAAACTTCGCCAACACCAAGGCGAGAAGATTTATAAAAGAATTCTTCGATTGTTTGACTACTCTTATTAAGCGATTATTATAAGGATCTGGTCCCCAACAACATCATTTTATTTAAATAAGATTAATAAGTCAACATCTTATTAATCTTGAAGGGTTAACAAAGTTCCCAATATAACCAAAAAGTTCATCAATCTCATCATGGAATGCATGAAATGTCGTCAACCTGAAGAGGACGACATGCTTCAATGTCACAAGTGCAGGAAGTCGATTCATTTCGAATGCGCTGGTGTGAACAAGGAAACACAAGATGGTCAGTTGTACACGTGCAAGACTTGCCTCGTTGCGCAATCCTTTCCGTCGCATTTCAGAGGTTTCCCTACACCTTCTGAAACAAAGACAACAACAACAACGACGTTAACACCGCACGCACCACCATTCGAGTTTCCTTATCGCAATGAATCACCACATGTCGAGCTGCTACAAAACATTGAACACTCACACACACCACCATGGGCCGAGATGATGAATATGTTGAAGTTACTTTCTGATCGAATAACAAAGTTGGAAGTAAAACCAGTTGGAACTGAAGTGGAATTTAAAAAGCAACGAATTCCAATTGAAGCCAACGTAAGGGTTCTGAACAAAACTGGTAGTGCAGATGTCGATAAAATTTTGGAAGCTGAGGATAATGTCAGCATCGCATCGAGCGCCAGTCACCAAATCTCACAATACGATTTGGAAGTTCCGAAAAGTGTTCAAGTGAACACAAACACGATGACGTCTGGATTCGATAGGCTTGCTATGTCAATGAATCGTCAACATCTCCAGAAGCTACCAACGTTTTCAGGTGACATTNTTTTTTCATTAAATTTTAACAACTAGAAAAAAATTTACAAGAGAAAATGTCCGTCGTTATATAGGATTTCCGACCACTGTATCAGCAACGATATGAAAGAAAATTATCTAAAATAAGTATTTATTCAATTTTGTTCTTAAATTGAAACAATTATAAAGCAGATTAGGTATCTAAATTTTTTTTTAATATCTATTCTGTGCAACAATTAAAATTTTTAGTATTCAAAATAAAGATCAATGTTGAACCAAAGTCATTTCAATTTTATCCAAAAGTTGTAGTATCTGAAGAACGTAAAGATACAATTGCAGTGATGTTCAAAAACGATTCATTATTCTTATCCAAATGTTCAACAGTAGCTCGATAATATCCCCTTGGAAAAATATCTGGAAACGCATCTGTGGAAATTACAACATTTTTACTATCAAGTTCATTTATGGGACACTTTGTGACCAAGTTTTCGCCTGAAAGTCTTAAAGTTTTGTAGAAAAATTTTACGATCGGATTTGTATTGTCAACAATGGAGCACCAATTAAACTTAGGAGATTTAACGATTTCTCTGTAAATATTACCATAGCGATATTCAAACAAGAGTTTTACCTGTACATGGAAAGAAGTAATATTAAATTATCGAAAGAAATTTAAAACATCACAGAATGTTTTAACTTACGTAATAAACTTCCAAATGTTTTTTAAATTTTACGTAGACTGTGTGCGTGTAAGTTGTCCGGTTGTAAGGCTTTGCGTAGCAAGTCATGTTGGGATAATAAAAATCTTGCAATCCTTTGCACTCTACCCGTTTAATTTCAATTCTTTGAAATGGTTTTCCATTTAATTCAGAAGAAAAACCAAAAGAAATTGTTAAAAGGATCGTGCAAATCCCAAAATATATTTTGAAGTTCATTTTCAAGTTTCAAAACTAAATGAAGAATTTTTTTAACGACAACTGCTTTAAAAGGATGAAATTCTATAGTTTAGAAACAATTATCTAAAGTAGACATTTATGTTAAATTCTATACGTTTATTGAAACAATTATAAAACATATTATCTAAATAATTTCTAATGCTCTGTGAAACTATTAAAGTTTTTATTTATCAAAATAAAGATCAATGTTGAACCAAAATCATTTGAATCTTATCCAAAAATTGTAGTATCTGATCTGAAGAATGCAATAATGCAATTGCAGTGATGTTCAAAATCCATTCATTATTTTTATCGAGAATAATAAACAAACGATAATCTCCCCTTGGAAATATACATATCTGGAAATGCATCTGTGGACATTACGATATTTTTATCATTAAATTCGTTTATGGGACACTTTCTGACTAATATTTCGTCTGAAAGTTTTAAAGTTCTATAGTAAATTTTGACCAGCGGATTTGTGTTGTTAGCCTTTGTATTTGTATTTGTATTTGTAGCCTTGGAACACCAGTTGAATTTAGGAGATTTAATTATTTCCCTGTAAATATTACAATATCGATATTCAAACAAGAGTTTTGCCTGTAAATAGAAAGAAATAATAATTTGTGGAAAACATTTTAAAACATCACAAAAAGAAAAACTTACGGAAAAATCATCCAAAGGTTTTTTAAATTTTACGTAAACTGTAAACATGGAAGTTGTCCGATTGTAAGGCTTTGCGTAGCAAGTCATGTTAGGATAATACAAATCTTTCACCACTTTGCACTTTAAGCTTTTCATTTCAATTCTTTGAAATGGTTTTCCATTTATTTCAGAAGAAAAACCAAAAGAAATTGTTGAAAGGATCGTGAAAATCCCAAAATATAGTTTGAAGTTCATTTTCAAGTGTCAAAGCTATATGAAGAATTTTGTTCGAGGACAGCTGCTTTAATGTGATGAAATTTCATAGTTTAGAAACAATTATCTAAAGTGACCATTTCAGTTCAATTAAATTCCTAAATAACAACAATTATACTTCAAATATTTTCTCTGCAGTAAATTTTTAAATATTCTGTGAAACTCTTATTTATCAAAATAAATATCAACGTT